GACTTGAGGATAAAGACTTGAGACTTACTTGAGACTTGCAAGACAATGACTTGGTCCCACCTCTGCACCTTCGTGTCAGACTGAAGTATGTTGAGGACGATCTGGGGGCAGATCTGGAGGAACCTGAGAGGTTCTCCAAAGAAGAACGGGCTGGGATCATTTAGGAGATGAGTGTGAGACACTGAGCAGGCTTTTTTTTTTTTTTTGAAATACTTTAGTTCCTGTGTGCAAATTAAAACAATGTAAGCATCCAAAATAAAACCAGGATGTTTGGAAGAGCTGTGCAGCACTTCTTTTTCATGGGGGTAAAAATTCTGTCCTTGTGATAGGATGACGTATAAAACGTGTTTGCTGTTTCTGTCACTTTGTAGAGAGATAATTGAGAAAATGAAACCCTGGGCTGCAGGAGTTTTAAAACGTGAAGGATGTAAGTGGGAAAGACGTCTCGGTGCTGATCGCCGCGCGGCAGCCTCTCTGCTTGTTAATCTGTGCTGTGGGTCTGAGGTCAGACTCACAGAGTGAACATGAAACTTCATTTTCTCCACTTCCCCTTCTGAGCGTATCAGACTATTTCAGTCCTCCTCAGAGGAAGTGCGGGGTCTTTAGCAAGCTTCGGCTCGGCTCGGCCCTGCAGTTCACCACCGCAGTTCGTCCTATACTGTAAGCTATCGTGAAGGGTTTTCACTGCTGTTTCCTGCAGAGCCGGCTCCTCCCAGATCGCTGTATGCCGTCAACGCCACTCACTCGTCCGTGACTCTGCTGTGGACCGAGGAGGGAGTGGTCGACTATTACCAGGTCCTCTGCAGACCCAGCAAAGCCAGCAAGGAGCAGCTCAAGGTAAAAGTGCTTCAGCCATGCTCTATATCAGCTTTCATTGCCTCAGCTGCAGGTCTGAGACGATTAGGAAAGGATTACAAAAGAGCGAGATTACAAGTTAGTTTCAGCTCTGCAAGTGTTTTCTGTTTTAACTCATACAAATTCATTCATTTCAAAGATTTTTCTATGTTGTTCAGACATTAAGTCAACCAAACTTTTGTTAATTGTGAAAATAAAAATGTGATGCGCAGATAAATCAATAATAAAGGAACTACTTTTGTGTTTTGCTGATGTGAAAGTTTCTGAGATAATCCCGCAGAAATGTGGAAGTTGTTAAACATGAGATGAGATGACATGCTGATGAGAAATAAACCAGACAGATCGAGTGAGGACCGAGGATCGATCCCTGGGGAACTCCAAGCCTCATTTTAGCTGCTACAACTAAAAAGTTCGATTTTTGCAAATCAGATTTTAATTGCTGTAGAAACAAAGAGGAGGAATGACAGAAGTCGCAGACGTTTTCTTCGAGCATCAGCGTGAATAAATTCATTGAGGCTCTCTCAGGCTGGTGAATTTGTTTCATATTGGCCACATGGGATCTGTATTAACAGTTTTCTGATCATGTGACCCAAAGAATAATAAAATGCAGTAATCAATAATCCCAAACTGAAGCTCCCTGAACACAGTAATGAACCCGGACACAGACACAGGGGACCAGGTTTGCAGAGATAACGAGCTGCTGATGCTGAACACGTGTTTTTACCTGCAGGCTTGAAATTTAGTTTGTTCCCAAGCTAACGAGCTGGATGCCGGCTTTAATTAAAGAACTGAAAGTGTGATCAAAGCTGAAAGCAGAATAGAGTGAGTTCACATCTAAGGGAGATGATTGATTGTTTCCTTCTTTTATCTTAGCTGTTTAAAACTTGAGAGTAGAATGACTCAAAACAAACTCACACAAAGCCTGAAGTCTGCAGTAAAACATGATGACATGTCATGAAATGCCTGGGTCTTGTGGTCGGGGTGTCCTGCAGCGAGTTGAAAAGCTTTCATGGTGTCTCGAAATGAATCAGATTATATATAAAAGGATGAGTCAGCGTCAAATTATAGGAGGTCCAAAACTCGAGCTCTTCAGCACCATAAACCAGTTGAAACTTTTCACTTTCAGTCTGAGACCAAACTCAGATCTGTGAGGACTCTGATGTGATTGGTTGCATTTGACCCACACCAGCTGAGGTGGAGAGAGCACGATCGGCCTGATATTGTTGGGACAGTAAAACAAGATTATTTTTATACAGGTGGCGTATATCCCTTTAAGCAGTTAAATAATGACAAATGGCAAACAATTGGGAAATCTGTTGTTTCGCATCTGAAAGGAAAAAAATCAGCTGATTTCTGATCAGATTTTTTGACCGTCTGTCAGTCTTAAAGTCTATAGGAGAAGAGTTTAGAAAACATGGTTTTCTTCCCGTATCGAGCTTTCATCCCTGACTGTGTTTTGTTGTTTTTTAACGTCCTTTCAGTGTAATGGCTGGTTTACCGTCTGCAGGCTGAAGTTTTTTTTATCATGAAAGCAAAATGATGTCCCAAAGAGCCGCTCAGCACCTGTGTTTGCTGGTGCGAGTTGGTGTTTATGTGGATCGGTTGCAGCTGATCTCATTAGAAAGCTTAAAAGTGAAATAAATCTTTTATTTTGGAAATAAATCCTACTTTACTTTTAAAAAGAGAGAAAAAAAATTTCTGCCTGTGATGCATTTGGATGATTTGACCACAACCTCTCGGGTCATCTGCACGTTAGAACCCAAAGCCTCTGACAGCAGGAAACTTACAGCTGTTTCCAGCTGTGCTCCAAAACAGCTGCTTTTGGAGTCATCAGACAGGTTTTTTCTGCAGATGATGAAGAACATGGTGAAGGAGGCGTGTTTTCGTTGTGGATGGCTGTGGATCACATATATGTGCTGCGTGGTATCTGTGGGATGCTGTGAGTTTGTACAGCAGCTGACTCGCTAAGAGAACATTTTTGATATGAGTACAGCTTTCAGGTAAAATAAAGGCGAATGACTGCAGGGAGGTTAGCAGGAACTGGTGTTGGAGGTCTGGACCTTGAGAACAGAAACTTGGTCACATCCATGGTTCCATATGAAGAGGTAGGCGATAAAAGGAGACTAACAAAAAGGATTTAGATAGGCCTAGTGCTGCCAAGGGTAATTTGGCAACACGTGTGCAGAGATGCAGGTCAATAAGATGTCTGATCGTAGAATGGCAAGGAAAGCTTCAGGCAGTTGTTAATGATTCAAACTTGAGTGCACTGCTCGGTGGTTTCTGTCTAGTGAGAAGTCTCTCGTTTGACCAAATTTAAAATTAGAGTTGCAGAAACAGGAAGTGCCACGTAACCATGGAAATATTTGGGAAAATTAAGACAGTACAATTTTCTTTAGCTTCTTCTTTTTAAACGTCTTGACAGATTTAGCAGTGAAGCACATACTGGAACCAGGGTTATAGTAGTAACAACAACAAAACACCAAAGAGTTTTGGAAAATGTGAAATATGTGGTCATAAACAAAAATACAGTTTTAGTGATTCAGTCTTACTGCTCAGCACCAGGCTGGGGTCAGCAGCCGCTCAGCCCTTTGTCTTTATCTGGACTACAAATCTGACCTCTTCTTCCTCTTCCTCAGGCCCTTGAGCCGCAGACCTCCACCTCCCACGTGGTCACCATTTCTGGTTTGATACCATCGTCCAGCTACAACTGCACCGTTACCAGCTTCAGCTACAGCACGCCCAGCAAACCCACACACATCAGCGTCAGCACCGTTGGTAGGTGGCACCATTTACCTGCACCGTAGGAGGGCAGTGACTGTCTTTATTTGAGCCCTGAAACATCTTAAAAGTGAAAACTGGACTAAGTGCAGCTCTTTAATTTGAAGATTTAAAATGTTTTTAGTCACTCCTGCAGGCAGTAAAGTGAACTGCAGCCACTGAGTGTGAGTGTGACATGAAGAAGATTTGTGCTGTGGAGCTGAGCTCAGTGAACCCTTTCCAGCTGCTTGCAGCGACTCAGTGAAACGTTTTGGTGCTGTTAGTCACAGAGGAGCAGCAAGCTCATTGGTTAGCACCTTGTCATAACAGGTGTTAACCAGTGAGTAAGGATTGTGAGATCCACCCCTCTTTCAACACAACAAGAAGCTCACAATTTCTATGTCGATCTTTTATAGTATATCTTTGTAGCAAAGTACAGTTGGAGGCCACCCGCTTGATAAAAGAACTTTAATGTGAAAGTACCATACAAGAAGGGTTCTGTGTTGAGAAAACTGATGAAATCGGAGAGGACTGTGCTGAGAGGTAACAACGTCTGTCTGTGCGTCTGTCTGTATATCTGCAGCCAAAGAGATGAATCCAAGCGTTGCTGCCATCTCGGCTCTGGCTGTCCTCAGCATCCTGCTCATCAGCCTGCTCGTTCTGTTCCTGCTTGTGCTGCGCAAGAAACACCTGCAGATGACCAGGTAACTCAAAGTCAGCACAGCAGCAGTGCCCTCTGCTGTCACGCAGTCATCTGTTGTTCATTTGGCCTTAACAGCTTCACTCTGTGTGACAGTTACAGTGTTTGAGATACAGTGTATGAGTTTATTGTGCATGAGTTGTAGTGTATGAGGTTAGTTTCTGTGTGCATTTCTGCAGCAGATCCTGCAACAACAAAAAAAAAACAAGCATGTGTCCTGAATGTCTTGTTTTTGAAATGCCCATTGAGATCAGTTTATGGACTTTATTCTAGTTTTAAGAAAAGTAAAGTCCTTCATTTAGAATAGAAATGATGGAATTTGGATCACAGTTATTGGAGTTTATGAGCATGAATAATCTTGGAGCTTCAGAGTGATTCACAGCTGAATTTCTGAGGAAATAACTGAGAGGGTGTCTGCATGCTGTACACTAATCTGTAAAGCAGTCAAGCTGTGGTCTGCTGTGGTCAGCCGTTAATGCCCAGCTAACTGGCATTCATAATTCACAACACCTTTTTTTCTTAGAGTCATGACATGCACGAGTTAGGACGCAAACTACTTCCTCTTGTCAGGAGGCTGAGCGGCATGGGCGGTGTTTACGAGGCACTTTATAGACCTACACGTTATTGAGGAAGCAATATTTACACAGTATTACACTGTGTGTACTGTAATATGTGTGTTTTACAGATTTATAGAATAATGGTATTCTCTTTTGTACTAAAATAAAATACTGATTTTTTTGAATGTATCTTAATGCTACATCTCAAATATAATGTGGAAAATAAAAAATACTTACATGTGTGACAAAAATAAAAGATTTACTTTTTTAACATAAAAATTATGAAAAAAAATCAATTTAATACAAAAGTTAGAATGAATACATTTTAAATCAGTTTCTACTTTGCACATTCAATTCATGAGTTTTTGTATCATATTTATGCAGGATATAAATGCTGTGACATTAAAATGGTGCATTTAAAAATGTTGACGTTAATTTAAAATTAAATCATATAATTTTTACTCAACAGTTTTCCTTACACTTACGTTATAATTCAGGTTTTTTTAATGTAGGTCAGACTACAGACGCACTAGAACCTTTTTAACATTGAGTAGTGTTTTTTAAATATGTCAAAATAATTGAATGCAAAAGTTAACATTATAAAATTATAAATTAATGGTTCTACATTTAATTTTATGTGGCCAAAGTCGTTAAAAAATGTAATGTAAAGCATTAATAAACATCAGTAAGCAGAATTATTTCAAATTTTTCACATGAGCCAATCAGAATGCAGCATGCAGACTTTTACTAGTGAATCACATGCAGATGTTAAAATGTTTAAACTGTGTTACAAAGTTATGATTACCTTATGATCGTAACTTTACCCTGCATCATCTCTCCAGTTATTCTATCTTTTTCATTTTTATTTTTCACCTTTTTGAATTTTTATTTTTTAAAATGTTTCTAAAATGTTTGAGCAAAGAAAGTCGTTATTTTCCGATGGCTTGATAAATTCTTTACTTAACTGTAAATTTTCTTTTCATACTCACTTCACAGCTTCCTCCATTTCCTTATAAGTCATCTATAATTTCTGAGTTCCTCAAACTGAGCTGTTCTCACCACATGTGCTTTTTAATTTCTGTTTCAGAGAGTGTGGCGCGGAGACCTTTGTCAACTTCGCCTCGTTTGAGAGAGACGGAAAGCTTCCATATAACTGGTACGAGCTTCGTCATGTGTTTGTTCATCTTCAGATCACAAATTAAGCGTTCACGCACGGGTGGATGTTGTTTTAGCTTGGATTTAGAGTAATCACACAACCTCGGTTTGGATGTGCAAACACCCACGAAAGACCCAATCAGAGGCAGATTAGCAGCCCGGAAGGGGGATTGAAGAGGCAGATTAGGGATTTGAACATATAGGCACAGATTATAGCTCATCTGTGGTGCTTTATACAGCTTGAGGTGACGATGACCATGATGATGATGATGACGACGACAAAGAGCTCAGCACCCTTGCCTGCTTTGTTTGGACCAGCTGAAATGGGGTGTTTGATGATGATGAAAGCTTTGAATTTCCCCTAATCTCAGATTAAAAGGACAAAATGTTGCTTTTTGAGTCAGTCGTGTTAATTTGTTCAAAACAAGAAAAGATAATTCAATTTTATTTCTCCTTTAAAATCAAGCAGAAGAGGCAAAAAGTGCCTGTTTTTAAACTGTGAAGTGGCTGATGGATCAGATTCAGTCTCACATGTTATTTCTGACAAACATTTGGAGATTTGTGATTAATATAACAGCTGAAAGACGGTCAGTTAAGGCAGAACCTTGGCTTCCATCTGCTGTTGTATTTGACCTTCCATCACTAAATGCACATTTCCATCAGAGTGTCTTCTTCTTCTTGATGTGATGGTGCAGTTTGCTTTTAATGTGCATGTGGACAGACTCACTGTGTGATGTCACAGCAGTGTGGATGTGATGAAAACGCGATGCCCCCACTGATGCTCCAAAAGGAAATTCTTTCGAGAGCATTTATCTGAATATATCAAGTTTTAAAGAACTAAATGATCCCTTTTTATGTTATATAACAATGGAACCACTTAAAGAAAAACAAAAACAACAAACAGCATAAAAAATAGAGCAAAACAATATAAATATGATGATGAGGTTATTTATAGTTGTAAAATATGAAAGGTATAAGCAAGAAACACATCATGATGAACAATTCTCCATATGTTTTGTACAATGTTATGTTTAATTCTGATTGAACTCTTTATGCCTTGGAAGCCTAATAGGAGTTCTTATATGAACTGAGCAGTTTCTGTCATATGTCAGGCTGCTTATTGCGCATCAGAATTTAGCAAAGGTGGTCTCTTCCAATGGACCTACTCTTGGAGAAACCCAAAAATGACTGTAATTGTCATTAAACCACCTCTTCATTAATATACACTGAAGTGTAGAAACTTGCTACACCTCAGGGGAGGTCGTCAAATGTCATGTTTGTGGGGGGAAAAACTTAAGGAAGATAAGTCTTAATGTAATTAATGTAATTTACCTTCTAATTAACCTGATTTTTATGTGAATTCTTTGATTGCTTTCAACAAATCCTGAAAAAAGTCCAAAGCAACCAGTGTAAACCAGTATGGTGTACCTCAAAGCTCACTTCCTGGGATATTCATTTTTTAAACTCACAGTTTTACACTTTTATGACATAGGTTAGATAATTTTATTAGCAAGAAGGTGATGCAAATATTTTTCAATGATAAAAATTGGAATGAAACTAACAGTGTATTATCCAGTGTATCTAGCCGGCTAAATGTTTTCTCATTTTTATGAACAAGTCAGCAAGATAATTCATCCAGTAAGTTGTTTTAGTATTAGTTTTAGACTTAGTTTTATTACTTGATACCACAGAGACATTTAAGTCTGTGGCAATAAAGAAGTAGAAGTTTGACATGACTTAAATTTTAATGTTTGTGCTCCCGAGCTTCATCAAGAAAACTCAGGAAAACCCAGACGGACAAAGAGGAGTTCATAAATGTATCGGCATCAGTGGGATCATTACCCAGGCACCACAAATGTAAATGAGATCATCAGGTTCATAAAGGTGGCTGTCACTGCCAAGTGACAAACTGAGAACTGTTTATACATGGTGTCGGTCCTGGCTGAGGGTTGCATTGTGGGATGGCAGGGAGGACGCAGTGATGTCACAGACTCAGGCTGGGGGGTTGTGTAAAAGAAACAGAGTGGCCATTGACGTCCAGCAGCATACAGACTCCTGTTGTCCTCCAGAGACACAACAGGACACTCTCTGAGCGGCTGCATGATGCATTAACTCTGTGTTCAGCACTAATGTGAAGCTCTTGACGCTCTGTGCCTCTTTACTAATGGAGCACCATGTTCTGTCCCCAACCTATCACCCCCCTCGTGTCTGTTTTTTTATTTTTTATTTTTTTATTTTTTATTTTTTTTATTCTTGTTTTTATTTGAACCCCCTTCAGGCGAAGAAGTCTCTTTGCCTTCCTTACCCTACTGCCATCCTGCCTTTGGACTGACTATCTTTTGGCTTTTTATATTAATCCTTGGTAAGTAAGCACTTGCTGGCCAAAAACACTGCACTTCAGGGGCATGTCTAAGCAGAGCCACAGCCGACAGTATTGATCAGAGACACTGTTTTACTCTCAAAATTAACCAAAGTGAGGAGTCACGGATCACCTCTGGATCCAGAGTTCACAAATAAGTCTGGTGGTGTTTTGTATGGAGTAAAACAACAATCCATTTGTCAGTGTGATGTACCTCAGGGTTTACATCATTCATATTTTCTATTTTTAGGTCAATATTTTTTTTTAATATCAATTACAAAGAAAACCAAACTATTGCCAACAAAACAGTCCCTTTCATTGGTCAACAATGGTCCACATAAAACAAGAGAAGTGAGAGATTAATGGGTCAAAAGCTTTGATCCTTCTTTGTAGCAATGAAATAACTTCTGATTGGCTATAGGTGTTTTGGTGCATTTCAATAGGGAAACATTGTGGTTTGGGTTAAAATAACCACTTCATCAAGTTTAAAATAATAACCACAGAGTTAAAGTAGTGCAGTGACTGTTTTGGTGGTTGGTAGAAAACAAATAGCAATGTCCTGTTTAAAAGTACAACATTAATAGACCTATCCAACCACCTTGAGCTCCTCCCTGAGTTTTATCCATGCTTCTATAGCCAAAATACACTCATTTATCTTTTAAGAAACTAGTGCCTTCATTGCATACCACGCCTGCATAGGGATGGTGTGGCTGAAAATGTCCTGTGATGGTTCTCTAATTCTAGCAAATTTACTTAGATTAGATAGTGAATCTAGTTTTTCACAAGGGTTCATTTCAAGGCCTGTGTTGTTTTTCCAGGACACACTCATTTAATATGACTGAATGAAGTAGCCTAATTGCAAAGCCATTGACTTCTTTTGCAAGTTTAAGTGAATTAAAACCAAAATGTAACAGGTTTCTTCAATAATCCATGCTCCACGTCGCCACCAAGCTTCAGGATATTCAGTTTGGTACTTATTGTGTAAGAACCGCTACCTCAATTCAGCACAATACATAGTTTATGTTACAAATGCACCCAAGATCTATTTTTTATGTCACCAGGGATTTACTGTTTTATTTATGCATGGCCTTTAGTCCTCAAATTTGAATACAATTTTGGGTGTGTGTTTATAGCATTATGTTACACTTAATGCTCACAAAAATTCTAACTCATCAATTTATTTGGGACTAAACCAAAAAACAAATGTGATCATTTTTAAGTTATCTAGTATAATCAGCTGGGATTTCTTACTATTCATGTTTACTAATTCATGTTTATATGTAGGTAAATATCAAATAAAACAGTCAAATAAAAGAAAAAAAACAAGAACAAAATATTATCTTTAGATGTATAAATAGATCACTTGCAATTCTGCTTCTGTGAATATGAAATCTGGTGTTCCTCAGGGATCCATTTTGGAACCCTTTAGGTTTTTTTGTGTTATAAATTATTTTTATTTGTAATGTTTTCTTTTTTTTTTTTTTTTTTTTTTTTTTTGTAATGTTTTCTTTAGTGTTAGTTGCTAGCAGGAGACAAAACTCAGTGTTGGATTGGACATGTGACTGTTTGTTGACAAGAACAAAAATATATCAAACTTAATATATAAAACATCACCAGACTTTTCTTTAGCATTTTGACACTTCATTTTGAAACTACAGGAAACTCCCGACATAAATAGGTAGTCAGATGTAATTTCTGACATGTTAAACTTTGTCTTGCAATGCTGTGTCTGTGGTTACACCTTCAAAGTCACATTGAGTGTATTTCTACTAACATGTTGGATGTACTTCAGCATGAAGCGAACTCTCGATGCTAACTCCGGCTTTGGTGTCTGCATGCTCCCTGTCTCTCTCTTTGTGGACTTTCTCTTTAGAAGTCTCTTTGTTACTCAGTTGTGATTTCTGTTCTCTCATAGATTGTAGATGTGATGTGCATGTTGATGGATCAAGATGAACTAGCGGATTGTGTTTTAGCGTCTCCAGATTTCCTCCCACTTGATGTTTGAAAACTTGGTTGTAAACCAAGGAACTTTCAGGACATCATGAGTGATTCAGGGGGAAATTTGGCCCAATTTAACACAATTTGTGTTAAATGGTTGAATGTAGATACAGAAGTATGAAGAGCAAAAATTACAGAAGATGCATGATTGTGGAGAAACTTAATGGCTCAGTCACACTAGGGTGAAAATAGGACGGCAACCTCCTTGACCTCCTGGGTAATCCGGAGGTTAACTGTGTAACACCTTTAATCTGGGCAATCACAAGATGACTGTACAGGTCGCCTGGCAGGAAGCAACCTGTCTTGAAACGGTCGTATTCCAACTCGGACTGACTGCAATCACTCTCAAAAAAATTGGAGAAGATTGACAAATAAGATCTTGATAATGTATAAATGCAGACAGATTGCCAATATACTGAAGTCTGAGTCAGTCTGCACTGATAATTGCACTGATAGTCTGCACTGATAATTGCAATTCGTCTACAATCCATCACTTTGTAATAAGGACCTCAACTCAATTGGTTGCCAGCTGATTATAATCTGATTATATTCCTACAGAAAAGCAAGCTTGTGTGTACAGGTAAACTGCTGTGTTATTTGTGTTATTTTTAAATCTATGAGATGAATGTGTTTGTTTTACTTTCTGTGTTTGTTGATTGCAACAGATTTGTAATTTAAGCAAATGTATCCCAGTTAATTGCCGTATTATCACAGACAGATTGCATGTTATTGCCAACTTGACCCAATGTAATTGTAAACTGGTAGCAGACTGACTCCATCTTTTTGTTGTTTTAATGCTGTGTTGACACTTTGAAGCCAGCAACTGACTGAATGGTTGCAGACCTGGTCCCTTTTTTCCAAAGCAAATTCAAAAATTATTTCAGAGGCAAGGCAAGTTCATTGCACACTTTTGCAGTAATTAAGGTTGTGCCATGGTTTGTTTTCCTTAGTGTGACTGTAGCATTAAGCAGGTAGCAGATCTAGATGAAGACGATACTTGTGAGCATGACATTGTCTTGCTTTGATGGGTCGATTTATTTTGAAGTTCTGCTTTGTTGGGTTGGACCGATGCTTGGGTTCGGTACTGGCGTTATATGCAAAGGTGATTTGTGTGAATCTATCTTACTGAAGATAGACCATAACCATAACCCTAGCCCTTTTATTATTGCGTAGATATATGACAGAATAGGAACCTCAATAAGATTTCAGTTAGGCAAAAATGTCTAAAAACTACAACCCATCATTTTATCTGGGACTAAATCCAAAACAAAATGACTTGGTGCTTTTATGCAATTCAGTAAGTGACTGGAATAATTAATGTACAGTTTAGTTGGAAATTATCTATCGGAATTTCAGGAGCAGGACCAAGCCTCCAAACATGCTCCTTCCGGTTGTCATCTATATAGGTTCCCCCAGTTCTGCAAGCTGTTCATTCTGGTTTACGTGCCCCACCCTCCCACCCTTCTTGTTCTCAGTTCTTTAACTTCTTCATTTCTATTTAGTACATGGGCATCTGCCAGGCCTGGGAGCCATCGCCAGTCCCCTTCGAGGCTTTCCCCAAACCGCAGCTCAATTCATGTCAAAGCATTCACTTTTACCCACTAAAACACTGTCAAACCTAAAATGAGGACGTGGGCCCAGCTAGTGAAATATTTTATTGTTGCCATGGTGCATCATAAAAAAAAAAATTAAAATACTGAAAGAGGCAATTATATTTGTTCATTCATCATAACCTGGAAATTTTGTTCACGCCAAAAAATGAAATGTGAAATCTAGTCTAGAATAAAATAGAATCCAACCTGTGGCCCTTTGCTGCATGTGTTCCCCTCTCTCTCTCCTGCCGCTTTCCTGTCACTCTTCACTGCTTCTATCAAAAAAGGCCCAAAAAAGAAATAATATTTCTAATTTTTGTCAGTAAAAATGAAGTGATTATTGATAACATTTAAATACATTTTAAGAAAGATATTTGGTGTTTTACAGTATCAAATGTCTTAATATTTTAAGCATTGTGGCAGTTCACAAATTTGATCTAAAATAGACCATTTATTTATTTATTTATTAATAACCACAGAACCATAATTCAAGAAATGTATACAGGAAATGCTTTAAATAGAATATTCTACCTGCCCATGACTCTTAACTGTGGAACTAAAGTCTGAACCTTCAGCCTCCGGGGCACAAATAGGCACAAACACTGAAAACCTCCAGTTCCTCTCATCTCTAGCAGAGGCTGCAATCACAGTATTCTAACATGGTGAGCGAAAGCTCCAGGCGATCCAGGAGAGAAGAACAACTGGTGCCTAGTCAAAAACCCTTAGCGATCCCTTATGTGTCAGGAGTATTGGAACAGTCGACACGCATTTTACTCTGAACACACTGCGCCAAAAATTAGGTCCCCTGGCACAAACAGTGTAATATAGTGTACCCTGTTAAGTCCCAGGAGGATTGCTGTGATTTATACTTGAGGGAAACAAACAACCTCTGGCGAAGCGGATGGCACGACACAGAAGAGCTACCTCATCAAGCAAGACTTCACAGTCTGTTTACACCTACAGGCCAGTGGACACTCTTTCAATGATGAGGATGTAACATCCTGGACAGGGAGGAACGCTGGTGTGAGCGCGGAGTCAAGGAGACCATTTACATGAAAAGGGAAAGACCATCTCTGAATTGAAGACGGGGCCTAAGGGTACATCTGTCACCATCTTACAATGCTGTGATTGTTACTGATGGCCATTGATCAGTTGTCATTGATCAAAGGTCTTTGATCAGTGGTTGTTGATCAATGGTCATGACAGTTTGGATATTTATCATCAAGAAACTACGCTACATCCACATGAGCAGAATCAACTTTTTAGACTCCCGTGTTAAAACTTTACAGCAGAAACAAACATGCTTCCAGCCTTATACACAAACTGTTTTCATCTCTATAGGTGATTTCCCCTTCATAACAACTGTATTAAACTTATTACAAAAACAAAACAAAAAAAAAAACGTATTACATACTTATTACATATTGAAGAAGATTTTAGCAGTTTAAGTGGGGCACATATCAGGAGTCAGAGACAAATATGAAACTGTTAGGGGTGAAATTTTATATGTTGTTATAACCCACATGTTTAAATAGTAATATGGCTTAAAATTTCTATTATTAGGGGTGTGGCCTCTTTGATTGTCAGGTATATGGAAACACAGGAAGGTGTAGCAGCTAGCTGTCTGCTAGGCTTCACCTCAGCTAATTGGAGCCCTTGAACTGAACCTCTGGATCGTGTTTGTTCTGCTGGAGCTTTTTGGGTTTAATGAGCAATTTACAAACGAACTGAAAACAAACCAAACAGCAGGGGGAGATGCTACATTAAGGGGTAAAAACCTGCATCGGTCAAAGCCCAACATGAGCTAATGATGTGAATGAAGGAGGGGTCAGAAATCATCACAAGGACTTGACATGTTTGTATTTTATAGGAGCAAGACTGCTTTAAAGAAACGGAAGCTAACAAGGTAACGACGACTGCATGCAGCTTTCAGCCTGTGGGCTTCATCTTTCTGTGTGTGTGTGTGTGTGTGTGCGTGTGTTCACCACTAATACCATCCTTCAGCCAGAAAACAGTTTTATCCAGCAGTCTCCTGAGAAATTGAACCAACATTAACTGTGTACTCAGAGGGATTTCTGACTTTTGTGGGTGTTGAAAGGTTTGTTAATAAATTATTTCAGGTGCATGAAATTGCTCATGCTTTACCTTAGTGATGAACTCATTAATGCATTGCAAGAACTTCGACCTTTAGGTGGCAACAGATACATTTTTGCTCCATCTTATTATTACTATGGAGTAAGTGTTCCCTGTGCAGTGTAGTACCTATGTGTTAATTACCTGTTTATGCTGGTTACCTGTAACAGTGTTTTAAGAACCAATGCAAAGTTTTTGGTGATCAACAAATGTAAAAGAAGTCTGAAGCCTGACGTTTCTGATACTGTCCAACTTTCTTCAAACTGCCATCTATCCACCTATCTTCTTAACCATCTTCCTAGTACCTATCTACCTACCTACCTAATTACCTCCCTACCTGTCTTCCTGCCTTACTATATGCCTACCTTCCTGACTCCCTTCCTTTCTACCTACCTATGTTACCCTTTCCCTCCCCAAATCCCTGTTATTCCCTTACTGCCTACCTAACTCTCTCCTTAATTACATCTATCTGCCTGCCTACCTACCTTTGTATCTCCATTATCTTTCTACCTTTCCTTCCTACCTCCACGTATACCTCTCTACGTTTCTTCTCATCTTCCTATCTACCTACCTGCCTTCTTCCGTCCCATCTTGCCTAACTGTCCTCTTGGCTATGTCCTTCCTACTTTCTACCTGCCTACCTATTTATGTTCCTACCTATTTCTCTTTCTTTCTACCTACTTACCTGCCTACCTGTAAGCTGGTGCTGTATAGACATAGGCCCATCTATCATTCAGGGCAATTGGATTGTATTACAGCAGTTTGTTCTTTATTTTTCTTGACTAATTTATTTAAACTTACTTAATTTAAAATTTTCCAGTTTAAAAAACTGACATTAGCAAGCTAGCTGTAGCTTAGCTACTCTGAATCAGGCGCTGGTTATTCTCTTGTGATAGCTGAAAATATGACTTGCACACGGCAAGCTGGCCAGTGAGGCGCATGGATAAATGAGCTGACAGCATCAAGGCTTCTACACTGCTGCAGTGTGAGCTAAAGAAATGTTGGTGAGGTGAACTGAATATACAAGCCTGAGGGTTTCAAGGAACCAACTGCAGGTTGTTTGGGGTGAAGAGATCTTCAGGTCCAACATTAGAGCTCATTAAAGGTTTTGTGCAGCAAACATCTGCCCGTATAGGACTTGGAGCTTTCGTTATCGGTGAGATTAAAAGCGAAATGTAAAGACGGTGGTGGGTGTCAGCCATTTGATAGTGTTTTTTTTGTGCTTTCAGCCCTGTGCAGCTGGACGACTTTGAGGCCTTCTTCAAAGACATGAGCAAGGACTCTGCCTACAAGTTCTCCTTGCAGTTCGAGGTACAGCTTTAATCACGTCTTCTGAGACCAACAGGCCTGACGTTTGTTCTGAGAAGCAGAGGGAAGCATCTGAAACCCTCTGTGTTTTTTATATCATTTAACTTTGGTTCTGGTGACGTTTCTGTAGGAAAAACCAAAAGAGGAAGTGAATAAATGTCCCAAAATGACCTTGATAAGCTTCTAGGCTAGTGAGTGATGAAATAAAGTCTGCAAATAAAGTCTGATTTAGATCAGCAGGAGTGAATGCTGCTCTAATACATCGCCTGACGTTAGCAAGTGAGCAGGATCTTACATATTTCATCAGTTCACACATAACATTTAAATGTTTACAATTTAAATGAAATATATCTTTTAGTTATATATTTATTCAGATGCATGGGTGTGCCTTTCAAGGGTGTTGGGCGACACTTCCCCTTACTTGGAAAAACAGCGAGATGCTTAATTATCATGTGGCGCCTGATTTTGTGTTTTTCTTTACATAAATAAATACGGTCTAAACTGAAGCACAAAAAACCAAAACTGAAAATGAAATCAAATTTTTAAAAATGTTCCTCTAGCGCTCAAACTGCAGTGAGGCTTAAACCTTTTTCTGCATAGTGGGTGTGTCATCTGATTTTAGGGTGCTTTATTCCACAGCCGTTCACAAGTAACAATCAAAACATGTCCTGTTAGAGCAGATTCGTGCTGGTAGGTAGCATGGCAACAGTGGTGGCTGCAGACGTGCTCGCAAGAGCATGGGATGGGTTTTCCTGTCGTATGGACACGTGCCACTCATTTGAAGGGAGACACATGCAGACATTATATAAAGTTTTCTATGTAAAACTTTATATTCATCCAGGTATTTTAAAATTTTGAATTCCTTAAAAAATACAGCGTTTTAAAATCTGATTAACTTTTGATACACCCAGTATTATACATTTATTCAAAGTGGATCCATTCCCCTTATTTCCACCTGCATTTTTTACTGTTGACTGTTTAAGCAGCTATGCATGATTCACACTTCAGAATAATCCTTCTTTATCTGATGCCAAGATTCAGTTCAGTCGCTCTTTGAACCACTCTTCATTTAAACCAGCTTTCTTCTAACACTCACAAACAGAAACATGTCAAATCACTTGTTTTGAACTTGAACAGGAGGTGGGTGGGGCTTCTGTCTACCCTCTCTTACATCATACAGTTCCAAGAGTAGGAAAAACTGTGATAACAGAACAGGCTGCAGGGATTTGTGTACATGCACTGAGCTGATTATTAGACACTCTGGTCATTTTTAATATGAACATCCAGCACAGGAACAGGAAATGAGGAGAAGACCCCTGGGTCCATTTTACATTTTAAGAGCATTTTAATTTTAAAATCTGACTCAGATTTAAATGATCCTCATCCTTAATTTTAGTACTGATGTTTTTTTTTCCAGGATCTAAAGAGCATCGGTTTGGATCTTTCCCATGATGCTGCTGACCTTCCCATCAACAGGCCCAAGAACAGATACACCAACATCCTCCCCTGTGAGTCTGCACTAACATGTATATATCTAGATTTAAATATCTAGATAAAAAAATACACAAGATCATCAGAACAAAGAGGAAGGCGGGGCCGGACTGAAAGCAACCCGCTGATCATGGGGAAACCATAAAATCAACCGTGAGCCTCCACTTTTACTGATTTATTGCCCAGAGAAAATTTACTTTCATTAGACGGTCTGTAATAAATGTGTAAAATGGAGCCTCGCGGTGCTTTTTCTCTTACTTAAAAATCCAGCTCGTCAGAGTTGTATTCTGAAACCAGCGCACACCACTACAGTGAAGATGCCATTATTAAGTGCCTTTATAGAAATGGAGAGCTTTCATTTTTTCTGATTCTAAAGTCACGTGAGCGTTTGTGTTCCTCGGAGTACGAGGGCAAGTTTTACTGTTTGGTGACGACCTGTAGTTTATCTTGGGACTAACGAGAGAAAATCTGCTCTAAGATGACTTCAGTCGGGTGAAGCTGATCTCGATGCACAATGACGAAGGTTCAGACTACATCAACGCCAATTACATACCCGTGAGTACATCCACAACACAAATGTGAGGAATTAGCATCCATTTGTTTTTCATCTCTTTTATAGTCCATGTTTTGCATGAATTACTTTTTTCTTCTGTAAAGCTGTGCTTGTGTTTGGATTCCAGGGCTACAGACACAATAAAGAGTACATCGCCACGCAGGGTCCGCTGCCTGAGACCCGCAATGACTTCTGGAAGATGGTTTTGCAGCAAAAATCCCCGATCATCGTCATGCTCACACAGTGCAGTGAACGGCGCCGGGTGAGACTTTATGTTTAATCAGTTTAACTCTTTGTAAGTGGAAAATCTGGAGGTTTCAAGCCGCTTTAAATTTTATACTTAAATCAAAAAAATAACAGACACGTAAAAATAGACAGACACGTAAAGATGACTCATTAGAATAAGTATTAAAAGATTGATTAATAAATAATGTTTTGAAGAAAAATTGTAGTAGCAAATACTTCCTAAAAATGGTTTTCGAAGGATTCTGATTTTTTGGTGTTTATTTATTGGTGTTTTATTCAGACTGAGCACAAGTAATGTGATTAACACAATCAACAGACAGTCACATTACGCATATCCACCTACGGCTCAGCACAGAATCCATCTTCACCTTTCATCAGATCAGAAAATGATTCTTGTTTAATTAGAAGAATAAAAACAAATAAGATGTTGTGTTTTTTATTTTCATAATGAAGTTATTAATGTCATATTTCTAAATTAGTATAAATAAGGGGAAAATACATACACACAAATATTTTGTGTTTGGGGGGGAATCTGAAGACGAAAATTTCTTTAAAAAAAATAAAGTAAAATGACAGAAGTTGCACAATTCTGCCCCCTGGTGGTCATTGTTAACTGTGGCCGTAATTTTCTTCATGTTTTCAGGTGAAGTGTGATCATTACTGGCCCTTCAATGAGGACCCTGTGATGTACGGTGAGGTCAGTGTAGAGTTGCTATCTGAAAGCGAGTCTCCAGAGTGGATCATCAGGAAGTTCAGACTTGGATATGTGAGTTTCTTTGACTTCCAAACGGCTACTGACAAAAGCTTCCAGTTAGTGCATTTATCGAACGTGAACTGTTACTGCCACCTGCAGGCTGATGAGAGTCAGGACGTCCTCCACCTGAACTACACCTCGTGGCCGGATCACGGCGTCCCCACGGTAAATGCCATCGAGAGCATCCTGCAGTTCGTCCATATCGTCCGCCAGCAGGCCAACAGGACCAAAGACCCCATCATCGTCCACTGCAGGTAAGGCCACTCTTTAAAAACATCTGCAGATATTTTATCTTGCTGTGACTCATCTGTTAGCGTCCTCTGGTGGATACATGGAAAATCTAAAATAAATCACCATTATTGAAACTTTTCGTCATTCCTGCTCATTAAATGAAATAAAATGAAACGGCGTACCCAGTGGTGGTGCAGTCTGATTATTTAAACAGAGAAGCAATGCGCAAATGTCTTCAAAATAAAACATTAGTGCACAATATATGCCACTATTAAGGGTTCTACAAACATGGGCTGGATTTTCTGGATGGTTGCAAAGATTCTAGGATCCTCGATGGAATTGGATCAAGTAAAAAACCGAACCCAGGTCCCAAGAATTAGTGATGTGGCAAAAAATTGGGGTTATTTAAAAGGAAGAAATGATGGTTTGTTGGAATGTGTGAATCATTGAAGAGGTTCTTTCTGTAGCCCTTCCCTGATCTCAGTGTTTCTAACTTCAGGACCAGTAATCTGTGGAGCTGTGTAGCCATCTTAACACTAGAACCACGGACTGGATCATTTAGACTCCCTGGTATTTTAAAAATCGTGTAAATCTGTCACATTCAAACCCCATCATCTTGTATTTCATGGCTTTTCCTAAAACCCTCAATCCACCAACTTCCTTAGATGTCACTTAAAACTTTTAGAGCCGGTTTGATTTTCTCAGAGCAGGAAGGCGACTCGTTTCCTGACAGTCTGAGCCATAAAAATGCAATTAGAGAGATGATGTAATGGCCATTATGATGTCCATTAGTGGACTAGCGACAGCAGCGATTTGGTTTCTAATGATGCCGCCTGTGTGTGACAGTGCTGGAGTCGGCAGGACTGGGACCTTCATCGCTCTAGATCGCCTGATGCAGCACATCAGAGAGCATGAGTACGTGGACATCCTGGGCATGGTGTCGGAAATGCGATCGCATCGCCTGTCGATGGTTCAGACTGAGGTCAGACACTGGCACATCACACCAACACATACATGTGTAAATAAGACAGTTACTTGAAGAAGTCATTAAGTGTCCACACTTTAGAAACCGTCAACTGGATTGTGCCAACGTGTCCTCAATGACCTGAATTTGTGATTGTGAGTATCAAAGGGTGGACGATTAGTTCAAACGTGTTTGTTGTCTGCAGGAGCAGTACGTGTTCATCCATCAGTGCGTCATGCTAATGTGGCAGAAGAAAAAGCAGCAGTCCATCACCTCGGACGTCATCTACGAGAATGCCAGCAAGACATAATGAGGACACCTCCAGACGTGAGTCCAACCCGAAGTATCAGGGCTCATCCCGATTCGCGACATGCTTTATGGTTATTCACGGTATAGAAAATGATTTAGAGCATCCATCCATCCTCATCTTTGTCGCGGGGGCTAGACCCTTTTCCAGCTATTCTATGGCGAGAGGCGGGGTTTACCCTGGTCAGGTCACATGTCTTTGGACTGTGGGGGGAAGCTGGAGTACCCGGAGAGAACCCTGCTAATCTTCATTGCTACCAATGATGATTAGCAACAACTTTCTAGAGGAAGTGGTTAAATATCTTGGACTAATTTCAGTGAACCCTGTCAGGTCTGAGTCAAGCCAACCCTAAACTCTGTTATGAAGAAAAGTTTTTTTTAAGTGTATAAATATAAATGCCATGGTCTGATAGCTGTCTACCTCAGAAACTAATCTGTGATAAAAAGTTTGACCTTAAATTTAAATTGAATTTATCTCTGCATCCATCATCTTCTTGTTGATCCAAACAAATGTCTTTGTGTTTTAGACTAAATCCTCCCTTTGTGCTTAAACCCTTCTGCTTGTCTTGCAGGCTGTGAACACACCCCAACCTCCTGTGCTTCAGGCATCCATTCTCTGCAGAAGAAGACTCGCTTCATCATCAGTATCAAAAACAAAAAAAAAACACAACATAGAACATCTGGGCGAGAGAAAACTATTATCAGTCTCTTTCTTTGAATTGGTGTTAAAGCATGGGATGGAGTTTTGCCTTAAGGAGCCTTCACTGACTGACCAACATGTTCAACCACAGCCCTGCCCTCTGAACTGGACTGACTCACACCAACGTGGGCTCGGAGGAGCGTTGACAAGCTGCGTCTGTTGAGGCAACGAGTCGGTGGAACGGAGTCAGTGGTTTTTCATTTTTATTTATGTTTTTAATCTCAGGAGTCGCTGTAAAACCAGCAAGCACACTGGCCTCCCCTTCAAACCTTTGTTTTAGGTTCAGGTTTTGCTTTGCCCGTCGTCTTGCACGGTGCAGCTTTCCTGGCTTTTTGGGGCGTAGGAGTCGGCGGCGGTAGATTTCATCGTTACGCACTGCCACACCTACCGCACACGTCGATAATTAAAAACCCCAATGGCTCGAGCTCGCTGATTAACTGCCAGGACTGCTGCACAGGAAGAACCCAGCAAACATTCACTAAAGAGCGAACCCAAGATGAGCACAAATCGGATGTTTGGAGACACTTACGCCATCTTTCCATCATGGCTGCATATGCCAAACTTCAGAAGTGAAAAATGAGGAACTTTTCAGATTTCTGCTCCAAATTACGGCAGAAAAATATCATCATCATAACACTATCCGAACTTTATCATGATCAACCCTAGCGGTGTGAATGTTTGCTAGGTCTGTACAACAAGAGGGCACAAACGAGTCGAGGGGAACGCCGTACCCACGCTGCCATCCGTCGCCGCTCGGCGTGTTTGAGGCCAGTTTAGAAGCTAGAGACTGTGGTTGTAGAGCTGTAGTTTGTATTTGCACTGAGGCCTCTGAGCTGCTGAACAAGAAGGGAAGCATTTTGCTGCTGCTTCCCACCGTGGGCGATCAGCACGCAGTCACCATGCTTGGAGCTGTAGATCAACGTTAGGACTACTGTAGAGCTTTGGACTGTCCGATCGGGCTGGCAGAGGAAAAGGACCGTATCCGACAGCATGGACATCGGAGACAGAATCTCTCAAGTTTGCCCGTTACTGGCCCGAAGTCACAGAAACATATCTGCTCAGCATATCAGCAGAGCTCATCTGGGTCCCACATAAATTGATTTTTCACCATCTAGAAGTGCAGTCAGTTATTGCACAACTACAAATTATACCTTTGAATCTGGACTAGAAAGTATAAATACATAAGTTACAAAAATATCTACATTTCAATGTCCCGATGCAGTCAGTGGTTTTCTTATACATGCCCACAGTGACTTCCTATAAAGAAGTACTACACCGATAAACGTTTAGCGTACATTTCACTGGACGTCACGTGTGATCCAGCGTTTGTAGTGCAACAAAACAGAATGTACGCATCCTGTAAGTATCTTTGACAGTTTAAAAGAAACTTCCTTCACAACGGTTTGTTTTCTCGTTCATTTTGAACTCTAAGCTTTTCTATTTAATTACAGATTTTTTTGTAGTGTTTTCAATGAGTAAAACACCCAAAATTTAATCACTAACATTTTATGTAGTATTTCCTACCTTTTTACCATGTCACATACTACAGTCTAGTATGTATTAGACTAAAAGTATTTTAAACATGTGCATTTCACTAAAATGCATTTTGTTGGGTTTTGCTTTTGCCACATTTTGAAAGGATTTTTCAGGCATTATAAGAAAACCAGTGAGCACGGACATTTAATAAAAAACACCACAGTTCAGGTTTTTGCTGGTTTTGGGCCCCTGGTGTCGGTTTGCGAATGGCTGAGACCGACTCATCAAATTCGATCTGTACAGAAAAGTATTGAAGCATCAGTGTCTGCTAGTTAGATCAGATTCTATTCAGCGATTTAGTTTTCATTGTTCATCTTTCTACTGAGTATTTCACATGAAGGGCAGAAGAATATTCACATTTCCATCATTCCTCAATGATTGTAGAGAATGTCTACTGAGCAGATGAGTGGTCGACTTCAATGAACCCAAAGTTTTACACTCGATTCAGGACATACAGGGTGTCGTCAAAATAAGAGCTCAACTCTGGGGGACGGGAGTATAATCATTTGGGATAGCTATGACTTTGGAATGAATCACAAAAGCTGGTTGAACAATCCAAATAAAAGATTTGGTAAAATGCTAAAAAATTTAATCAAGCTTATAAAATGTATAACACAAACTCTGCACTACGTCTACAATCAAAATTTATTGTTATTTTAGAAAGTGTACTGCAACATACATGGTGGGAAAAGTGGAGCGCATTTCAGATGAATGAAATCAAAATTCAATTTGATTTCATACCAAACTGAATTTTAGTTTTTTTCCCATAATAATTACATTTTGGCACATCGAGCAAAGCTTTTAAATTGCTTTGCTAGTTATTCCCATAATGAATACTAAACCAGGTAACTCTCACTTAATGCTGAAGTACAGATTTTTATTTTGACGACACCTTGCATTAAGTTTGTGCAAATATTTCAGTAATTAATGAATGTTTAAAAAGGCCACTGGCCACTTGTGAAATGATTCATCTTTGTGGCCTTGTGCTTACCACACCTGAAGTCTTTGCCTGTCAGCCGTCTCAGATCCTCAACGGTTGGGTACTTCGGTTCAGTCGCCGCTCGATCTGAAATAGTTTCCATGTCACTCTTAGATATCAGATGTACTGTACATACTACTACTACTGCTTAACTATTCTGTTTCTACTCGTCATTGCAAAGTTATTCTTGTGGAGATGTTGCTTTAGAAGTTTGTTTTTTAAAAGTTGTTGTAAATGTGAATCATCTTTCTCTGAGCTCAGAGCTGAATTCTCGCCAGCGCCGTTTCTTAAGCCTCAGCGTTTAGAAACGTGACCTGGACGTGGAGGATGCATCTGGGGTCTGAGAAATGCACTTTGGTATGACTGTCAAAAAAAGATTTTTAAAAACTGACAGAACTTGCAGACAGTTTTGTGAAGCTCAGCACTGAAACTCTTCTACAGTTCTTTCTTGCTTAGTGTGTGTCCAGTCGAACTCGTACGTCATTGGTGCCATTATTGTGCATTGTGTCACTTACAGTTTGAAGGATGATCCCGAGCTTGGGTCACCGTCACAGAGTTTTACTGTGTGTGTTGGAACAAAATAAAAATGTTGCAGTAAAAACAGTGTGTGCTAAGTATAACTGTATGATCTTACATAATAATTTAGGATACCATCATGTGTGTTGGCATAATGGCGATATAATTTTTAAATACAATGGTTATGAATACATAGATTTACATAGCACCATGAATATAAAACAGTAGCTCTTTTGAGCAACAAGGTCCCGAGTACTACTTAAGGGAAAAATAAAATCAGAAGGTCGCCAACTGAAATGTCAACTTTATGGAGTACACTGTGCCACAATATATGATTCTAGCTTTTCTGACCATCTCACTGTACCGTATTTTCCGCACTATAAGACGCACTTAAAATCCTTTAACTTTCTCAAAAATCAACAGTGCACATTATGTATGAATTGCGTTTGTGCTTACTGACCTCGAAACAATTTCATGTGGTACACGGCACTCAAAAATGTTTTAGTACGACTTTGGTAAGCTACGAAACCGGACCGCTTGATGGATTGTCGAAACATTACGGCTACCGTAGTCAGGAGCCTCGAGGACTCTGAGTATCTGGGTCCAAAACTCCGTCGCTTCAGGTCCCAAAGTCAAATAAACACTGTGGCATCACTGAGAGTTAAAAACTGTCTAAATCTTTATTAAAATGATCAGCGTTGCTGCTTTACCAGGTGTAACAATTAAGTTTGACATCCAGGCATCCATGAAAACAGAATTTATTAAATTTAACAGTTAGAAGTTAGCAGGAAGTTAGCTCGCTAGTTTCCACCTAAACATGATATAGCATGTTCTGACTGAGAGATTTCTGAAAAAATTAAAACGTACAGCTCTGCAATCACTTCCAACATAAACAAAGACAGAAAACTAAAAAGCAGTGACGTTTGTAGGGTTACTGAAGTTGGACTAGCTGGTATATAATGATGTGCTACGTGATGTACCTGGTAGCAACACGGCTATGTTAGCATAAACACAGTGAAGCTGGAGGCAGTGTTGGTCGAGTTACTTGAAAAAAGTAATCAGTAACTAATTACTGATTACTTCCCCCAAAAAGTAATCCCATTACTTTACTGATTACTTATTACAAAAATAATTAGTTACTTAGTTACTTTTTAAAAACATGATTTACAACCTGAATAGATAATAAAGCAATAGATCTTTCAGCCCAATTCTACACAGTGGGCCATTTATAGGGATACACCGTAATAAAATGGGAATGGTTGGTGATATTAAAGTCCTGTTTGTGGCAAACTCCTCAAGATGGGTGGTGACCATGGTGGCCATTTAGAAGTCGGCCATCTTGGATACAACTTTTGTTTTTTTTCCCAGTAGGAAGAGGGCCATGTGGCACATCAAAGTTATTGGTAATGACAAGAAAAACAATGGTGTGCTTGGTTTAACAGGGTCTAACCCTGTTAAACCAAGCACACCATTTTTAAGTACAGGTACTTAAAAAACGTAAGTACCTGTACGTTTTTTTACATAATCCATCATATAAAATGTAATGTAAAATGAAAAAGTCTCTTTTTAAAACTGGTTTTATTAGTTTTAATCTTTTAACTTTATGCATCAAGCAAAAATTTTATTATATGCAACATTCTCTGACTGGAAGAAATTTGTTGAACATTTAAACCTTTTTGCACATTCCAGCATATAAAATAAAATAGTTTTTTGTGTTTACACTCACTCTTTCAAATAGATGCGAGTAAAACACAGCAGAAAATAAAGAAAGTCAAAGACTCAGCGGTCCTGTTGCTCTATTTGCACCAGTATAGCAGGAGTGAGGCAGGCAGAGGTTTGCCCTGGTGCAGGTGTGTCGCAACGGTCAGTGGAAGGATCCGGGAGTTTCTCTGTGAATTTCCCATTCTGTGGCAGCGTACTCTGTGCTTGCTCTGAAGATTAGGGTGTTTTTCGCTGTAAAAAGAAGTTTTCTTCACATGCAGTGAACAGCGGACGCTAATGTTTTTGTCACTTTTTACGGAATCAAACTCAAAGTAAGGTCAGTACTTCCACGCTTTAAACGCTGCACGGTCATACTCTCTCCCGCACTTGTCATATTATCCATTGTTGGTCTGCACACAGCTGTTGCCACGAACGTCGCACTCGTTTACGTCATTCTCATGAGACTCTCGCAAAAAAAAAAAAAAAAATCATGGCTTTAGTAACGCAGTAACGCAGCGTGCTTACAGGAAAGTAACAGTAATCTAATTACCTTTTTTGCAATACAATCTCTTATTTTACTCATTACTTGAAAAAAGTAATCGGATTACAGTAACGTTACTTGTAACACGTTACTGCCCATCTCTGGCTGGAGAATGAATGCTAACTTTTTTCCACTCGATAAAACTTAACATGAGGGTTCCCGATGGTTGGGGACAAATGCAATCGCATTGGAGGATCCTGTAAATGGACCAAACTTCAGTCAAAAGAAGAACTGAGATAATCCATACACAATACGAGGTTAGTCATTAATATACTGCAACAACACGGGAATAGAGCAGCTGCGAGAGAATTCATCATTAATGAATCAATGGAACGGAAGTGGAGGAAGCAAGAAGAATTAGTTGAGTAAAGTTTGACTTTTTTGAAAGTTTTAAAGTTTGACTGTTTTGTTTCGCTTAATCCAGTGCGCCTAATGGTCTGAAAAATACGGTATTTAAATAAAGAATGAATTTAAAATTTGAACTTTGCTGTGAAATGAATCTCTGAAAGAAAGATGGCTCAGAAGCAGACGTGAAGATTACAGGAAAAAAAAAAAAGCTCCGTGATGACATTAAAAAAAAATGCTTTTAGTAAATTTTTTATTGCAGAATGAGCAGATTTACATGGAAAAGGCACGAAGAAAACTATACACGTACAAATGAACTCTAACCTTTCCTCCTGATTGGCCTCTATACATCTGTTTGGGTAAAACTACACTACGTACACTTTTACTGTTCTCTCATTAGCAACAAGCAATTCTCCATAAACTGAACTACTCTGCTTTAATCATTATTTGTATTACAGTGCTGTGCTACAGTTCAGACAAAGACAAAACTTTCCTTCAGAAGATTAAGTGCATAAGTGGAAACAAAATCAATACAATCAATGCCACAGTGAGTACAGGCTCATTTCTGTACATTTCCTTTTCTATGAGCATTTACATCTTTCATTTACAGTGTTTTCAGGCTGCTTGTACAAAGAGAAACAGTCTGCATGTTTTTACTTTATTTACTGCTCACTGATCTGAACATCTTCTGTTGTTGATTTTTGGCGGTAAATTCTCAAACAATAGCCAGTGTTCAAATAATGTCTGAGCGTGCTCGTGACCAGCACGAACCAATCCAGTCACAGCGGGAACCATCACACCCGTGACTGTTAGAGCACATCATCGCTTCAGTCCCAGTGGTCACCTCACTGATTGGGTTGGGTGGTTTTCAGAGTGATCAAAAAGGACAGATTTTTCACATTAAAAGCCTTTTAAGAAAACAGATTACACCCTTTTCAACTTTTAATGTGAAAGGTCTGGACTCCTTAGTGTGAGTCGTTATTGTGATCCAGTTCAAAATCAAGTCCATGTGAATGTGTGCGTGTAACCTTTAAAATGTGAACTTAAACCTGTGAACTTCCTGTCCCACAGGGGGCGCACTCACTCGAGCTCATCCAGACAGAATGCAACTCTGTGGAACTGAAGAACAAAGATGCAGATTGTTCTGGGGTAAAATTTTTTCTTTTCCATCAGGTTTTCGATAGAGTATACAGAGTTCAATTTGTAGATTCCCCCCATTTTTTTCACGAGGAGGCTGATAGTAATGGCAATTACTAAACCTGAATATAGTCAGCAATCGCTGGCATCACATCACCTGCAGCTCGAACAGGTAAGATGACCAATGAGACAGAAACATGAGGCTACCTGTTGCTTTGGACGGGGCGTGATGAGTTCAACTACATTCATTTTGTGTTTTTACCCTCAGAACAAAGTCAAAGAAAGACTTTCAGATCTGAGCCATTACAAACACCTCAGCTGCTTCAGCTTGTTTCATTGGTTGTTACCTCTGCCTGAAAAACAACAGCATTTTTATTCATGTGCAAAAATGCTGATTACCAAATATCAGTTCCTTGTAAGAAATCTGATCACTCACTCTGTGACAGATGTTCTTCATAAGTTATTTCTATAAAGTTATGTGCATTTCATTTTGCTTCTAGTTTTAAAATAATCTGAGAAAATGAAATCCCATCAAATAACTCTCAAAAACATTTAAATGTATATTTATCAGTCTGTTAGCATAGATGATAGAATAATATTCATTTAGTGAATTTCATTTTTGTAACAAGCAGTCAGGCATGTCTAAAGTACCAGGCTCAGTTTTAGCCTCTCCGTGATCTCACTGTGCCCAGGCACAGAGGGAATAATCCACGTGTGCAGGGTCAATCCCTCTTTGGAAATAAAAACACAGGATCAGCACTTCCTGTTTGCTTTTAGCCTTTTCCACAATCTTAACTCAAAAGACATAAATCCTGAATGTCTCGGCTCCACGAGTCTTCTTAGAGTGCAGTGTGTTTACATCATTACATCATGAAACGCTCCTATGTGTGACCTGACCGCAGTGATGGAGCGGAGAGGACCGGGCGCGGCACTGATGTTAATACTGCGAGGCTTTGCTTTGGAAACGGTGAGCAAACAGCTTTTCACCAACTAAACGAGTCCCCAAAGTGTTCATGTGAACTCCAGGCAAACATGGCAGAATATTGTGTGTGTGGCAGTCCGGTGGGCGGTCGGTTTGTTTCTATGGAGATGAGCTGAGGAGTTCCTGTCTACGCCGCATGATCTCCACGAACGCCGCGCGGTCGGCCGCTGCCTGAGGATTGAGAGAGCAGCAGGCTGCGGTTTGAAAAAAAGGATAAGGTACAGCAGAGGGAGGGAAGAGGAAGGGAGGAAGGAAGGAGAGGAGCTGGGTGGAGCTCAGTGGGCGCCGCCTTCATCAAAAGACTCCACCCCTGAATCACAGGTGCTGGCTGCCAGTTTCTCCTGCCGCCTCCTCATGATCTCCTGCAGCTCGGAGCCTGCACTCTTCTGGAGACGCAGACGAAACAGAGACATGAACAAACACTCATCAGGACACAAATGCACATTTGATCTCGGGAAACTCTCGAGTGCCGCCTCGTGAGACGAGCCCATTTAGACAGCCTGCCTGACTCACTGCAGTTTAGTTTTCCACCAATAATCACGCACTAAAACCACTTTGTTTTTGCTGAGCTTTACTGAAACAGAGTGTTCCTCTCCACAGATTACAGGTGGCCATCCAAGGTTAAAGGGAAATTTAAGAGGAGGAAAAAAAAATAAAAATAAAATAAATTCTCCATGAACTTGAAACGTCAGAAACTACGATGTAATTATAAACTTTTTTTCTTCAAGCTGATCTTAAGTTTGAATTTTGGTAATTATCCACAGCTTTTATTTACATCGGTCTGTTACCTTGGACAAACTACAAGCTCCTGCTTTCCCGGACCACCTCAGCCCGTTAGAGCACCCCCGAAAGTCTCCCCTCGACCTCTGAGCTTTTCAAGCAATAAATGTAAAATCTACTGAGCATCAGTGCCGTCGCTTTAGAAGATTTTTTCGGCGCGTTGAGGTGAAATCTTCTGTCGGTCAGAGCCTAGCGGCGCCAGCTGGCTGCAGTTTGGTGTAAACTCAGCCTCGGGAAGCCTTTGGCGACTGCCAAGCTGCAAACAGCATGTGGATGAATGTGTCTACGGTGTGGTGTCAGGAAGCATGCTGGGTAACGGGATTTTCTGAAACTGGTGGCACAAACACCTGCTACACCAGAGTCTGTGTGTTCCCAGAGACGAGATGATCTGGAGCAGTTCGTTCACCGCAGGGAGAAAATATAGCGTTTGAGGCCGAAGTGCCGATATTTGTGCAACCAGCTGCAGGTGGAAAGAAGCTTGAGGTGTTCAGGTACGAGAAGTGATCAAAAAGATTACAGGAAGCAGCCAATTACAGGAAAAACCCTCATGCCACTGAAATTTAATCAGTTTGCTCTTCAGCGTCGTCTCATGTGCATCTCTGGACCTCTTCCAGATGTTTCCTGTTGTGACCTGTGAGTCCTCCTCAGAGCTCAAATGTCACATTCACATCTCATGTAACAACAGTTATACTAAATTAGCAAAATTGTATTTTTACTTTAGTTTAATGAGTTCAAACTATTTTCCCTTGTTGTTATATTTCAAAAGTCTATTTTCATATTTAGTGAACTAAAATGTTTTTTTTCACATGTAGTTTTACTTTAATGAGCTTGCAAAAGGTCCAGAGGTGCAGAAGAAGATCTTACAGGCAGATTGAACAATTTTAGGCAAGTGTTTGGTTGACATCTGAAACTTTTTGGTCACTTTATTTAAAAAACTGTTTTAAAAACTGATCCAGGACCACAGACAGCTAATTTATACTTACCAGACGCTTCAGTATTACAGGTGCTTTCACAGCTATGTCGCCACTTTACTTATCTAAGATGGTATTTCAAACCATTCAGCATGGTCCATGTCTAGATTGTGGGTTCAGCAGCTGATCTGAATCTGGATGTTTTCAGTGTTCGTTTCTTTATAAAGGACAAACTAACAACAGTAGATATTAAATCTAAATTAAATGTGTTTAAAAAATAAAAATATGAGCTAAAACTAACAATTGATGTGTTGGAGAAAGTCCTGAAACCCAGATCCGTACATGGAAAATGTGTTTGCACATTTTACCAAAAGAAGGTGAAAATTACAACACATCCAGGTTTCTATGGGAGGGTGGGGCTGTGAGTTGGCAACAGGTGAGGGTCAGAGGTCAACAGGAAGGGCATTGTTCGGGAGCTGCTTCATTCAGGGAGATTAAGAAGGACTTTGTGCACAGCCACAGCAGGAAGCCTAATGCTGACTACCTTAAAAATGCTGCTACACATGAAACATCTGGAGCCTCGTTCTGATGGCCAGATTCAGGAATTCTGAGAAAAGAAACTAGTCTGGAGTCCTGTGTCGATACAAACAAATCTTCCGGTGCAACCGGTCAATGTTGGTCTTCATCTATGGGCTAATTATAGACTATAAATCCAAAAGGGCCAGGTAAAGAGAGCTGATGGGAAAGTTCTGTTAGATGAAAAACTCCCCAATATCAACAATCCAAATTCAAAAAAGTTTAACGCACTAAGACTCATTCAAGACTTGTTCCCCCCCAAAATCAAGACCAACTAGTCCTAAGCTTGGAATACTTTTCCTAAGTTGAGAACAACAAGTCCGAAAGAAGCAGCAGTTGCTGCAGCATCTTGGGCCTTTTTGGCTTCTAAGTCATGTCACTAATTAAGAGAAACAGGAGTCCAACAATCTAAATTCAAAACCTTCCAAACTCGCCAACAGTCCCAAACCTATGGCCACATCAAGACCAGCAAGGCCAAGTCAAGAAGAAGAGCAAGACACAATAATGGTAAATGTTGATTCAATTTTTGTTGTTGAACTTAAAGTGGTTTATTGACCATGATCCCTAACCCAAAAAAGGGCCAACAATCCAAAAGTAAGACAGGTAAGTCCCAGTTAAGACCCCCTCAAACATGCGCCTCACGCCAGGATGAACAAGTCTCGCGTTCGCCTGACATCTTCTGACCAAGTTTAAAAAAATAATAATAATTAGTACTAACAGATACTGGAACATGTTGGTACCCAAAGAGGAAATAAAATTAAGGGTTTACTTGAATCGCATTAAGTATCTTAATTTTGTCATGAGTCATGGAGGACCTCCTGTTGAATACCACAGAATGTAAAACCCCATGAGTCCTCCATCTCATGCAGTTTCCTTAAATCTGGCCAACAGAATGAAGCTGCATTTACATGAACACGATACCTTTAATGAGTGTGGTAACAGAATCAGAAGATCAAAGGAGGCTCAGAAGAAAACCTGCAGGTGGGAAACAGACACCAGAACACCAGACCTCGCCAGAGTTTGGCGACAGAAAGCTTAAAGACAGAAAAGATCGTGAAGAGGCCTCCAGCTTCCAGACACAAACACATGGCAGCGAACAGATTACAGAGATTACAATCTCTGACCCCTCAGATTATCTGACAAAGTCAAGATCAGGATCATAAGTGCTGCTGTTGTCTACAAATAAAACGCTTCCCTTTAAAGAAGTTTAGATTTTATTACAGGAAGTGATCCGATTTGTATTCCAGCACAAAACGTTTTATTAATAATAATAATAATAATAATAATAATAATAATAATAATAATAATAATAATAATAATAATCCTCAGCATTGAGGTGTCTGTTAACACCAACAGCCTGTTGGCTCCCTCTGGTGGTCAAACTCAGCGACTTAGCCCTCTTTCATTTTCACTAACTTCAGCAATCAGTTAAATCGGCGCTGACATGTCAGATACTCAGATTGTTTTGTCTCTGTTTCCTGCTGCACGCGTTTGTCTGATGAACCAATCAGCTGTCAGGAAGCTTGGCCTCAACTAACAACACGATCTGATAAAATGCAGTAATAAAACCACACTGACAGACACTAAAGTGAACAATAACACGATTTCACCATCAAAGATTCATTTGTGAAAACTAATCTGTCCTAATACAGAACGTTTGTGTCAATGATCCTTTAATCTAAGAACATAATCATGATGAGGATGTCTCTAAGGAAGCTGTTTAAACTCAATAAAGGCAGGAAGTACAGGTCAAAATTCATTTTTAGATTATTTGAAACTTAAAGTTGTAGTTTGTCAGTTTTATTCTTTTAATATTCAAACTTTATTCGTTAAATATTGTGGCTCCACCATTATAAGCTATTTGCAGTTCATCTCCTTTAGTCCTTAAAGAAAAAGTTAAATCCTTTTAATAAAATGTGTAAAGTCTAATTATTATTATTCTTCAAAAAGCTGAAATTTAAATCACAAAATATTCAGTGAAAGGTGATGTTTAAAAAAATAAAAATTAAAAAAAAAAATAAAAAAAAATTACCCAGACTTTTTAAATAGTCAAAAGTCTGTTTTGTTTTTGATAAAAAAAAAAATAAAAATCATCTTGTCCTGAACGTGAAATTAAAATAAATACATCAATTAATTAAAATAAAATAAAATAAAATAATAATGAACGTGACTATATTTTCAGGATATTAGAACAGGCTAACTTTTCATTTTATTGGGTGTAAAATATTACTGTTCAAATAAGTATGAACTCATTAGTGAAATATAAAGATTATGAAACCTAAGACCATTTTAACTTCAGCGTTTAAATTATGCTTCCTGTTTTATAAGAATATATCCTACATTATGACTGCCTCATTCTCTAAATACACAAACTTTACTCTGAAAATATATTTTAAATACGTTTGTATTTAATTAAAATGTTTTTGCTGTTCTTGAAGATTTGAAGTATGAGGTTTGATTACTGTAGTTTTATTTCTAAAATATTCCAGCTTTAATCAAACCAAACCTTTATTTTGAAATACTGCACACATTTCCTCAGAGTGACTTCCTGTCTCTGTTGCTTTCCTGCAGTTACTGACATTTCTGCTTCCTTTACTTAAAATCAGACTGATTATAATGAATAGGAATAAATCTGATGGTGACGTCGGGTCTGAGCAGTGACACCCACCTCGAGCGCCGCCTTCTGCACGGTGACCTGACTGAAGACTCGGGCGCCGTCGTCAGGACAAACCGTCCTCAGCTCCTCCTTGTTGAGCGAGAAGAGCTGAGCGCCAGTGAGCACGCCGAGGCTGGTGATGGTGGTGCTGCTCACACACACACACACACACACACACACACACACACACACACACACACCATTATAGCCTCTCCAATTATGTCCCCCTTTCCTTTTACAGTTTGTGGTTTCGCACTACAATCATGAGATGGTTAAAAATGATGACGGATAAAGAAAGTGACATCATTTTATTTATATGACCCGCTTTGAAGCATGAAAGTCCCACTGTGGATTATTTTACTTTGAAAAACTGTCATTAAAGCTTCCAGAAGTGAACGTTTCCTGTTCTTGGTCATAAATCCAAACGTTTTAGTCACATGACTGTCAGGAACATGCCTGATTGGTCACATTCAGACTTGACTCTCAGACTTGAGTCCAGTTTGTGTTTTTCTGGTTTCCTTCCTACTCTAAACACAGGTTTAAACTTTAGGATCAACTGAGCGTGTGGGTCAGTGCAGGTTAAAGCAGCAGACTTACACGGGGCTGAAGCCTTTGGCCTCCAACCATGCTTTGACCTCTTCTGGTGTCGAGTCATACGTGATGCTGACCGACGGCGTGCTGCCACTGCGGGCGGGACCCTGAAACTTCTTCTGGGCGCTGCGACCGAGCGTCAGCCTGTGCATCAGCTCGTCCTGGACCTCCTCCATGTTCGACTTCCTTCCTACGGATAGAAACACAAACAGGGTTACCTGTACCACGTCACCTGCCTCTGACGGTCTGGATTCTTTAAGTAGAAACATTTATTCAGCAAGTCTGAATATTAAAAGTATTCAAACTGGTCACGGTTTGATTTCCTGAACTTTATTTAAAAAAGATGGGATTGTTTGTGTTTTTAGTCTAAAACAGGTGCTGGGGCTGAACAGCTGGATCAGCAGGTGTTTCTGGACTTACGGCTGCCAGCGGCAACAACAGGTTTCTGGCTGTTTTGCTCCCTCATGGCGACACTGCCCATGTCGCTAGACGCGTTGCTGTTCTGTCGGCTGACTGTGACGCTGCCGGCGGCCAGCTTTGTGGGCTCGGCGGCCGGAGGAGGCAGTGGCGGCGTGGGGACCCTGGCGGGGGCGGGAGCAGGAGGAACCGGTGCGGGGGCTGGGGGCATTGGCGTGGCAACGGGTTGGCTGGGGACAAACTCTGTCCTTGTGGTCTGTTTCTGCAGGATACAGATGAGTTTTTCAGTGTACAGTTGAGTGTACAGGTGAGCATGTCTGTTCATCTCCAGCTCCATGTTTTACTCATGACTCCTCAAGAGCAGCTTTGTATGATTCACAGTTCAAAATAATCCTCATTTATCTTATTCAGCGCATTAGCTGCAGCTCCTCCCTAAAAGCCTGCTTTCTTCTTATTGGCTGACTCCTGGAAGCCTGCAGAGGGGCAGCACATATTGTTTTCAGCTGTCTGTATAAAATAAATTGGATTTCTACCTCAGGAACTTTAAATTGAGCTCGCAATGAATCACTTTCCACATGCCATCAGGTCAACTTTGGGGGCGGGGCTTGCAGCGCTGAATATTCCTGATTGGTCAAGCCCTTCAGGTAATTTTAAGCCACCAGTATCTGCAGCAGCTTTTAAAACATTTTAAAGCACAGCCTCTACTTTCTCATCAGTCAGATTTTTCAGGTTCAGGGTTTAGGCTTCCTGCAGTCAGGGTTTTCCGACCCTCTGCTGGAACTTCAGGTGGTGTAAAAAAAAAAAAAAAAAAAAAAAAAAAAAAAAAAAAGGACCTGGACTAATGACGAGACACCTCTGTGAACGAAGAAACACTGTTTTGATCTTTGAAATATCTAAAGCGGTGGAGTCTGTTCAGAGCTGGAGGCGAGCAGAGTGCTTCCCTCGAAACAGCAACAATCAGAGTCTCAGTGGTGTTTACCTCGTTAAGCTCTCCCAGTAATTGCTGCCAACAAGAAATGAGACAGATGATGGCGATGAGACGATGAATCAACATGTGTAACTCACTGCAAACTGAACCAGGGTCTGTGAGGAGCCACTACTGGTCACTGACCTGATCCTAGAAAACCTCTTAAAGGGACAGCCCACTGCTTTATTTTAGCCTTGCTCAGACAACAGCGGCACCAACAGTAAATGTTTATTCAGCGATCTACAGCAGCGCCACGAAGAACCGAAGAGAAACGTCACTGAGTTTCTGTCGGCTTTGGCATTTTACACTGAAAACCTCCACAGGAAGTAAAGTATTAAAGATAATCCATCACAATTGTAATCCGTTAAACCACAGAAATTCCACCTTTAAAGATCAGCACGTTTACCCTTTTAGACTAAACTAAGGTTTAAAAATGTATTATCAACATTTCATATTATACTATAAATAATAATAATACTACTACAGTGGTCCCTCACTATAATGGAGTTCAAATACAAAACAGCATTTTGTGCAATTTTGCATTATTTTTTCTTTTTTTAACAGCGCATTGTGTTCTGCATCCTGATTGATTGATTGATTGATTGGCTGTAGACCAATCAATCAATCTCGTGCCGTGTCTCCTGTACAATGCAGAATGCTGAAGTTCAGCATGTCAAATTTACAAATTACAAATTTTCAAATATTCGATTGCTAGCAGTGTGATCTGGAGTGCTGTATTGTATGTTTTCTCCCCAACAAACACAACAATGTCAACAAAACATTTTGTACCGTCAGAGGCAACCATGGGTGCCTTTGGTTTCATTCTACAATACTGGACTTATTTTTCTACGAAGGTTTGAACTTTGAGAGTGTTTAAACAAGAGAGAAAAGTGCGAAAATGTTCGTGCCTGTCTGAGAAAAGTGTACAAAGTGTGTAGTGAGGGGTTATACAGCCTTAAAACATCTATAATAATTGTAAAAAATAAAGTTGGCTACTTCATGGATTTCACCCATCACGGGTCATTTTTAGAAAGTAGTAATAGTAATAATAATTATAACAACAACAACAACAACAACAACAACAACAACAACAACAACAACAAGTAGTAGTAGATATTAGAACAATAAGTAAAATGTCCTTGGAGCTATGACGGAGCTCTGGGTCCTCCTGGTCCAGTCCACAGGACTGAGAGGGAAAACAGCTTTAATCTCCCTCTCTCAGCTGAGAGTCATTTCATAATTTAAAGGTAACCAGATTCGCTCAAACGTGACACTGTCCCTTTAAGATCACAGCAAATCAAACGCAGGAAGTGGAAACTACAGCGAGCTAGAAACACACACCCAGCTCGTCCTACCTTGAACAACTCAAACTCCCTCCTTGGCATCATAAGCTGATGATTGATCATAAAGACAGAACATGAATTGAGGTGACTGAGATGGGACAGGAAGTGAGCCGCTGCGGTGAGCGTCAGAGCGTGCGTTACCTGGACGGTGTGGCTGTAGATGGGCTCTCCTCGGCTGGTCATGTCCACCGCTTTGGTGATCTCCAGGATGTTGTTTGGCACGTAGCCCGTCGCACCGCAGCCGTTACGAACCTTCCACCACTGCTTCCTGTCGTCCAGCACCTGCCAGGCAAGAGTCAGGGATTACTTCACTCAGTCTCCCCCTCCTCCTCACTTCCTGCTGCGTATTTTCTGTTCCCATAGAGATGGACATGTTTAATATGACATGACGTCAATGTCTACACATTAAAGCTCTGAACACTCAGTTTATCTCAGTTTTTTATACTCTTGGATCGCTTTGATGTCATCTTAGACACAGAAGCCCCACCTACCAGCTTTTAAAACCTTCTCCAGCCAATCAGAAGAGACCTGTTTTTAGGGGAAGGCACTTTCAGAGAGGAGGGGCCACACTAAGGTCTAGTATCAGCTACATGAGGATTATTCTGAACTGTGAATCATGCAAAGCTACTCAGAGTCCAGGAATAAACCACGAGCAGAAGAAAACTAATACGATTACCTCAACCACCTCGTCTTTAAGCACCGACAGCTCTGTGTTGTTCCTCCCCACGAAGTCGTACTTCGATTTGGCAAACATTTTGGGCTGCCCTCTGCCATCAGCGTCGAAGCCTCTGAAACACACCAACAAGGAAGACTTCAGTCCGAAAAAGAAAGAGGACCCGAAGCAGCACAGCAGCTCCACAGGGCCAAACACCGAACTTTAAAGGTAGATCAGTCTCCGAGGAGGAACATCAGGTCAAACAAAAACCTCTTCTCACTTTAAGAGTCTGATCGGTTTGGATCTGACGCCATGACACTGCTGAACATCGTAAAAAATGCGATGACATAAACTAAACGGCTGCAGCCGTGGAGAAATGTCCCACCGACAGATCAGAGGAGCGTCAGCCAGAAGAAGACAAAGATCATAGCGAGCGAAGAAGAAAACCAGCAACACAAAAACCAATCAGCAGCAGGAGGACAAACAGGAAGTGACAGAAGATTTATCAATATTTTAGCTGATTAAAGTTTACTGATCAATGATTATATTTCCTCACCTCTGTTTTATATTCAAATATAAATGAAATGTTCTGACGTTGATAATTAAACTGAGTCACATTCAGTAACACTTCATTAATGCATGTGTTATTTTCAAAACATCTACTCAACGTTAACGCCATAACTGCATTAATGCGGCAAATCTACGTTAGCTCATTAACGCGGATCGCCCCGTGCGAGGGCTGCATAGAATCAATGCGTTAGTGCGGTTAGCTCGTTAACGCGGGTCGCTCGTTAACGCATTAGCGCCGTGAAGCCCCATGTTAACTCGCTAATGGAGATTTGTTGCGTTAATGTGGTTATGGCGTTAATTGTAACGAGATTAACGCTGACAGTGCTAGTATATTTATATTCATTTATTATGAAATCTTTTTATTTATTCTATTTGAGCATGCATAAATATTTGAATAATAATTATTATTGTTATGATGTTGATGAAGAAGAAAAAAAGGAAAATTAGATTGAATTCTTTCTTAATTCTGGTTTGTTATATTTTCTTTGTTTACATACGTAGTTGTTTAACCATTTATTACTTTTGAAATATCTTCATTTGAATTTTTATAATGAATTTCTATTTACTGTTTTCTTTATTCGCTCATGTTTGAACTTCCTCTTTTCTTTAGTTAATTTTTTATAAATTTTGTTTTTAGTTCATCTAATCATTGTTGATTGTTGTGTGATTTTTCTTTATTCTGCTGTATTGATTTTGCCCCTCCCAGGCCTCCGTAGAGCAGAGCAAGCACAGCAGTGGGATCAGTTCTCCAGGGCGTCATGTGACCTGCAGTTACCGGTCTACACGGCGGCTGGCGGCGTGTTTGAAAGCAGCCACGGCCGTGTCCTGATCCAGGATCTGCATGCGTTTGTAGGAGGTGTTGGTGAAGGCATACCCGTCAGCAGGGGAGAACCTCTGCAGCGCCACCTGCAGCAGAAACAGAAATCACACCACAAGTGAGTACTGCGTCAGCGAGAGACAAGCTTAACTCAGAGCCACTTTCACGTCCCGCCCCTTACCTCCTGAGCTACCCACGGCCTTGGGTCCTCCGGTCTCTGCAGGTTGGCGTTGGCGAGGCTTTCAGCAAGCTGAGCGAGCTCCTGCTCACGACTCGGGGTTGTCGCCGGCAACGCAGGTGGTTCCCAACCATCACGAAACCTCAGAACACACGGCGGGAAGTAGTGGTCCTTCGGCCACTCCAGCCTTTAGGAGACCAAGATGTTGATCAGTCAACCAATTAAATCAGTCGACTGATCCATCGGTTACTTCCTGTCTGACCTGCTCTTTGTCCATCCGTCTCCCAGGGCAACCCACAAGTGTCTCTCCTCCGCCGTCCCCGAGGCGTGAAGGAAGTCGATGGCATCTCTGGTCAGCAGAGGAATGACAACGCTACGAGCCAGATCAACGCTGCCCGAAGCCTGGATCACCTGAGCGGAAGGAGGAGGAGGGTGTGACAATAAAAACTTTTTACTTACATTTACAACACTGTTTGGGGTTGTCTTAGGTGTAGCTGCTCTGGTGTTCCACCTGAAGGTCTGAGGGTGGAACTGAGACTGGAACCTGAGATTCAAGGTTGGAGCAGCAGTTGTGATATGTGACGGTGTTTGTGGACCAGCCATCACACTGATCTTAGGTCTCGAGTCCCTCATGCTCCTCCTCCATGTCAGGGGTTTGATGGGAGGAGAGATTCTGCCTCTCAGCTAAAGGATGGATGGATGGATGGATGATAGGTGGAGCCTCTATCTTTCTTTAGTTCTTAAGGATTTATTCCAGCTCCATGCCTGAAGTCAGAGCACATACAGGAAGAACTGTGTGAGGCGCTAACGCTGACTTACCATCTTTAGTGGTGTGAACAGGAAGTGGACCAGCTCCACGGCACTCGGGTTTTGGATGTGGTCCTTCAGCTTCCCCTGCAGACGGAGCACAGAGAGCTCATGAGGCAAGAAGCAGGTTCATCACCAATGAAACTATTCAGTCAGTCTGACAATAAATAATCAATACATTTAACCTGCGCAAGAGAAAACACGGACAAAAGATTCATTTATGATCAGCGAGTTTTATATCAGCAAATAAACTGTGAGAGGAGGGAGGAAGGGGAGGAGGAGGAAGAGAAAGGAGGTAGGAGGTACCAGCTGGTTGAAGGCATGCTTGAACTTCTGCAGACAGTCGACAAACTCGTCTTCGCTCGGAGGTTTGGAGCGCAGCGTCAGGACGCCCTCTGGTGGACACAGAACATGACAGAGGTCAGTTTGTTTAACTGAGGTCAGTCACAGGTCACATGACTCAGAGGAGGGAGGAATGATAGGTGTTCCTGTCACTCACACTAATTTATTAAAACAGTTTGGAAATAAATCAATAAATGTATTGTTGAGGAACGCAGTGATTCAGAAATCTGAAGCAGCCTGATGGGAAACAGCTGCCAGTGAGCTGATCTCTGATCAGCACATCCCTCACTCTGGTTTCAGCAGGATCTGTCTATGTGGACAGTACTGTATTGTAGTATCAGCACTTTTACTGCATATTTTGATTGGTGTGGCTCTGCTGCCTTCTCACCTCCGGGGCTTTTCTTCTTGCCCTTCTTGTTCTTCTTCCTCTTGGAGAGCTCACCGAAGGCCTCGGCAGCCTTCTGAAGTTTGGTGACGAAAAACTCAATGTCATCCAGGATGTGGTTCAGGATTTGCTGCGAAAAGGAGAAGCTGTGCTCAGGATCTTTTAATGTTTGATTCACCTTCACGGTGGCTTGCAGGTTTCCTGTATGCGTTATTTAATGATTAAACCTGAACAACAGCGCAGCGTTCAGCGCTCTCAGCTCCCTTATGTAAGCAGATTTGCTCTCCAAAGCTTCCAAACTCTGATTATGCTTGAATGAAGCAGCCTTCTTCAATCGGCTTAAATCTTCTATTGTGCCACAACCCCGGGCCGACCTCAGATTCAAGTTTAGCTCCTCCAGCTGCTCTCAGATCAGCCTTGAAACCCCACCCACACATGGGACACTCACCACATCGCGATCTACGTGAGCTGCTGTCATCTCCACCGGCCCATTGTCCTGCGACAGCCGTCTATCGTCTGCTGCAGAAGGGAGAAAGCGCATGTGTGAGGAAAACGTAACACCCGATTCATGAGAAAACATTAAAGTGTGACTGAAAACCAACACAGACATTTTTATTACTACGTCCTATCACCCATATCAGTTCCACACAGAGTCACATCACAGTAAATCCTCAAAGAAATAAAAAGCAGAATGATTCATCTGAATAAACTTTACCTGCAGCCTTTGTATTAAAAAACAAAAAACAAAAAAAACCTCAGTATTTGTTGCTTTCACTGTCAAAAAGAAAACAAAAGAACAAAACAAAAACAAAACCCATGTGAGCTTGAAGCAGCTGGTCAGAGATAATCCCAAATACTCTGCGAAACAAGCCGCTTAAACTCCTCCCACTTAAACCCAAATTTCTTCTGACTGGCTGTCCCTCACAACCAGAAGGTTTGAACCGCAGGTGACTGGGGCTTCTAGCAAGTGACATAACTCACCCTCGTACTGCTCATTGGTCCATGCCGACCAGGCTGCTGCACGACTCTTTACGTCCACCAGATCAGGTGACGGTGGCGGCTGGGGGGCAGGAGCGGAAGGGGGAGGGGGGATAATGCCATCGCTCTTCAGGATCATCCTGCAGACAGACAGATCAGCCAATCAGCTTCTAGGATGAGAAACTGGGCTTAGTAACCCTCAGAGTGTCTCAGCTCTTACTTCAGGGTCTCCGGCCGTTTTTTCACTTTGCTTCCTTTGGCATCCATCATGGCACTTTCTATGTCAGCTTGGATCAGATTCGCCTATCAGAGAAAGAACATAGATCATTAAGTTGTTCATCAGGATGAAACACATTTATAACGTGACATCTGACTCTGTCCAAACAGGCCGGTATTGTTGGAGTCCCACAGGGCTCTGCCCTCGGTCCTTTGCAGTTTACATCAAAGCTGAATTTTAATCAAAGTTTTCATTTACTAGCAGCAAACAGGTTTCACAGCAAACTCCTTCATCACACAGTAAAGTCAACTTTAAAGTGTTTTAGGACTTTTGGCCCTCAGGGCTAGCTTAGTGTCTTGCCCAATCAGAGGCTGTTTACTTTGATTTCGTCGCACTGGAACAGGTGGAGGTCGGGTTTGACCTGACCCGGCTCTTTGCAGATCAGAGCCAGGATGGAGTCGTAGCTGCAGGCGTTCATCACGGCCTGGCAGTGCTGGATCGAGCCAATCTGGAAGTTCTCCAGCTCGTTCTGAAGGAGAAAAACCCACGAGTCAAAGTCGGAGTGGGTCACACTGAGCTTAAAGCTGAGGACACACTGAGAATCAGTGTTCTTTTTTTGCCTTTTGTAATTAAAACAAACAAACAAACAAACAAACAACCCCCCCCACAAAAAACAAAACCAAAAATAAATCCTTGTTTTTAGCCTCACCTTTGTTCCTAAGTCGATGAGGCTCACCATCTTCTCCTCCACCTGCAGCAGCATCTCCTGTGTCCACACTTTCCCTTTAGCATCGAGCAGACGGAGGCGTCTGATGCCGTCATCCACCGTGATCATCCCGTCTTTGCGGTCCAGCACAAACGTGGTCAGGTGCTGAACAGACAGATTTAGAGTAACGGCAGGAAACTGAACGTCAGCAGGACAACAGGAGCTTCAAGCGATCACAGTCACAAACAAAACAGCTTATGTTTTTTATAATTTAAGTGGTGATTTTTGGTCACTTTGTATGTGAAAACCTTAAATTTGAACACGTTTGGTTTGATAAAATGCAAGGCAAGAGGAGCAGGCGTGAGCACCAACCTCCACATGATACTGCGATGTGTCTGTCAGGCTGTTGATGCTGGTTTTGGTGTAATGTTTCCTTTGTTCTGTTAAAAAGAACAGAGAAAAACTCTTATTCTGGACTGTGAATATCATGTTTATGTCTCCCTAAAGTCCCCCTGGGAACCTGACTGAGTTCATATTTCATGACTGAAGCTGGAAATTAGCATTCAGCTTTGATTTTATGGACTCAGAGAAGGCTTGAGGAAACTGTAATGAGAAGATGGTTTTATGCTGCTCCAATGACCTATAAGTGACACTAAAGCAACACACATGACGATGCTCTGAATTAAGCAGAGAAGAAGAGTGAACCTGGACATGTGATGGATTAAAGGTGGTGTTTGCAGGAGGACGTCAGTAATTCAGCTGCTTCAGAGCCCCTCCGGAAGGAGGTGACAGATGTTATCAGCTGTGATGGGAACAAAGAGGCCGCTGAGAGCCGCAGATAAGAGCCAAATCTGCATCGTCACCATTATCTCCACCCGGCAGGAGGACCGGCACACAGCTGCTCACAAATCAGCGGCAAAGCAGCAGAACAACAGCCAACAGCGACGTCCTTGCTAGAGTCCATGTGTTGTTTCAGTTTTTAAACAAACTCATTCACATGTGCACCAACAGGTAATGGTTTCACAGATTACCCATGATGCTCCTCTCCACCAAGCGCCAGGACGTTTGGCTTTTGTGTGAAAACAAAAACAGCATTGAATCCTTCAGCTCTCATCACAGAGGAACGACCTGAGCTCAGGCTGGAGCTTCTTCTTCACTTGAATAAATTTCCTGTTCACACACGGAGGAGGGATCACATGAAAGTTTTGCCTTAAAGTCCAGCTGTGTGTTTGCGCGTTTTGGACTTCCTGCAGGTTAGAGGGCGGGGCTAACTGGGTTTGTTGAGACTGTGAGGGACGCCATTCCTTCATTGGTCCCAGGAAATGTTAAAGTGACCTATGTGATCAAAACCGTTGTTTAATCTTGGTTACATGATCAAACACAGTGCTGACGTCTTTTTGGTGACCTGAAGCCTCCTCGAACATGGGCAGCAACTCCAAACAGCCCCTGGGCGACTGACAGGGATCAGAGCGAATTAGCAAAATAAACCTGGCAATGAAATCCTGAGCAGAGCTGAAAGTTCAAAAGTTTGGAGAACAGCAGCCGACTTGTATCCCACGAATGACCCGAGCAGGCAGAGTAACCAGATCCTACATCACTGAAAACATGTCTCAGAGGAAACACTGAGCCTCTGACGAGGTTAACCCTCAGCCGTCCAAATCCTGGTTGGAGTCTCTGGACACTGCAGATCTTCCTTCTGCCTCAGACACGGCAGAAAGTTTCAGCAGGAATCGTTCCTGCAGTGAGAACATTCACACACACAGCAGCTCCATAATCCTGCAGCTCCTGATCACATCACATTTACCTCACACTCAGCCTTAACTCAGCGACTCCAACTGAAGTTTATATCAACAGTAGGCCCGCTGGACAGCTGTGGTAAATGTCAATGTGAGCATAAAATTTGATTTCCTGCTGATGAACTGAGGAGGCCTCAGTCAATGGCTGAAGAGTCTAAAGCTGGAGGTCTGAACTTCAGTCACATGTTCACTGAGGTAAAGTTCACTGTGACGGAGATCATAGGAGATAGAGACCAGGAGCTACTGCACACGTGTTCACAGTAAGACCTGAGGGCTAGCTCACACGAATCAAACATCTGTCCCATTACAGATGTTTGACAACACGAGTCGTACCCCCGAGTTTGGACTTCAAACCTCTGTCTGAAGATAATCGATGCTTCACAAGAAACATCGACTCTGCAAACACGTAACGCCCAAACGAGGCAAAACACGACACACACACACACTTTCATATCTTGGTGGGAACATCTAATTGACTTACCCTAACCATCAAAAATGAATGCCTAATCCTAACCATAACCTAACTGTAACTTTCACACTAAAACCACATTTTGAGTCTCAAAATGCCTTCAATCTCATGGGGACAGCCTTTTGTTGCCATAACGGACTGTTGGCCCCCCCAAAAATAGTAAAATTCCAAGTTTTGGTCCTCACAAAGATATGTAAACGCGGTACACACACACACAGAGACACACACACACACACACACACACACACACACACACACACACACACACACACACACACACACACACACACACACACGTCTCACTGTGACTTTTCTTTTTGTGTTTGGCAGACGAACGAAGAAAATAGATTTCGTCAGATCCTGTGAACAAAGATAAAGCAGATAATGAGGTCATGGATCATGTCTAATTTCTCTGAAACCCAATAAATCAAACAAAGATTCACAGAGGATTTTTACCTGCTCAGGTTCAGTTCACCTGACTCACCTGGAGTCTCAAACTCAACTCCAAGTCTCAGTTTGTTTCAAGAATAAAAGCACCTAAATCTGAAGTAATGAAGACTACAGCATGTGGTGTTCAGAGAAATCTGTGCATGTTGTTTAGTCCTCACTGACGTCATGACCTTAAACCATTTCTAACATCAGCTCCTCTCACAGGTAACATTCACACCTGCAGACACCTTACAGTCAGCTACCCATTGTACCACCCCGATCACGGATGTCATCTCTGAACCAAGCTTTATTATAAATGAGGTCCAGAATGATCCAGGACAGCCTCACCATTTCCCAGGAGGAGGAGGGAGAAGGGAGGAAGGAGGGTCCTCACCGTAAAGAGCTTTGGCACTGGTCTTGGCTTTGTGCGTTGCAGGCTCTGGAGATGGAGCATCATGGCCGCTGGGACAGAAAGCAGAACAGAGTTAGGAAGTCAAAGGTCAGATCTGAGATCAGCTGATGATGCAACCAACAGCAGCTTCTGATTGGACGCCAGGTGATTTTACCCGACAGGGATACTGCGTGAGTGTTTGATTTTATTTCACTTCATCTCGGAGGTGTCCGAGTTTGGCTTCTGTTACAGTTTTATTTATGATGTCACTTCCTGCCTCCCCTCCTGTGCTGATCTCAAACCGGCATCCCGCCTGTGTCACTCGATACTTTTGCACGTTCACACTTTAATTCGCCGCATGAAGACGTTTATAATGAATGAGCGCGATTACAGACTACATCAGAGCCACGCCGGCACAAAACCTGACACCTTACAGGAAGCGCAGCACAGCAGCTGGTCATGTGACACACCGCTGATGATTGCCACACAAATGAATCTGTGCCAGGAACTCACAGGAAGTTATTCTTATGAAGTTATACGCGAGACCCTCTTTAAATGATTATTGACTTTATAAATAAATAAAATCAATAATCATTGATTTCAGATCAATATCCAGTCTCCATATATGACTCCAAGCCAGAGAAATTAGCTGGTCTATCCCAGATCATCCTCTTATGTGGGCAGGGACACGCTGATGTTTTTAGGGCTGGGGACAGTGAATAAACACACGAACCAGGAAAAACAGAACGGTCCTGCTTCAGAACCAGAAACCATGAGATCCGGTCTCTGCTCCTCCGGAGGTCAGACAGCTGCTTCCTGTCCACATCTCAGTTTATTTCTTAATAACACCGTCACAGAAGCAGATGGCTCGGTATAGACGTAACAGAGACCAGTAAAGCTCCTGAAGCGTGTCCGGTTTGAGTTTTCATTAATTTTTAATCTGAGGTTTTCTCAGAGAGAAGCTGAGCTGCAGTAATATTTAACTTCTACTGCTGCGAGACGAGAAGCGTCAGCACGGATAAGAAACTCAGAGACGCTTTCAGTTGGCCACAAAAACCCTCCAAAAACTGTCATTTTACAAACAAACAACAAAAGTTCTGACTTAATCATTAAAATTGTTTAATGGGCACTACTCAGTAATAACTGGAATTATTAACAAAACTAAACATTGTCATGCACACTTCAAATACATTTAAAATTGAAACTGTAAATATTTTTTAAGCTTTACCAAAGACTATACAAAAGTATGTTTTAAATAATAATTACTATTTTATAATAATTCATAATACAAGACTTACTAATGAAAGATTTCAGTCGTTACAATTAATCTGAAGTTACACTTAAATTTACTCAGTTCATTTACATCACAAATTTATGGTTGTATTTTATGGTATTTTTAAAAAGAAAAGTTGTAGTTTTGTAATCTTATTTTGAAATCTGTTGAATATTTAAAACTAATACTTACCAAATTGTTTAAACTATTTTAAAAATAGCCACAAAATATACACACAACGAAAATTGAAACTGTTCAAAATAAAATGTTTTATACATTAACCTCAGTTATTTACTTAAAGAATTGATGAACGAAATTTACCAGAGTCCAGTAAAAGCTCAGTATTAAAATAAAACTTTAAAAACCTGAAGAGATTCTCTTATTTCAGAAACAATCAGTGTCACAGAAACAGCACAGGTTATGCCTCATATCAGAGTAAGCATTATTAACAGTGTTTCACATTCAAAAAGTGACCATGTGAGCTAACGTGGCTAACATGGCCAATAGCAGAAAAGGCTGCTGGGAAACTCACTTGATGGGCGAGCTGTAGGAGCCGAAGACGCCCGAGGCGAGAGCTGGAGGTTCGTATCCGTTCATGTTGCTTCACGGTGGACCATCAGCTGGAAGAGACGCAGACGCACCATGAGTCACATGACCACACTGCTGGGTCAAAGGCTAGCTCCGGGTAAATGTAATACATTTATCTGCTGTGACCAAACATCTGCACAAAGCTCATACCTCCTGACACTACTGGAATGCACTGGTGCCGTAAAACCACAATTTTATTGATATATGCTGAGGCGTCAAAACTCATCATTTTACTAAAACTAAATTAGTGGAAACGGCACAAAAAAGGCCAAACAGCAGCTCTTCAGAGGCCTGTGGGTCCCCTAAAACTCTATAACTCCTAAAAGCTGAAAATGAAGCTGCCACGCTGCCGTTCCTCTGACATCCAGCAGAGGCAGCAGTGGTTCAACCTGTAAGGTATGGACGCTACGATGACAGAGCAACCACCTGACCGCCAACATGGCTGCTGCAAGTACTGCCAGAGCATCCAGGATGGCTGCTGAAACGCGAGGGTTTAATCTGGATGTTTCTGAGTGCTGAGTGGCGAGTCGCCCTCAGAGAGTTCATCTCATTAATGGCTCGTTGGGCGTTCCCCACGGAGCGGCAGGGAAATTAAAACTGCGTGGCACACAAAGGGGGCCCGAGCATATTTATGGTAGTTAATGACACAGTATGTACAGTGCAGCCACGCGTGATTACTTTTCCCACAGCGCCATTCAGCTGGGACTCATAGCCATGGTAACCAGGCTGCAGCCATACTGTTTGTGCTGCAGAGGAGGAAAACCTGTGAGACCGCAATCAGGGAGAGATGAGTCCACAGCAGGAAGTGATGTAACGACAGCAGAGTGAAAATACCAAAACACCATCTCAAAATACACTAGCTGGTTAGCTCCTCTGATCATGAGCCCTCGCGGGTGACAGCAGCAGAAACATGAGGACACAAAGGTGAGGAAGAGTCAAGGTACAGGCATTACAACCCAAACCAACTGAGACCAGGGCCAAGGCCGGATCTGTGACCTCATCGAGACCCTGCCTCCAGCGTGACAGGAAGCCATCACAACCCCAAATAAGCCCAATATACGTCAATGTTTTCAAAAGGTACAAAGACAGCAGATACAGAAAGCAATGAAGAAGAACCAACCGCATAATCCGCTGTGTGTGCTTCTCCACTAAACCAATACAATCCAAACGCAGGAACAACGCCACTGATTAATGACGTTCAGAAAATAAATTTTTTTGAAAATCCAGTTCAGCTCTAAATGTTCATGTCTGAAGGCTGTGATGTCTCTGGTGGGCGGTGACGCTACTGCAGGATCATTTGAGTGTTTCGAAATTTGAATGATCATTTACGTTTTACTCCACCATCAGCATCTGGCTTGATTCTACACTGATTCCAAATTTATCATCCTGACTTTAACTTGCTCACCTGAGCACGTCCACCCACCTGTGCAGCCCCAGTGGCTTTAAATCCTCATCATTACTCCCACAAAGCCCCGCCCACTCTGATGGATATGAAGTTCATTTTCCACCACCTCCTCCTGACACCCCAGGAAGCTGAAGGGGTCAAAGATCACGCTGGTTAGGCTCAGTTTTGTCATCTCTATTTGCTCTGGGAGGAGATGCGGTCACCACGGCGAGAGCCACTTCTTCTTTTCTCACTTATCTTAGGCGGGGCATCAATGGCGCTGTGAGGTCAGCAAGCTTTACGATAACGAGGCGTTTACAGCATGATTGTTTAAATAGAGTTTCCTGAACGTTTCCCGGTATCCTTCACTCAGCAGGAGGAAGGTGGGGATTAGGTGTGTGTGCGCCCATGTAGAGTTAAAGCTCCTTACCGATCCTGTGACACACACTTTAATCCTTTAAATGCCATGTGGATTTCAAAGTAAAAGCACACAGATTTAAACTGGTTTGTAGTGCTGGGCAATAGGACGATATATATCGTGTGAACGATAGAAAAATGGCTATCGTGCCGTTTGTCTTCTGTCGTTTCTAACCTAATTTTATAATTTATTACATAAAATATATAATTAAATAGCCTGTGGCAAATATATCAGCGTTGTCTTCTCACTATACATACTCTATTTTCTCTTGCGTAAATTTAAAAAAAAAAAAAAAAAAGTTTTTCACAAAGAAACTCCGTCTTGTTGTTTTGCGACATGGTGCTGCTTTACGTGCACCCAGATTTGCAACATGCTTTACGGTAACTCAAAACGATGGATGCGCGACAGGTTGCAGTTTCATGCCCGGACATGCAACAGGACGGCTACACAGGCAGCTCAAGAAGAAGCACTTTTACCGAAAAGAGGGGGTACATCTGGCATTTGGTTATAATTTTTGAAAAACAAAACAAAACAAAAAAAAATAAAAGTGAAGGCCACAGCTGTTTTCATTTGATACATTTATATTGCTGCACTAAAATGTATGTTTGTCATTTGTGACAGTTCCGTTAAATGTCTCTTCAAAATAAAGTTGGAGAAAAGAAACTTTTCAGAGAATAACTGGAAACGTGGCAATATTGTGGTATATCGTGATATAAAATAATTCATATCGTGATAAATATTTTTTCCATATCGCCCAGCACTACTGGTTTGTGTCAGGAAAAGAAAAAGTTCACTTTGATTCTCGCTGTGAGTCACACCTAAAAGCCCCCTCAGTTACCCACAGTCTTATCAGGCTACAAAAAATAAAATGCCATGTTTATTATGAGTGTACATTATGAATATAGGACGCTGTGACATCACAAAAATATGGATGTGAGGACAGGTCGGCTTTCAAAGGAACTCCAGCTGTGAATAATAAATGTGTTGAGGTGAGCGGCGGGAGGAGAGGAGAGTGACATGTTAAAGAAAAGAGATGAAGCGGGGAGTCACCAGGCTGATAAGAACGTCCTTGTCGGTCACTCATTAACTGTGTGTTTGATCTGGGAGGCGTTTCCACGCCGACACTGGAAAAAACACCCTGCTCGAGCCGCCACACGCTCTGGGCCTCTAGACCTGGAAAGGTCTGACATGAAGCAAGAACCGTGAGACTCCACCCACATAAAAGAGATGACACTGATGTCAGGGTTCAGAAGGTCACCGCAGCACCGTCGGCTTCCCTCCATCTTTACTCCGACAACAAACATCCACCTCACAGCGTTCCACTGAAACAAATTCAGGATCAAACTCTAATACAAGTGAAGGTGGAGAAGAACACACACCCTCAATCCAGTGCTCCGCTCACACTGCATCCATGTTTCAGAGAGAAGACATTTTCTACAACTCCTCCTCTTAGTTTAAATCTCAGAGTTTTTCCCATTTCCTCACTGATGTTTCTCAGTGCAGATGGTGAACGAACTCTGCTCATCTCTCAGATATTAAACTGCTTGTGAAACAGCTCTGTTACCATGGAAACTGCTTCTGGTGTCTGCAGCTGCCTCACAAACCATCAGCTGACACAGGAGAGCCATCGCCGCCACGTCTCATCCGCTCAATCACAACTTCATCACCATGCCCCTCCAATTTTCAGTTTTCCAGTCCCTGATCTCAGATGGCGGTCATGAGTCATGTGACTGGCTTCACAGTGAGGAGACATTGATTAACGTCCTCCGATTGGTCTGTAACCCAAATACTGAGCGTGTTCTGCAGCTTCAGCAGGAGGAACAGTTTGATGCCTCAAAGTTCACTTTCAAATCTTTTATGACATGTTTATTTTCATGTTCTCTAGTTTTATATTTTTCTGTAAATTATTTTGACTTCTTTAACTCTTTTCTTTATTATTTTATTTACATTTGTGAGAATTTTTCTTAGGCGGTGTATTATTTTTTTTTTAAATCAGTTTTCATGACTTTCTTGTAACTTCAATTATTTGCAGTGTTTTGTCTCATTTCCAATTTTATTTAATCATGTCTCTTTAGATTTCCCTGGTTTCTTTTTCTAGCAAGTACCTTTAAAAACATAATTTCATTCATTTATTTCTTCATTTTTTTATTTTATAGTGTTATTTTTAATCAGTTTTTAAAGATTGTTGCAGATTTGAATGTGAACTGTATGTTGAAGAAACACTTTATTAAATAAAATGGTAAAACAAAAATTGCCTCAGTGATCGGGTCACTGACACCAATTCGCTCACAGCTCCATCACCTCCGGAAAAGATCCATACTCATCAGCAGTGACCGTGTGGCGCTGACATTGGACGCTGCAGCACGTGTTCGCCAGCTGACCCGCTTTCAGACCCACAGCTGGAGGCACCTTTCCACCTGCAGTTTGTTCAAGAGCAGGTCCGCGAGGGCCGGCGCAGTAAAGGAGGCTAAAAATAATCCTGAGTAATCCTGAAAGTGCTGAAGTCTTCATTCCTGCTCAGAGGGTCACGGTGCCCATTACAGGCGGCCTCGTTACACCGGCTCACAGCGAGGGAGTACCGAGGAGCACACTGCACAGAGTGAGTGGAGAGTGGCTCGTCTCTGTGAGAGTGAGTTTCAGTGAACAAGTGCATCTACAAACACACCGAGCATCATTGACTGACACAGATTGTGGCAGGCACGGCAGCAGTCACAACCATGACCTGCTGACATCATGGAGGTCACACTGAAGGGCGCTTCAAACTGTTTCAGCAGAAACTTCCTCCAGTCAGAGCCACAGAACTGAACTGATCTCAAAGAAGTTCTGAGCTCTGATTACACCTGCCGCCAAACACAAACACGCCCCGTGGGCCTGCTGATTGGTCAATCCACCTCGTCAGCAGGTATTTGAGACAAAAGTGGAAAAGAATAAAGAGGCGTCCACGCCAGCTGGGACACTGAAGTCTGTCTGACTTTGGCTCTGTGACGTTAACAATGAGGTGGAAGAGAGCTAAGCACAAAAACCCAGACTGATGTTATTACTGAACCAGATTTTTTTTTTTTCCCTCACACTCACACAGTGACACACACAGTCACACACACACACACACACACACACACACACACACACACACACACACACACACAGTCCAACCGCACATCGAGAGCTACTATCCTGCAGCTTTTAGATGCATCCCTACTCCAACACAGCTGAATCAAATGGTTTGATTACCTCTTCAGCATGCCATCGTGTTTGGCAAAGGCCTGATAACAAGCCATTCATTTGATTCGGGTGTGTGGGAACAAGGATGCATCTAAAAGCTGCAGGACGGTAGCTCTCGAGGACCGGGATTGGGCACCCTTGATTTACACCCTGAGGACAGACAGGAAACCTTTGGCACCGTGAGCTGAACTGGCTCACACTGCCAAACTGCAGCCTCAGAGTGACGACTGCAGCGGATCCAAAAATCGCAGCATAAAAGCAACTTCCTGTTGTCTCCTCAGGAGCTCTGATACAATGTTTTGTGCCACGTGGATCATTCACAGACATTCAGTCCCTGTTTATTGGTCCTAAATTCTGTTCAGGTTAGGATAAACCCCGCCCACTCACATCAGCAGTTCTCTTCGCTTCCATTGGAGGGAGTATCAGTCACTTGTCTGACTGAGGTTTGGGTTTAACAAAGATCTCCTCGGGACTCAAAACATCTGGCTGCAGATGCTGTGATTCATGATAAACTCAGATCGTTGTGACCTGAGACCACCAGTTTGTGAGAGACAGCCAATCACAGGAAGCAGCTTTGAAAGGGAGGAGTTAGAACTTGGAGAGCGGATTATTCTGAATCCAGAAATTGAACCGCGGAATCCTTGCAGCAGACAAACCCACAGACGGCGTCTTCTCAGACCACAAAGCCTCGGTAACAAACCAAGCGAGCACCTACCTGTCCAAGTCGTCCACAGGTGAGCGGAGTGTGAGGTCGATGCCGCAGACGGCTCAAATAAAGCTTCTCTGACTCCAAGCATCATGTGGTGGATTAGCGAGGATCCAGGGCTTGGTGCAGCACCGGGATTCGCTGCAGCAGCGAGTTGGCGTCCAGGATCCTCTGCTTTAAGCCTGACTAATCACTAATGACGGACAGGTGGGGGATAGGGAAGGGGCGGGGCTTCCAACTGACAGGTGGCAGTGGAAACACCGAGTGGGCTTAAAACTCTCAGTTTACTCTGTGCAGAAGAGTCATGCAACACCCAATACTGTTATCAAAACTGGTCGCTAAGGAAATGTGCGGTTTATTTTTGTTTTCTTTTAGAATAAATGACTCATTGTGAGGGAAACGCATCTTATCAGCAGGCCACGCCCACCGCACCCATGGAGATCAATAAAGTTTAATCTAACCTGCAGCGATAATGGGTCCTGATTCATCTGTGGTGCTGACCCGCTTTAAAAATAAAATGTTATTTGTTTCACACAGCTGCTGCCTGATGAGATCACACTTCAGTGTCACGATTACTTATTGATCTTCAGCAGCTGATCAACAGAGCCTCTGATTCAGACTCAAAGCTTCTCCTGAAGCTCAGAGTGCAGACAGATCTTCAGTTATTGATCAGTTATTGCTCACAGGTCATCTGGACTGGATCAGAAGTTTGATCAGCAGAGAAGAAGAACCTGGGATTTGTTGATCTGGCATTTCATGGCTTCATAAACCAAATGTGTCCCCACGACTCCTCTTTGACGATTCAGTAGTGTCACAGAAACCAAACACCAGTCTCCAGGCAGGACTTTAATACATGATGATATCACCGACTCTGATCAGGTACCTAACACACGTGAGCGTGTTGTTGCGTTTCCTTCTTCTGTTGTTGGATCCTCGAGTAGAGCACAGCAAATGTCCTCAGATTCTTCTCACCGAGCTTTGTGCATCGCAGCGCCCCCAACAGGTCAAAGTCTCAACTTTCAGATTCAACTTCCTGTTTCTGAGTACAGTATCATCTCTGATTGGTCCATGCTGATTGGTCCATGCTGCCCTCCGTGTGGAGGATGGGGCAGGCGGGCCGTGGTGTGCTTCAGTAAATAAAGAGTCAGTCCCTCAGGAGGTCCTGAGCTCCTTTACTTCCTGTCTTTGCTCCTTACGACAGCGTGTGATACCTGGTATTAGGTGAGACAGGTGAGTCGCAGGTGAAACAGGTGTGCCGACGCCCTTGCCTCCTCTTTGTTCTGCTAAAAATCAGACCGCTGGCTTAGTCCGAAACCCGACTCCCAACCGCCCCCAGTTTCCCATTTCAAAGCCATAATCCTGTAGCAACACCTGGCAGGTACGGTTACATCACACTGTCGTCACAGCAACCACAACACAGCCAAACAGGGAGAGCTCCAGGGAGACGCCCAGAAGATGGGACAGACGTTTTTCACTTTGATCTCAGAGTTCATGGGAAAAGTTTATAAGTGATATCATCATAATGCGTGTTTCCACTCCATTTGTACCTGCTGTTGACATCACACACAGACCCTCATGACAACACGTCCACTGACCCTGGAGTCAGTTATGGTGCACAGTACAGCACAGTTAAGACCCGCTCACCATGGACAAAACCCTCCAACCACCAAGCTGAACACAATCAGAGGTGGAGTGGAGCAGCACAGGCATGGAAACATCCAGAAATATCCTGCGAGGCTCTCAGGAGGATGGCAGGCTGACGATGGTTCCCATGAAGAGCACTGATCCAAGACCAGCTGTGGCCTGCAGCAGCCTGACAGGAAGCCCACATACAAACACTCGATTACACAACCAGCTCAAAGGTCCTCCAACTGTTCAGCTTCAGAGCCCGCTGACCTTTGACCTGCAGGAAAAACAACCCCATCTTCCAGCAGTAAACACACACACAGCTGAAGCAGGTCTGATCACACCTTCTGTCAGAACCACTTCAGTGAAGTAACAGTGACCTAGACGTGACCTCAGAGAGGCTCATTATGGTGTATGGGGGAAGGAGCTTTCTGATAAACATCAGGTGACTGTGACCCGGTCAGGTCACTCACCTAGCTGCTCTGCTCTCCGCAGTGATGGCACGAGGTTCAGTGCACCACATGAATCCAGGTGTTAGCCGGTACCACCGGGAGGAGCAGAGAGCTTCCAGGCCGAGCCGAACAAGTGGAGCACCGGGCAGCCCTGTGCATATAGCCGGGGAGGGTCGCCTGCTGCCTGGGCCGCCTCACACACCTGCCCGCTGACTGCTCGGATCCGCCATCAAAAGCAGGCAGGTGTTTTTATTCCGGAGAGAGCGAGCACCCGGGCGCAGGGAGGAGCTGCCCTTCACCTTCATTTACTATTATGAACACACAGTGTGCCAAACTCCATTTAAGATTCTGTTGATTTAAGAAGAACTGGACTCCAGCCAGAATAAATGAAGGTGTGGGCTGTAAATGAGAAGCTGGGGGCTGAAATGGAAGCTTCCAGCCATTCCGGCGCACACACTGCCCGCTCTTAGCCTCTCTATCCGGAATAAACTGGCATTAAAGTTGGTCTTTAGCTCCAGTCACCAGTCCACTAAGACTCTTTGAGACACACCAACAGCAACAGAGAGCGCGGCCATAAAAGTTTAATTTACACTCACTTGAGCCCTGTCTGTGTTTTTGAGTGAAGCCGAACTGAGGCCGAGACACTGGAGCTTCAGGTAAAGAGGACTCGGGTATGTGTGTGCGCGCGCGCGGTCACAGCTTCACTGTGTGTGATCTTTCCGGCGGAATCTGGTGTGGGAGCCCGTGACCGCAGGGCTGCTGCCACAGAGCAGAGGGCAGCTCAGCTGCTCCGGTCCGCAGTTCCACTGAGGTCAGAGGCTCGAAGCCGCTCACAGACCACCACCCACGGCTCAGAGCCGCCGGACTAACCCGGACCTCAACGCCCCCCCTCCGCGGCGGATCAGGAGACTCACCTGCAGGTGCGGCTTCAAAAATCCCGAGGTCACAGAGACATGGCACAGTCCGCGCTGAGAGCTCCGGGCGCTTCACCGGCTCCTGCCTGCACTCTGTGTCTGAATAACTGCACTCCTGTTCGGCTGCGGGAGCTCCTAGCGGAGATTAATCTGCGGCTGACGCTGGATCAGCTTTAAAGCAACGGACCGCAGTAGAGGGCGGTGTGTGCCCTGAGTGAGGACTGACAGGACAGTCTGCCTACTTGACCACGCCTCCTTCACGCCAATCAGGTCGTTAAGTCTGACGTCACTAGCCGTGTCTGGGCCTAAACTCTACTGCAGGTCCATATATCAAATGATTACTGAGAGTTGAAAAACTGTCTAAAGTGTTTCATCTTTAATAAAATGATCAGCGTTCTGCTCTACCAGGTGTAACAATTGAGTTTAACATCCAGGCATCCATGAAAATGGAATTTATGACATTTAACGGAGTTAGAAGTTAGCAGGAAGTTAGCTCGCTAGCTTTTATCTATATATATATATCAATATAGCATGTCCTGACTGCGGGGTTTTGGACGTGATAACAGAGCTGTACGTTTGAATTTGTTTCCAAAACCCCGCAGTCAGGACATGCTATATTGTATTTAGATAGAAGCTAAATACGGTGGCTGCTGTAGGACAAAAATGTTTTAATCAGCCAAGAGAGATCAAAGACACTGAATCTAGATTTTACCTCATAACAACTGGCATATTTCTACTACTTTTTAAAAAATACATTATAAACACATTTGAATAATATCAATACTTAGCAATAAATCTGGAATAAAACCCAGAAATGTGTCAAATAGATATTTTGGGTTCTCCTCAAAAATGTGGGCTACTGTTCATCTGCAAAGTTGCAGGTTCAGATCTGGCTCGGAGTTTTCCCTCTTGCAAAGGCTGGCAGTGTGTATCTGTTTACTCTGGAGGAGGCTGCAAAACTTCATGAAAGGACTCAGACATAAATAAATGGTAAATGGCCTGCATTTGTATAGCGCTTTACTAGTCCCTAAGGACCCCAAAGCGCTTTACACTACATTCAGTCATTCACCCATTCACACACACATTCACACACTGGCAATGGCAAGCTACATTGTAGCCACAGCTGCCCTGGGGCGCACTGACATGAGTCGATGACTCAGTTATTAAGCTCAGATCCCACTGATAAAAACTATAGGTGAGCTGCTGAGGATATGCTGAACTTTTCTGCCGTAACACTGCTGTTTGTTCCACTGCTGGGCTACGCTAGCTGCTACTAACATCCATTAGCTTCTGTTAGCATCTGTTAGCCCTGTCTATAACACAGTGTAAAAACGTAATTAACCTGTTTTTACATTAGATGGATTTTACATTATTGTGGATTGAATGTTATTAGTGCACCAGTTCAGTGCTCGCCATTGAAAGCTATAAATATCTTAAAAATATTCCAAAATGAGGGACATATTGATTTTTGATCTATAAATGTCTCAATAAACCAATAATCTTCAATTTATTGAGACAGTGCTGATCAGGTCACCTAAAGCTGCCTTCCAGCCTACACTCAGGGAAGAAGGGGGCCCTCGCAGTGATAAGGCAGCGAGGGCCCCCCCTGCTGGGACAGGACACACTCAGCAACAGAGAGGCAGAACCTCTGCCTGCAGTAAAACACCATGGTACTAGTACTCAGTAAAAGTATCCGAGTATAGTCAGGACTCTTCCACGTGGCCTGAACCCAGAGATCAGTTTGTTAGCCAGAATCCTCAGGGAGAAGAGCTGTGAATGATGAAATAATGTAATGAAAATAATCCAAAAATCAGTCAATTGTCATGGTGACGACAATGAAAACAGGAAGTCATGTGACTGGAATTTCTGTAAAACCTTTTGTGAAAAGACTCAGAGTTCGTAACTGCGGCTAGCCTTATGCACACGTGTTTGTAAGAGTTTCACCTTCAGGAGGAGAATATCTTAATGAGTCACACAAATATGGCAAATGTGAATTAAAAGTCTGACACACAATTGCAAACTGCACAAAATCTGAAAAATCCTGCCTGTTTTCAAAGAGAAACACTTGTGTGAAACTTTAAAGCGCATTGTCAGATCATCTTCAGTTGTGACATCACAATAATTTGCCCCACTTAGTAAATCTGTCCAGTAGTCCGTAAAGTAAAACCTGTCTTATTTTCTTATGTTTACCTGCTGTGTATAATTCCTTTTCTCCCCTGATGGGTAGAACAGTGACCACACAGAACCTTAAACACACTCTGATCAGTTGTTATAGATCATAATGTTGAGCTCATACAACGTTCTACACGCAGCAGCAGGTCAACAGAAAGCAGTTTTTCTTCCACTGGTGCGACGTTTAAATGTAGCATGTCATTTTAACAGCTGCTGATAAAAACTGAATATGTCAGAAGGTTATGGGTGAAATGGAAAATACTGTTATGTTGAACATTTATATGCTCATTTCTGCTCTGTATTGTCGTTGTCATAAAGGGTGAGATGCTCAGTCACTATGAATTATAGGGTGGTGTCTTCTCCTCCCCTTTCATAAAGGATGGTCCAGCCAGCATCTCCTCTGCTAAAGGAAACAATACAAGAAGCACTGACCCTCCTTTCCTTAGTGTTTTGGAGAACTGGAACAGCTCAGATTATGGCCATCATGCAGATACTTGGCCCGCACCCCATTCTTAGAGCTTCATAAATAGCTGACCCTAATGACTGTGGTCAGGTTTGGACCAATCACAGTGCACATCTGAATCCTGTTTAAACGAGTCAGTGTGGCCTTCATTTACCAGGTGAGTCATTAACAGCCTGTTCCTGGCTGGCTGGAAACAGGGAAGCCTGCTGAGGACATGCAGGTAATGCAGCCAATGCTGACCCCTGCTGGTGAAAGCTTCAGTGGAGGGTAACCTTTACACACAGTTTCCTGTTTGTTACTGAAGCGTGGGTCACCACAGCCTCAGCATCCAGAGGAGCGGTCATTGACTGGAGCCTTCTGATTGGTCCATCAGCAACATTACCGGTCGCTTTAACTCTTTAAACTGCTCTGGAATAAAACAGCATCATCGACGTTGTTTACTTACAAATCTGCAGGAGGAAAATATTTACATGTAAAATACAAAAACTACATTAAACCTGACTTACAGTACGAGGATGATGAAGCAACGTTTCATACAGATGAAAACTGCATGAAAAAAACTGAATCATATATTCTGATTTATTTATACTTTTTCTTTTATGTTTTGTACTTTTCAGACTCCCATACAGGAAACACATAAGGAAATAAAACAGGAGTATCTGTTTAATTAATGTATCATTTTTGATAGTGTATAAACGTTTGTTAAAATTTCAAACTGTTTGACTACATTAGATCTATTCATATTTCCCATTTATTGATAAATATGGGAAAAACAATTACAATTACACTCAATTAATTTTATTCTACAAGGTGAAATTAGCTGATTATTTTATAATCAATAATTTGTCCACTTTATTTTTATGGTCAATAAATCCAAAGGAAAATGAATATGGGAAAAAAAATGTCATGTTCTGTACTGACAGAACATTGTGCTAAACATGTTTTTAAAACTTTAAGAATTTATTTCTAAAAATCAAGCTTCACAGATAGAGTTACATCTATGTCAGTGTCTGAGAGCAGGGCTCAGAGGTGTAAATTAGCCTTTGTATGTGTAGTTTCACGTCCACTTTAATTACACGTCAGAGCATGTATTTTGTATTTTTTGGCAGTGTTGGTCTTCCATACAGTGTGAGATTAGAAGTTTAAAGATGAAGCAGACAAACTTACACATCTGAAAAGTCATATTTTTTATTCTTTTTAAACACTCTGAATCAAACCAACCTCTATACCACAGTAGTGCAAGATTACCTGTGAATACGTCTGATCACATGACCTGCTGTCCATCCAGGTGAGGCCAGAGATCCCCTCTGATTGCCTCAGAGGACACCTGAGAGTTAACCTGCCAACAAGCTCCTTTGACCCCCCCCCAGAGAGTCTTGGCAGTCTTTGTTTCACTTCCTGTCGTCAATCACAAGGTCCAAGCGTGGCAGGAATAGCCACCACGGCAACACACATAGGCGATGTCTGACATCAGTGTATTGATTTAACGTCCCATGAACCAACTATTCCCAATGTACTAATGTCAGAAAACAGAAAAAAATCGTTCCAAAGCTGACAGGCTGCAGTGAGTACTGCCTCCGGTGGAGGTACTGATTACTACAGCCACAATTTTCAATCACGAATTGATTAGAAGTGAAAAAAAAAGTTTAAAGTGCGAGTCCCTCAGACAGGTCTGCACACGACATGTTAAAGCAGCGGTGAGTGTTCAGTCACAGCAGCTCTCTGATTCGACGCATTTCAGCATTTCCTGTTTTTAAACTGTTGGAGTGACGTTTTGGCCCTTTAACGAGTTACCACAGCAGCACGGACATGTTAACCAGTTCCCAAAGTGCTTCTTCCAGACCTCATATCCTGATATTAGCTCAGCGGTCACGCCAACCTATGGTTCTAACCCACCCTATGGATATGCCCACGTAAAGCTGCAGTACTTTCTCAAGCCCCTGCCACCAGATAAACACAGATGAGCTTCATCACAAACTCCTTCACCACTCGGCAGCCATCTTGAAACGCATAAAGGCACTTATTAGGCAGTTACTGTGGAACATGAAGGTCAGGGAACAATCAGACTGGTCAGAGGTAGAGTCAGGTCAGGGGTCAGATTTATTTGACCTGACAGATTACGCTGTACAGATGATGTCAAATATGTGATTGGAAGGCCAATCTCCGATCACACTGAGTGGATCGTTGTGGAAAGCAGAAAGACGATCATTACTGTGACAAATTAGATTAAAGCCAACCGCTCAGAGGCGTTACCAAGATGGCTGCCGAGCTGTGAGACCACTCAGATGGTCTGACCTTCATGAAAGGTTGTTACCCCAGCAGAAACCTGCCATTAGACTCAGCTGTCATCGATTAAGAGCTGCTACACTACCTGTATGCCCCTGAATGCCGCTCACACAGGAAGTTCCGTCACCGTGAATCGGACCCGATCGAGTCATAGCTGGTTTGATTTATTCGACTTTTACCTGTATTTAAAAACCATTCAACTGCTGGCTTCGTCCCCTCCTTGTCCTCCACTGTCAGGGTCGGCCCTGACACAACACGGAATCGTTGGTTTGTGTTGCGTGTGTGATCTCACGACACCTCGATGACCTCCATACTGCCCGAGAAGCTTGATTGACTCCCCGCCGTGCCCATTTCCTCGCGGGAGCGGCTGTCCGCCATCCCGTCTCCAAACTCCATCTGGCAGCTGCGCCGCTTCAGCTGCTTCTCAAAGCTGCTCTCTTCGTGCCAGCTCCTCCTCGAGTCACCGCGGTCATGTGTCCGCTGCCGCCGCCGTACCGCCTCCAAGCCGTGGTTGCAGCTGTACGCCGTGAAGCCGCCGCCGCTCAGGATAGCCGATGTAGAGTAGAAGCGCGTGGACTCTGAGGAGAGGTACCATCCACTGGCCAAAGAGGAGGTGGAGACGGTGACAGGGCCCAGTAGGATGTCCGAGTGCCAGCCCTTCAGGGCGCTGCCACCTCCTGGTTTGGCGAGGTGCTGCTGGCTCCGTGAGAGGCCGAACAGGAAGCTGGTGGCGTTCTCCTCCATGCTCCCGCTCCGGTGCAAGTGGTGGGAGCAGTTGGTTGGAGCGGCGGGTGGCTTAGCAAAGCCGCTGGAGGCCGATGACACCGCTGGCTGCGGGCTGCCTGCCTCCTCCTTATCAGGGCTCTGCTCCGGCGTGGACTGCTCTGAAACCTCCTCCACTGGCGAGAACTGGCAGGGTTTACTCGTTGTCTCTTTGAAGGATGGCGGCTTGTAGAAGTCATTGCTGTCCCCCGACCCGCTGTGAGGCGCGAAAACTCGATGGGTGCCGCCCCCGCCAGGCTCGCCATATGACTTGATGTCCAAAGAGAAGGAGCGTTTCAACCGGGCACTGTCTTCTGAGCCGTCGGCGAGCTGCAGGCCACTCAGAGCCTGAGCCAGCAGGCGCTCCTCGGGGGCATTGGCTAAAACGCACGGCAAGGTCAAAGGTTCCAGCAGTGTCACGCCGGGCATTGGGACCGCATCCTCAGGCTGAGCGCAGGCCTCGCTGCTGGGCTCCGGAGGATGGAGACACTTGGGTTTGGCGTCCATACCAGGAGGACTTTTTATCTTCTTCTCAAAGTCCAGCAGCTGACCCAGGAAGTTAAAGTTGGGCGAGATAGTCGGCCGCTTTTCCTTCACAAACCTGAATGAGGAAGAGAAACAGGAGCATGACTATGGACAGGAAGCAACACGACAGGTTAATGAGGATCAAACACTTACGGCTGTCAGCATCATTCAATACCAAACATGCGCACATTTAAAGTTTGCATTATTAGGCGCGTGGCCTCTGACTGACAGGTGGAGGCTGACACATGCAGCTGTAGCTGCTAGCCGTGTTTGTTAGGGATCGTCCTAGTGACTGTTTCTTAGTTGAGAAAAAAACAAGATGAACCGACTGGTCTAAAAGTAAGTATTCAATAAAAACAAATGCCGCTTAATGACAAATTATCATCTGAAAACTAAACTGCGCACAAAAATCAGCCATTTTCTTCTGCTTATCTGGAGTTGTCAGGGGAGCCCAGACCTCCCTCTCACCACCTCCTCCAGCTTAGACTGAATGAATGACTGAACTCCTCACACTATCACAAGGCAGAGTCCATCCACTCCTAGGGGAAAGCTAATTTCTGCCACTTGTGCCTTCAATCTAGTTCTTTCACCTTTAAAAGAACTAACTACAGTGTTAACAAACATCATGCCGAGATTAACTGATACATGGTGTTTCTCGGGCAGCACGGTGGCACGGTAGGTAGCACTGTTGCCGCACAGCAAGAAGGTCCTGAGTTCAATTCCACCATCAGGCCGGGGTCTTTCTGTGTGGAGTTTGCATGTTCTCCCTGTGTTTGCGTGGGTTCCCTCTGGGTACTCCAGCTTCCTCCCACTGTCCAAAGACATGCAGTTAGTGGGGATAGGTTAACTGGTTAATCCAAATTGCCCATAGGTGTGAATGCGGGAATGAATGTGAGCGAGAATGGTTGTCTGTCCCTGTGCGTTAGCCCTGTGACAGACTGGCGATCTGGGCCCCCCGCAACCCTGAAAAAGGATAAGCTTGGATGGTGTTTCTCACCAACAATGCTCCATCTGGTGGCGTCTGACTAATCCGCCCAATTATATAGCTGCTGTGAGGCTCGTGTACTAACAGAGTGTCTGAGCTCCAGATTCTATGCAAACATTACGTGGATGTAAAATAAATAACCTTGTCAACGGCTGACTGATGACTACAACCTGGTTATGTTCAGAGTTCAGTGACCTCTGATGACATCACAGGGGGAAGAACTCAGAAAACTGAGCATTCAAACATTTTAAACTAACAAACAGACTTGGTCCCAGGTCAGATTCAGAAGTCCTGACTTCTCACCTGTACGCCTCGTCCAGTGACATGTCCATCCTCTTCATGATGTAGGCGATGGCGATGGTGGCCGAGCGGGAGATTCCAGCCAGGCAGTGGACCAGGACTCGGGCGTTGGAGGCTTTGGCCTTCTCTGAAACACAACAAAGTTCAGACTGAGCAGAGAGCAGTAGGGTCTGGTTTATTCAGTCACACAAGAGAGGTGGGCAAGTGATGCTGACCTATGAACTCCACCGAGCGATCCAGCCACGGCAGGATCTTCTCACAGAACGAATCGTTGACGGGGACTCGGAGGAAGTGGGAGTCTGGGATGAAGTCCGGTTTGGGGCAGGTATTGCTGGCGTTCAGGACGTAGGCAATGTCGTTCTGTTGTATCAGGTCCTGGAAAACAAACACAGGTTTGGATCAGAGCCGGACCAGAGAGGCTGGACCCCAAGAAGAGAGAATTTAAAAAAATAAAATACATTTTTTTTAAAAAAGCGTTCGGGGGCAGGGCTGTGATGTGGGGGTGGTGCTGTGTCACCTTGTTGAGGACATCCCTCTGGCAGCCCAGGTACAGGTGAGGCAGAATACGGGTCGGCCCAATGTTGGTGACGGGCAGGCAGGGTTGAGAGATGCAGGAAGGAACCAGGGTGGACTTCCCCTCACAGAGACCAGGAAAAAGGTGAGAGAACTCGGAGAACCCACCTGAGACCACACACACACACACAGACACACACAGTCAGCTGACAGTGAAATAATAATGAGGTCAACAGCTGTGCTGTCGTGTTCCTTTCCTTCCGGCAGGAATCAGACTGAATCTTTGTCTCTGCTCGACTCAAATATCCTCATCACCTGTTGCCAGGCAACAAGCCAGAGCATCGATGTTCTGCAGCCTCCTTTGGAAACCGCTTTATTTCCAGCAGAAAGTGCCAGGTGAGTCCAGCTATTGATCATGTAAAGAAAACGTTCTGATCTATAACTACACCTGTGATCATGATTGTACACAATCCAAAGACAGAACCTGAAAGATGTTCACACAGTTTTTAACTGAGGCCCAAACACTCCTGGTTTAAATGTCCTGGTACTTTTTAAAAAATAAATAAATACATTTAATCAATTAAATTCTGTTACAATTTTTTTAAGTTTACTGACTGATTTTCTTCCATTTTTGACTTTTTTAAAAACTTTTTTCAATTTTTTATGATTTGTGTTTTTTCTTTTATTTTTAAGCATTTCTTTTACATTCTTATTTTAATTTTAAAAAATTAAATATTCTGTGTTTTTGTAGCTAATTTTAACAGCTTGTCTGTTTATGGATTTAAACATAGCATATGAGCACTTCCTGCTCACATGCCTGTCTGACTCAGTTCGCTGGCGGGCGTGTTTTGTGATCCTCGGCGCTGATGAAGACTCTGGTCTCCCAGTGGAAGTGGCTGTTGTGTAACTGAAACCTCAGAGCTAGCACTTTGTTTGGTTTTTCTGATGTGAGGGTGGAGCCACCGTGCAGCATTACATCATCGTTACATAACGCCACACTCAGTAGAAATAGCTGCAGGCAGCTGCAGCATGTTCGCTCAGAGCTAGAGCCGATCAGAAATCAATAATCTGATCGGTTCCTTCCCATTAGCTGCTGCCATCTCACTTTAATCACCTTTAACGAGTGCAAATGAGGTTTAATGGCGTCGCAGAGACGTCCAGCAGGAAGCAGCCGCTCGCTTTCAGAGGTTTCCTGTTTAAACTTAGATTACAGCTGCATGCCAGAGTCAGAGGCTCAAGATTCATCGTCGCGACTCGGTGAACCCGGTGAACTGCTCACCCCCCACAGTTAAACGTTCCCTACAGGCCACACTCTGAACTTTAGTTATGGCAGAGCGACGCGGGTGCAGGGAGGCTCACCTGAGAGCAGGTGTACGGAGGGGAAGCTCCTCTCCAGTTTAACCAGCAGGACACTGATAAAGGACTCGGAGCTCAGAGTGGCTGGGTCGGCAGAGCTCTGATCGTACACCACCACCTCCTGATCGGCCTGCAGTTCCAACTGCAACACAGATACACAGGTACATCCAGGATCAGGAAAAGAGAAAATAAATCTGTACATAATAATAAAGGATATTGAGCTTGTAAAAAAAAAAAATAAAAAATTTCCATCAACTTGAAACTAGAAACAATGCCTCAGTGAGCATGTGCAGATGAATGGCAAATCATGTCAGCATCAACCAACAACTCCACTCACCACATCAGGCACGGTCACGTCTGACTCTGAAAACATTGTAACAGCACTTAAAGCGACAGCTGTGTCCATCTTTTATATACAGTTTGTGACACAGTGACCAGTCATTTGTCCCCTGGCCTGCTCCGTACTTTAACCTAACGCATCATTCTGAATCTGAGCCGTATTCTAACCACACCGGAGAAGCCCCCACCCTCCCACCACCACCACCACTACTCACCTTCTTTTTGGCTGAATGCTGCAGCAGCTCGGCAATCTGCACCTTGTCCTGCTGCAGCCTCCTCTTCATCAGCTTGGAGCAGTTCACGTTTACGGCCTCCAGGATGTGGGAGGTATTGTAGTCAACGAAGGGCCGGCTGTCAATCAGCACCACCCGGTCCAGCGCCCCCTCCAGCAGCGCTACCAGAGCTTCTGGCCCGATAGGGCGCACAATCCCGGGCCTTGCCATACCCAGTCCAGTCCGCGACCCCACACGCTCACACATGTGAGCTGCCTCCTCTCACTTCCCTACCACCCCCCCCCACCCCCCTCCCTGGTAGTAATCCTCCTCCTCCCCCCCTCCTTGTGGGCGTCCCGGCCGGCAGTCCAGCACAGTGATGCAGTCTGGCCAGGAACCTCAGAGGATGAAGAGCTCCATTGTGTCGGCCGGGTATGATGTCATCCCGATGGCAGCCCCAGAGAGAGAGAGAGAGAGAGAGAGAGCCAATCCCAACTGTGTGTGAGATGGTGGTTCAGAGTGTATGTGTGTGTTCAGTCCATCAGTGTGTGTGTTTGCAGCGAGGGGGAGGGGCTTTCATTCACTCCAACAGCCGTCTTTTCTCCTGATGACATCACTCTGAGTTTTAAAATCTGAAACACAAACAGAGTCAGAGTGAGTCTGCATCACAGTCGCTTCAGAAACATTCAACGACGCCACGCCAAATCAGGACAAACCTTATTCACACAGAAAACCATGACCGTGAGACAGGTGGGTCAGGTTGTCTGGCACATCAGGATGACACAAAACACATCGCGCCCAATTTCACTAAACTTTATAGAGAGCCTGAAACATGAGCAGAGGAAGGAGCTGGAGAGTTGCGGCGCTGTTCTCATTGCTTTCCTGAAAACCGTGAAAAACAGACGTGCGTTTTGGAGTAGGGCTGCTCGATTATGGCAAAAATGATAATCACGATTATTTTCACTGAAATTGAGATCTCGATTATTTGACAATATTTATTTAACCCTTTAAGACCTACCATAGAACCAAGTCTGCCAGAGCTTTATTATTTTTTTTTATTTTTTATTTTTTTACATGTTGTAGTGCCATTTTTGGGAGCATTTCAAGTTGCTATACAGCAACACAACTGTTATAGCCCATATTTTAATAATATGTATGCATTAAGTCCATAGTAATTACATTAATTACAAAAAAGTGCAATAAACTACAAAAAAATTGAAAATCGTTTTTGTTTTTTTACATATATTTCTACTTGGGGAAATTTAAGAGGCTTATCCCTCAAAACTTTAAATACAAAAAAGTTGCAAAAAATAGTTTCCCACCACAGGAAATTTATTTTGAGTGTCTTCATAGTTTTATTTTGGAGATACAGCAATTTTTATATACTGCAGGAAAAACAAAAAACAATCCTATGATGCAAATTTGCAAAGAAAACAGCATGTGCATCAAAATAAACTATTTCCAGCAGTGCAATTCGAGTTCTAAGCATCCCAGAAACTATTCAGAAAAGTATAGAGTCAAACATGACTTATAAAAACACCAGTATAGGCTTTTAAGGCCTACAAGTAAAAAACTACATTTTCCGCGAAAATGACGTCACTTCCGGTTTCGGACAGGAAATGGCGGACATGCGATAGTTCGCGTTGACGTCTTTTCAATGTGGGAAGTGTTAGAACAGCTGATCGGATCGGCAAAGCGTGTTTCTGGAATATTATGTTTTTGTTCCTGCAAGCGCTTTTTATGCAATTTTTGCAAAGCTATATGTGGAAGGAAACCGTGACCGAGGACAAGCTGATGGCATAAGATGTAAGTACAACTCCTCCGGTTTCATATGCAAAACAAATTATTGCGCTAGCTTAGCGGTTCCGGTTCTACAGGGATTTAAAGGGTTAACAATAACAATGTATTGAATAATGACTTTAAAAAATAATATAAAATAGTGTGCAAATACTGATAACAGTGCAAATGTTTGCAATATAAAAATAAATGAAAAATGTAAACATCTATGTTTAGTGAACTTTGCAGTGTTGCTCTGTGGTGCAGCTACGACACCGTAGCTGTCACGGCGAGTGAGGTGAGCCGTGTGGAGGAGGAAATGAAGGATCCAAGTGCAGGCAGTCGTGAGGGTGTGAAGGTGGTTTATTAAACACAAAAAGAAAGGCAAACGGCAACAAGGAAAACTAAACTATACTGGGAAACAACTAAAACTACGAGACACAAACCTGAATGAGAACGAGCGGAAACACTAGGCGGATGACAGCAGGGAAACACACAGATGACGCAGGGTGGAATACACAGACGGACCAGCAACTACAATGACGGAAGACATGACTTAAATACACCGAGAATCACAGGGGAATTACACACAGGTGGTGGACGCAGCTGGGAGTGATCAACAAGACGAGACAAAGGTAAAACTGAACACACTCACATGAGACGCAGACCTTCACAATAAAACAGGAACAAGAAACCATCACACAAAGGCGCAGACTCGACATAGAGAGACAGACAGAAAATGACACATGGAACTGGACAAATACTAAGCCGACACAACTGAAGAGCGCATCCTAAACATAAACAGAAACATGAAACTCAAATAATAAACATCATAATCATCATCATAAACATTACCATAACACGACAAGAGAACAAGAACACAATCCCTGATGCAAACTTAAATCAAAACACAATAAACTCAAAATACTGGGTCCAACGGACCCAGAACCGTGACAGTAGCAAAGTTTACACACTATGTCTACTTGATCCACGTCTGACTCCGCAAACCCATAATGTTTCCACACCACTGAAGTTTTTTTTACCTCTCTTTTCAACCAACGGCAGTCACTCTCCTCTCCAAATAACTTCTGCTTAGCTTTCCGAGCTTCCCTCGGGTCCTCTTAATTGTTGTGACACGTGTTCGAAATGCAGAGAGGTGCGCTCGATTTGCCACACGGAGCAGCGCGAGAGTAAAGCACGAGGGAGGGGCTAATAATCGGCTCAGTCATTTTTAATGATCGTTGAAAGCCCAGATCGTAATCGTGATTAAAATTCGATTAATTGAGCAGCCCTATTTTGGAGTGGGCCTTACAGTCAGTAATAACGATTTAAATCAGTTGTTTGTTGGGAGGAGGTACACTACATGCAGGTGATCTCACCTTCCAGCTGAAAATAATTATCAAATAACACCCTCATACTGAGCTGTGTAAGAAATCAGCGATGCAGTGGTTTCTGTGCTCGAGCTCGTAAAAGTGTGACGAATGATTGAGCTGCTTCTTTGAGCTCAGGTGTTGAAGCACTTATCTGCACAATCTCACACACACACACACACGCACGCACACACACACACACACGCACGCACACACACACACGCACGCACGCACACACACCTTCATACATCAAATTACTTTTTGCAGTGTTCAGTTTTTTGCACAACCCACTGTCATTGTTGCACCCTTCAATTGCACTGTCTTGTGTCTGTATTGTTCTATTCTGTCTGGTGTTGCATTTGTGTTTGTTTTGTTTTTTGTAATTTTTGCACACTTGCACTTTATGTAGTCCTGTGTTGATTGTCTGTTATATGTAGCACCATGGTCTTGGAGGAACACTGTCTCGCTTTACTGTGTACTGTACCATTGCACATGGTTGAAGTGACAATAAAGCCACTTGACAACTTGATCCAGCTGTGCAGGTATGACAGAAGCTGGTCTCAGGATGACTCACAGCTCTGCACCAGGACACTCCCTCATGCTGTAAAAGTTAGAGCCGAAAAATCCCCAAACTTGTTGCACCTCCTCCTCAGAGTGGGACTTAGTTGCTTGGCACATCTGTAAAGGGTCCTGCTGCTTCATTTTAGTGATGTCACCGAGGTTCAGCGCACAAGTGGTCAACCGTTAAACTCGCGGTCCCAGCCAAAGGAAAGTGAAACCATCCACCTGGGATAGATGGAGTGGTCCCAGGTCTCTACAGCTGCAGATAACACAGCAGAGAGCAGGAATCCCAAATCACCTTCACAGGTAACTGTAAGCAGGACTGACCCGTACACAGCCAGGAGACCCAGAAAAAGTCCCCACATTTTATTTCCTTCTGTCGGAGGCACCACATTTAAAACATGTTAACGAGACGGAGGCAACGCTGTAGCTCCACAGACTCACCAGCATCTCTGGAATGGCTCGAACTTTGCTGGACTGTTGATGAATAAATTTATGTGAGATGTAATTAAGACACTTTATCAGAGGGAAAGTGTGACTTTAGACCAGGGGTGTCAAACTCGCAGCCCTGGGTCCCCTTGCAGCCCACGTGTTGTTGAATTTAATGTTAAAATAAGTTCTTTAAAAAGCAAAAAAACATTTTAATATGAAGGCAATATGAGCAGAGAGTACAAACATGTTTAAGGATTGACTGTGTTAGTGAGAACGTTATTTGTAAAGAAAACACCAGCAGTCAAAAACTAATGTGTAAAGTGTAAAAACTAATGTCTGTCTTATTTTCTTAAATACGAACAAAATTATAGGAGATGTGCTGCCATGTGTTTGGCCAGAAAGAGAGTAACAATTTATTTATTTGGTAGTTCATTGTAAGGCTTCAGTTAGTTAAGAGTGAGGGGGAAAACAATTGTGTTCACGTTTTCAGTTTTGTCTTTTTATACAATATTTGAAATCTAAAAAACAAACAAACAAACAAAAGACACTACATTTTTGCAAATATTTGTGGGTGTTTTCCTGTTTGTTTGTTTTTTAGTACTACTTGAAAACACTAAAGTGAGCTTCAGGTCATTTAAGTTTGAGACCCTTGCTTTAGACACTCGAGCCTGACATCAGCTGCACAATGTTAGCTTATAACCAGCTGCTGCTGTTTAGCTGGGTCGCTGTCAGCTGTGGGGAGACGTGAGGGTCACATGTCTGAGCAGCTGACAACGACGAGAATATATGAGCACGTTTATCTTTGTTTTCATGTGTTAGACTTCACTCAGGAGAAGCTTGAGGAGAAAGAGGATGAGGTGGAGATGAGACTGATGAAAGTGGTACCTGTGATGGTTAAATGAAACCAATGATTGAAGGAGTGTGGACAGTGGTTGCAGAGCTGTGATGGTGTTTAAAGAGTTAACATGTCCACAGTGAGCTGCACACACAAGACTGCAGCTCCAACATCAACCTTCAGGTGTGTTAGCATCACGTCCACATTAAAACAATTGTGTAAACTACAGCCATCCCTCCAAAGAGCACTGACCTACATTCCCCCCCCCGACAGAACGGATGGTTTATGTGGAGGAACTGAATTAGCGCCTGCAAGGAGGAATGTAAAATCAAGAGGAGACCAGCCTGGAGCCATGAACCAGGAAGAAAGAGGACGATTGTGTTTTCTGGAGCCTTTAAACAGCAGCTGGAGCTTCTGGCTGTGTCTCCAACATCAGGTTCCACTTCAATCCAATAATTCGGATCCCGCTGATGTTTTTCCAAGCCAGGACATTCCTGCTCTGACACCCGATCTGTCAAATTACCGGCTACGAGCCACAGGAACAGATGGCATCACGGGCACCGGTCTGCAGAAATGCCTCGACCCAAATCACCTGCCAGCCTCCTGCAACATCACACACTGAGCTCAGGCGGCATGCCGGGGTCACGTGACCCACCGTCGCCATGACCATTAATCTTAATTGGAACCCACCTATAAAACTTTCATGTTAAACATGAACCCCTGCGGCAGGAGATCTGTGACAGGAGGTGAGGTGACCAGGCGCCTTGTATAACATCACTACTGCATTTAGATTCAGAGAGACAAACAGGCTGCTTGGTCGTCCTTCCGACTCAAAAACCTAAAAATAGCCCTGGAGTGTTATTAAGCCGATGTCACTGTCACTAAAGCAGAAAAACAAAAATAATCTGAGTGGTGGGCGCTCACTGAGTACTGACCTCCTGTCAGAGTTTGGTTTTCTCCGGAGGCTCGAGCTCTGAGTCATGATGATTTTAGTCTGAGGGCGAGCGCCGGCCTCGTCCTCAGCTCTACACCACAGGTAAGAGTCCAGGTAGAGGCTGTTATCAGGTGTAACAGAGCGGTGAAGTCGGGCCTCTGAGACACAGAGAGCCCTCATCTTCAAACACCATCAGATAAAGAGCGCTGCCACTTCCTGCTCCTCTGCGCCTCTACATGTGACAAGTGCGCTCAGAGCTTGAGCTGACAGTGGAGACCGGTCAAAGGTGAATGACCTGAGGTTAAAAGCAGCCAATCACAGGACTTTAGCCCTGTGCTGACATCACACACAGACAGGTTAGACTCCCGCTGTGCTCACCTGAGCCAACACTCTGAAAATGACGCTGGAGTGTCGACCAATCACCCGGAGGCAAGCATTCAAAATAAGAAGCTGGTAAAAAGGTTGGTGGGGCATGCTGCAGCAGATTGTTTTAACTATTAATTATAATAAAAAAAATTTAAAATGAGGCTTCCAAAGCCGCTACAGAGAGGAACTTGTGGTTCAGCCCCAACACATGATCAGCTCATTGTGCTGAAGAGGAAGTGAACCAGCGCTGTGATGGCTATAAACAACGCCATGATTGAGCGTTTAATTGTAATTGGTGGAAACGCTGTCAGCAGCTGGCCGTCACCCTGACATCACTTCCGGTTCCCTCAAGGACACTGATCAGGCTTCACCACCATCCTACTGACCTGCATGACACTTAAATTTCCTCACTGAGCACACTTACTAAACGTAAATGCATAAATAAAAATAATTCACTGCTCTGGTCATGTGACCCACCGGCTCTAAACTGACACCTCTCAGCATCAGTGCAAACGTTTAAAAACAAACCACTGAAAACGGCGAGGTTTTCCTCTCCTGAAGGAAACACACAGATAATAAGTGAGTTAGCTGGGTTTAATTTACCTGACAGTGCTTATGAAATAATCTAACACAGGTTAGGCTGATAAAGGTCCACCCTCACAGGTGAGTATTGATTACTGACAGATTGATTATTGGCAGCTTAAACCATCAGTTTTCAGTTCCTTTAGACTGTTATTACCACTGAGATGAACCACAATTGTTTTATTTCATTAACTCTGTTCCATCACAGTCTGGATATCTGTAAGAACACAGACTCTCAGGGGACTGTCTGGACCGGTATAGCTGTACAGTACACACCTACAGCAGCCGGCTAGGTTGATCTAACCCTGCAGTATTTCAATCCAAAGTTTTATTATTGTACAGGCTGTGTGGACCCTCTGATGCTCATATTATCCTTCAGTATGTTGATCATGCTTATTTGCTGCCTGCGTTTGTACTGACAGTGTGCAGAGATGATGCAACAGAGACGGTTCTCAAATTTAAATGTCAAACCTTCTTCTGAAGTCTGAAACGTGACTCTGAGGTCAGATCACTCAGAGAAGTGTGAACTTCATTTACTCAGCTTACCTGATTCACACACCTAATGGTCACCTGTTAACTTTGTAATAACTTATTTACATTTGGATGTTTATTTCACTTAAAAAAATAATAGAACATTTCCATTAAATATATTATTTATATTTAAAATAAATGTACCTTTAACTTTAAGGACATTTAGTAAGGGAAGTCTAGTGTGTGCTGTTAAAAGCATGCTCAGCAGTTTAAAGGTTATCTGAGAGTCTGAAGGGTGCTTCATTTATCAGACATTAATATAAACAAATAGGCTTTATCTTTTATTTTAGGAGGTTTGGGCAGATTTAAGGAGAGCTTAATGTTTACAGCTCTGTCATCGGTGGTGTTCAGGGTTATCTGAGTGAATCACGAGGAGATTAATGCTCATACTTTACCTTTGAGGAAGTTTCACCATGTTTAAGGAAGACTGGTCAAAATGAAATTGAGATGAGCAGATAAAGAGTTTCTGCGGTAATAAATGGATATCTGCCTGCGTAGACTGAGTTAGTTATTATTTATAAGGATGTTAATACACATACATAACGCTAGTTTTCATTTTAAGGAAGTCCTGGCATATTTAAGGGAACTTACAGGCACTGGAACTGTAATATGAGCTAATATGAGTGGTGTCAGCAGAGTTTAAGGGTAATTTAAACAAATAAGTAAATTTACTATTATTTAAAAGGACATTACTGCCCACAAATATTGTTCTGTCTTTATTTTAAGGCAGTTTCGGTATATTTTAGCGCAGTCACAGACGGTCTAATACGAGCTAACCTGTGCTGTTGTAGTGTGAGTTTGATTTAAGGGAGGCCTGGCTGCTGTTGGAGGCTCCTCGCTGGTTCTGGGAGCTTCGGGCGGTGTGGGCGACATTTCGGATGTTACGTTGGCCGTTTTATAACTCTCTCAGCCCGCTGCTCTCTCACATTTTATCGGTGTGTCTCCGCGTTCAGGACCGTCTGACCGCCACTCCGGCTCACCTAAAAAGAAACCGACGAACAGCGACGTTTTCCCGCTAAGTTCCCCTCAGACGCGGGGTTAGCCCGGGCTGACACACGGAGCGAACTTTAACTTTAGGCCCGGTAACGGAACTTCAGCCGCCGCTCGGTCACTCTTGAACCAGAAATTTTGGTGAACTCACCGTCTGAAAACTCGACGTCAGAGTCCGGACAGCAGCTCCTCCGACCCGGCTGGACAAACCGGGGGAGTCCGCCTGGTGTACCGGAGAGGACGGGTCGCAGAGGAGAGCAGAAGCGGCGGAGGGACTCGGTGAAGTCCTGGTGCTGCCATAGAACGATGAGGTCACCGCGATAAAAATAACAGCATGGCGTCATCGTCAGAGCTGCTCGGCTCGGCACAACGGGCTCTTAAAGGCGCAGGCAGCGATGCAGTGCGCACGCGCAAAGTACTGCCTCTGGAAAAGCCCGAGAGTGCTGTGTCCTGCAAAATATAGTGTATATACTGCAAATTATATTGCGAAATATACTGCAAGTTATACTGTAAATTATACTGCCAAATATATTGCAAGATATACTGTACAATATATTGCGAAATATACTGTATATACTGCGAAATATACTGTATATACTGCGAAATATACTGTATATACTACAAATTATACTGTGAAATAGACAGACAAGTTCACTGTACAATATACTGCAAAGTGTAAGTCACAGCAGAAGATGATCCTGGTTTCAGATGAAAGAAGACCTTCCATCTGTTCTCACCTGTTCTCCGCAGACACCTATACTCACTCATATGAGCCTGAAAGTTTACCCAGAATGCACTTTGTGAGGAACACAGATCAAACACGGACGCAGTTTTCCTCCTCTCCGTCACAGAAACAGTTTATTCAGACTTTGATCAATCACACAGGTGCTACTCACAGAATAAAAGTCCTGCTCTCGTGACGAATGCAGTGTAAACCTGATCTAACGGAGCCTGATAGTGTTTTTCAGGCTTGAGACTTTCATGTGCTCTGCTGCACTCAAAGTGTTGGAAAAACAGTGAAAGCATTAATTTGGAACCTGTGTACTTGGAGCACTGAAAATACTGCCAGCATGCTGGTAAAATGTCAGATTGTGGTGGATGGGATATTTCTGTGTGTTTGTGTAACCTTGCTGATTGTGTAAGTAATGTTTCTGAATCAGCTAGTTGTCTTGGGATGCCGAGCACAGAGATGACAATGGAAGCGACACAAGCAGAAGAAAACTGAAAGCTCTCTCATACTGGAGCAATTAGGACGCATGGCTAACTCTCACTGATGAAGGCATCAGACAGACGGTTGTCATCTCATGCCTGCTTTCAGATGCTTTGAGCACGCTTGTTTCTTCTCACAGTAAAGACTTTCATCTTTGGTTCATCTCACACCAACAGGTTTAAAATATAAATAATTAAAATAATTTCTGGCTGCTGAAAAAGTAGCTGGAAATGCACAGGAAGAATCAACGGTGTTCAACAGACCAATCACAGCAGCTGCATCAACCTGACGTACAGGTACTTTTTTAGGAGGTGCAGGTTAGGTTAGAGTGTGGAAATAGGGGAGTTTGTGGCTACATTGTAGTTATGATGCAGACCATAAATCTAAAGTAATGAACGCTAAAACACGCGTGAACAAGCTGTGAGAAGATTGGCAGCTCAGTTCGATTCAGAGAGAAGCTGATTGCTGAAGCAGACCAGAGATTAGGATCTGATCAACGAGCACAGAGAGTAGTGATGGGCTCACATGTTCTGCCTCGCAGCTGCTCTAAATGGTAAGCCTGAAAAATAATATCAGTGTTATGTCTTTTATACTGACACAGTGTTTCACTACATCACTTTCTCTAATGGTACCGCAGGAGGTACAGAGGTCAGAGGTATAACCATAGCAACCAGTTAGAATCACACTGCATGAAGAGGTTTGATCGTAGCTCTAATGTAGTACAGGTACAGTCAAGATAACAGCCACACCTGAGGAGGAACGGCAAGTGAATGTGACAGTCATGGTGGTATCTGTGATGCAGAGACAAATCAAATCATATCACTTTTATTGTCACGTCACAAGTGCAGGTACACTGGTACAGTACATGCGAATGAAATTCTTGTGTGCGAGTTTCACAAGCAACAGAGTTGTGCAACAATACAATAACATAAAACAAGCAAAATATAAGAATGGCTAAATCTGAGAGTAATAAATATATGTACAATATAAGATGTATGCATTACTGGATGTGTATACTAAATATGTTTTTCTACGGTGTGTGTGTGTGTGTGTCAACATATTTTACAAATTAAATAGAGTAAACAATAAAAAATATATAAAAATATACAGAGTTGTATGGACATGTGCAAAACAGTGGCATTATGTACAGTCTGGAGTGCATAATGTTGAAGTTCCAGTAGTGAAGCTGAGGTGTCTATGAGTGTTCAGCAGTCTGATGGCCTGGTGGAAGAAGCTGTCTCTCAGTCTGCTGGTACGGGACCGGATGCTGCAGAACCTCCTTCCTGATGGAAGTAGTCTGAACAGTTTATGGCTGGGGTGACTGGAGTCCTTGATGATCCTCCCCGCTTTCCTCAGGCACCGCTTCCTGTAGATGTCTCTGGAGGGAGGGAAGCTCACCTCCAATTATCCGTTCAGAGCACCGCACTACTCTCTGGAGAGCTTTGCGGTTGTAAGCGGTGCTGTTGCCATACCAGGTGGTGATGCATCCAGTGAGGATGCTCTCAATGGCACAGGATAGAAGGTCCTGAGGATGCGGGGGCTCATGCCAAATCTTTTCAGTCTCCTGAGAAAGAAGAGGCGCTGCTGCAGCCTTCTTCACTGTTTTGTTTATGTGTCACTGACCACGTAAGATCCTCAGCCAGATGTACACCAAGGAACCGGAAGCTGCTCACTCTCTCCACAGCAGCGCCGTTGATGGTGATGGGGGTGTGTACTTCTCTGCACCTCTGGAAGTCCACTATCAACTCCTTTGTCTTTGCGACGTTGAGGGTGAGATGGTTGTCTTGACACCAGTGGGTCAGGGCGCTGACCTCCTCCCTGTAAGCCGTCTCATCACCGTTGGTGATAAGACCCACCACTGTAGTGTCGTCCGCAAACTTCACAATGATGTTGGAGTTGTTAGTGGCCGTGCAGTCGTAGGTGTAGAGTGAGTACAGGAGAGGGCTCAGTACACACCCCTGTGGAGCACCAGTGTTCAGTTGATGGGGATGAGGTGATGCTGCCCAGTCTGACCACTGGCGTCTGTCAGACAGGAAGCTAAGGATCAGCTGCAGAGGGAGCTACTCAGTCCTAGATCCTGCAGTTTCTTGTCCAGCTTCGAGGGAACGATGGTATTGAATGCTGAGCTGTAATCTACAAACAGCATTCTCACATACGTGTCTCTCTTCTCCAGGTGTGACAGGGCAGTGTGTAGTGTCAGGACTATGGCGTCATCAGTGGACCTGTTGTGGCAGTATGCAAATTGTAGAGGGTCCAGTGAGTCGGGTAGTGAAGAGCAAACGAAGTCCCTGACCAGCTTCTCGAAGCAAATCCCACTAGTTGAACTGATCACAGCCACAGAAAGAGAAATTTGAAACAACAACATTGCAGACATAGAAGCAGAGCAGCTGCGGACGAAAGTTTCTGCATGTCTCAGCAATGCAAAGCCCCCAGCATCCAACATCAGCATGAAGGAGGAAGGCACTTACATCAATTAGTAATGACAAATTATCATCCTTCTGCCAGACAAGGGTAGGTGCACAGTTTTGCTAAACCATATAGACTATCATGAGAAAATTTGTTCAGTGACAAAAATACTCATGAGCCCAGAAACGAGACCCAGGAAGTGACTACAGGAACAGGGTGATAGATTTTCTGGAGCAGGTAGAACAAGATAACGCTACTGACCGGACCGCATACCACAGGCTATTTCTAGGGGTGTACCTTTAAGATCACTTGTCTGTATGATCAACTCGGTCACCTATAACATCTCAAAGTTTCTGGCTTTGATGCTCAACCTGTTGGTAGGCAGCTCTGAACACCACATCCAGAACACCTTAGATTTTGTTGAGAAGGTGAGAGACGTCATTATGGAGGCAGATGAAACCATGGTCTCGTACGATGTTACATCTCTCTTCACTTGCATCCCAGTCACGGAAGCATTGAAGGTAGTTCGTAAGAGATTACAGGATGACCCCAACCTCAGCAACAGGACCACTCTTCAGCATAGACCAAGTGTGTTTGCTTTTGGAACTGTCTTCATTCCACCTATTTCACATACAAGGGTCAGTACTACCTAGGGTTCCAGTGCTAACTGAGGTTCCTCAGTTTCACCCATTGTGGCCAACTTGTGCATGGAAGAAGTGGAAAAGATGGCTCTGTTATGCTACCCTGGAACACCCCCAAGTCATTAGTTCAGGTATGTGGCTGAAACCTGGGTGAAAATTAAATCTCAGGACATACCACAATTCAGTGGTCACATTAACTCAATGGACCAAGACATCAAATTCACTGGGGAGAATATGAAAAGTAGCAGGTTAGCCTTCTTAGACTGTGAGATTTCCATCAATAATGGGGGACATTTAAAAGTTGATGTATACCATAAATCAGATCAGTATTTAAGGTTTGACTCTCATTATCCACTGGAGCACAAACTGGGTGTCATTAGGACACTACAACACGAGTGAACAGCATCCCTACAGACACAGGGCCCAGGGAAGCAGAAGAACATATCAAGAAGGCTCTGAGTAAATGTGGTTATCCCAGCTGGACATTTGAATCTTGGAATCATTTTTGACCAGGATATGTCCTTTAATGCACTAATTAAACAAATATGTAAGCCTGTGTCTTCTTGTGTCTTGTTTTGTGTCTTCCATTTCTGAAATATCTCTAAAATTAGAAATATCCTGTGTCAGAGTGACGCTGAAAAAACTAGTTCATGCATTTATTACTTCTAGGATGAACTACTGTAATTCGTTATTATCAGGATGTCCTAAAAGTTTGATGAAAAGCCTTCAGTTAATACAAAATGCAGCAAGAGTACTGACAGGGACTAGAAAGGGAGAGCAGAATTCTCCAATATTGGCTTATCATCAGTCAGTCCTTTTCTACATTAAGTGCTTCGTAGAGACTGTGACAGTGAATAAAACCATCTGGGTTGTTCCTAATGGAAAACCTTAGTTGACAAGTGGAGTACAGGCTCTAATCAGAACAGGGATAGTTCCCTGTACAGCACTGCATGAGCCAACGTAGCAGGGGCATCAAACATGGCAAGGAGGCCTACAGGAGGAGCATAGAGAGCTGCCTCACCGACAGCAACCCCAGGCATTACTGACAGTTTGCACTTTCTGAAGTGTTATCTGGTACATCAGCATTACAGGTTAGTAGGGCAAGCCACTAAATTAAAGAACCCACGGCCCTACTCAGTGCTACAACACCCCTTTGATCTAATTTGAATACTAGCTACATGGGTTGGGTGCTACACTATGATTCACTGAGTGTTTCTTCTTCACGCACTATGTGCTTATACACCTCTCTGCATTTAATCATTAGTTATTGTTAAGTTATTAATCTCTGGCTCTCTTCACACGTGTTCACACGTATCATGACAGAACTGGGCATGATCTTTAAAATAACATCTACTGTCAGTGACATCAGAGGAATGAACAAAGTGTGTGTAACAATAGCCTGATGACTTCATACTTCACCTGAACAGTCTCAGCAGGATCCACCATGATTGCTCTCCATGTCTCTTTGTGCTAATCCCACTAAAGCTTGCTGAGGAAGTAAACTCAGAACAGAAGCTCTGATATTTGTATAACCTTCTTCCACAACATAATCTTCATTTCCTCTAAATTTCCAGCAGCTGATGTAACAGGATTAGTCAGCAGGTCATGGGTAGATTAACATACATTTGACCCTTTGGCCTGTGAGGAGATGTCATCATAGAATCCACTCTCAGGGACAGCAGGATGTGTTTTCTTAATATAAATAATTGAACGAATGAATGAATTCTAACCCTCTGAATGCGATGATGAGATGATTGTGGAAGAGGAGAGGTGGTTATGGTTATAAGTTATGGCTCTTTAAAGACTTTAAGTAAAATAATAAAATATATGTGCATTTATATCCAACAGTGAATTGGTGTATACTGAAGACTGAGCAGTAAAGATGAGCTCAGACTCTTCATCAGTTTCTGTCCTGCACACATTGACCGTCTGTTCTCTGTGACAACAGCGACCCTTACAAACCTTCTTCATATTATTCTGTTTTCTTTACACCAGATGACGGCAGAATGCAGGTGAAAAACTTTATTTAAAACATCAAAGGTTGAAAAATATATCTGTAGTATCAACTTCTTAAAGCATTTGGGTAAATAGTGTGAACTTTCACCTCTTAACTGTAAACTTTCAGCCTCAGATTCTAAAGTTTGATATTTAATTTACTGAGGAGACTTTTTAAATTTTAGAGGCAAAACTCATCAGAGAGACATTAAAGCGTTTTACTTTTAAGATCCAAATTATGAGATTCTAAAAAACAACTTCACCCATTCACATGGCGTAATCTCAGACTGAAACTTTAACTGAGCGTCCAAATTCAGACCGTCATTGTGAAAAGTGAGAATTTCTGGTCAGAGGAGGGTTGGGAAAGGAAAAGGGAACAGGTTTTATTGTAAGTTTTATTGTTCCCTCATTTTGGGAAACCCAGAGTTTTATCGTGTAGTTAGAGAACGCACTTTTCAAGACCTGCTCTGTGCTCTACTGCAAATCATGAAGACGATATCACAACAATTCATTTCTTCACCAGAGTAAAATGAACAAGCTTTTTAAAGTGGTAACTTATTTGATTACACTAGGGTTTAAGTGGATATACTGTTTATGCACATTAAACATATAAAATGGTATAAATACATTCAATATATTAAACTAAAGCTGGAGCTTATTTATTACATATAAATATAATTTGTTACTGCTAACTTACAGATTTTCGAATTGTTAATATTTGGCTTCTGAACATTAAACGTTTGAGTGTGTCAGATGTTACGATATTACTTCAGGGAGCAGACATGACACCGTCTTAGGTTTTAGCCATCACTTTTTTATTATCTCCACACCACCCCCCGGTGGCTTCCACATGAACTGCACCTTAAACAACAACTGTTCACTCATATCATGACATCAGATATATTTTAATATACTTGTTAAGAATATAATTAGTTTTTATCTGACTATTTACTCGGGTTTGACGTTATTTATTTATTTTACCATCTCACTATTTCCGGTTTAGTGGTAGCTGTCTTTGTTCCATTATTTTATTTAATAAAGTTTTGTTTGTAAAAAAAAAAAGTGACGTAAACGCGTAGACGTCAGCAGATGTAAACAAAGCAGGGAGCTGTCAGCCTGATCGGTGATCAGACTGATTGATGAGCTGCTTCTGGAGCCCTCGCTGATGATACCGAGCCGGTTCGTTCCGTCCAGACTTCCGGGAACACAGTGTGATCTCTGAGCGGACCTAACGGCAGCCTGCGCGTTAGCAACATGGAAGACAACAAGGTGAGCTAGCTAAGGACTGCTAACGGCTAAAGGAAACTGCGGGGTACTAATTAGTAGCTTTAACTAGTCAACGTCTGGTCACTTCACCTTTGTCAGTGTCGATAGTATCGTTAACCTCCTATGAACTGCCGTCCACATATGTAGACATCACATTTTGGGTTATTTAGACCAAAATACTGAATTTTGCTCTACAAGGGCCTGATATCCACTTACAAGGACATTATACTGCTACTGGTCTATCAAAAATTTAAACGACTATGCTCATATATGGCTCTCATTTTTCTTAAAAACAAAAATTGTTTTTACATTCATCGGGCCCCAATATACCCAAATATCAAAGAGAAATTAAAAATGCATGCAGTGGAAGAGTTCGGGTCTTAGGAGGTTAAAGGAATCACTTTAATGGGCTAGATTACAGCTGTGTATCCTGTGTGCTAACCGAGGTTACGTTAGCTCCCCGTGCCGTAAACATGTTTATTTCAGGAAGGATAAGAAATTATTATTTATAGAACAACAAACCTGCTGTAAACTGTCTGCAGCTCACAAGAAGTTTATTTATTTAATGCTGATATTCATCAGCTGTCAGATATTATTAAAAAAAAAACCTTCCTGCTGTCCTCACACCGAGGTCTGAGGGACTTCAGGACTGCTGACGCTGTTTTCCAGTGTTCTGATTGGTGAGTAGAAGTCAGTCATACTTGTTGGATGATACAGTAACGAAATACTTTGTTACTGTATCTGTAGTTTACTTGAGTAGGGTTTTTTTTCTGACTACTTTTTAACTTTTACTCCCTGCACGTTTAAACAAATATCTTAACTTTCTACTCGTCACTGTTTCAGACAGGCTCGTTACTTTTCCTTTAACTGATTTGAGGGGAGTCATTATTTCAGTCACTGCGAGCCTCCAAACTTAAAACCGATCTGAGCCTAAACAGAAACACATAAAAGGAAATCCCATTCGTTTATTAATCACCAGGCGATGTGGCATAAAAAGAGATGTAGTCAGGGGTTACAGTGGGCCAGAGTTTTGATTTATTTATTCATTTATCACGTTTTTAAATTTTTATTTTTTAACACAACACTAGAACGACTGCAGGTGTCCATAGGTTGTGTTCACAGTACTTCAGCATCTAGCTAGCTACTGAAGAGGAGCGAGGATAAAGGGAGTAACATTTTGTGTTAGGTAATTTGAAATGCAGCACTTTAACAAACATCAGCAAACACACGAACTGTTTGTGTGCAGTTTGTCACACAGTTGCTAGCTAAAGGTCCAGCTTCTGTATTTCACAGGGAGAGAAAAGAAAGAGGGCTAACTACACTCAGAGATGGAGAAAGATAAGAAAGGACAGGAAACAAAGAAGAGAGCTTAGATTTAAAAGGACGGTTCATTTAAAGCTTACTCGTAAGTCCTCATCAAGTATGTTATCCAATCAGATATTGGGTCTGTACATGTGCAACTGTGTTTTTTCATATTGTGAAACATGCTAAACAAACTGAGGTAGACTTAACTGTGTTATTTAAGGCCTGCATGAAAATAATCTGCAGGTTAGTGCAGGATAAACAGCTTAGTTTGCTGTACTGTGATGGATTTAAAGTAAAGAACAGTATGTGACTGGTGCACAGTGGCTGTGGTTCCATGGTCAGATTTACTTTACATGAAGTGTAGCAGAGATTAATTTGAATTTTAGCTTATGATGCTGAGACTCATTCACTGAATTCCACCTTCATACCAACTTTATAGTGTCTAATATAAAGACAGCATAAACAGTGTACTGTGAGTGTATGGAAATCAGCCAGGACAACTCATGAAACATCTGCTCACATCTGGTTGAATTCAGGTGTGTAAATCCACAAAGAGCAGCAGGTCAGCTGATCACAACCTGTACACTAAGAAAATTTACTGGAGCTCTCAGTAGAAATTATAGTGAGTTGTGATTTTTTTTTTCCCCAACACTGAGCAATTAAAACTGATTTTAGTGTTCACCCACCTGCTGAATCCACTCTAGCCCCTGACTGCATTCATTTTGCTGTTTAAAAGTAAAGTCACCCTCTACAATGCAGGCACCAGAAAAGAGTTTTTATTTTCCTTCCTGCTCATGTTCTACTTAACCGATTCAAGCTGAGTACAATTATTGGAAATAAAATTTAGACTGAAATAAAGTTTGTATTCATATCGATTAATATTGTTATGTCATGACATTCATATAACACAAGGCTCAGTCAATGCTGCATAAAAATAGGTGGAGGAAATGTTCTTTGAGGAGCTACTTTTTCTTTCTCTGAGTACATTTCAGAGCCGGTACTTTTTTTTTTACTTTTACTTGAATAAAAATCCAACTTTTACTGGAGTATTTTTTAACAGTAGTATTGTAGAGAATGTGTGTACTTTTGCCAACTCTGCTCATTCAGGTCTAGTCTGGAAGCTAATTTGAGAGCTTTCACTGTAAATGAACTTTAGCACATCCAGGCGTTCTGTGTGTGAGCTGGCTCAACCAATCCAGTCAGAAATAACAGGTATCACCTCTCTGCTCAACGCACATTAACAGACCTGGTGGTGTCTGCTGGTGGTGTCTCTGTCCTGTGTCTAATTTATCGCTCGTGTCTGCTTGTCATCAGATGGCGGGCAAAGTGAAGAAGCCGGGAAAACGCGGCCGTAAACCTGCCAAAATCGACCTGAAGGCCAAACTGGAGCGAAGCCGGCAGAGCGCCCGCGAGTGCCGAGCCCGGAAGAAGCTAAGGTACCAGTACCTGGAGGAGTTGGTTTCCAGTAAGGAGAGAGCCATCTGCGCCCTGCGGGAGGAGCTTGAGATGGTGAGACACCAGTTAGACATGAACTCAGATTTCAAACACATGATTGAGCTCTGTGCCAAAGAGAAGCTTCATAACACCGACCACAGAGGTCAGACACTCCCAGTTTAAACACACAAGTCTCTCTGCGCTCCGTTTCCTGGTATTTAAATAAAGTTTGAAAATGGGGCGCACACAAATGTAAATGGCCTGCATTTGTATAGCGCTTTTCTAGTCCCCAAGGACCCCAAAGCGCTTTACACTACATTCACCCATTCACACACACATTCACACACTGGCGATAGCAAGCTACATTGTAGCCACAGCTGCCCTGGGGCGCACTGACAGAGGCGAGGCTGCCGGATACAGGCGCCACCGGGCCCTCTGACCACCAAACACGGGGTTAGTATCTTGCCCAAGGATATTTGGCATGCAGCCAGGATGCAGCCTGGGATTGAACCACCGACCTTCTGATTAGTGGCTGACCTGCTCTGCCACCTGAGCTACAGCCACCCCATGTCACAATTAACATTACTTCACCCAGTTTCTGTTGAGAGTAAAAACACGACCGCAGTCACCTGGACAGGTACAACTGCAGCTCTCTGGGCGATGAGTCAGGAGTTTAACTTCAGCTGTGCTTTTAGTTTCCAGTGGTTATGAGAACACGATGAAGGTCAGGTCAAATGCTCGTCATATATATTCATCGTATATAGACTGTTAACTTGCTGTTCACTTGTCTCCTGTCGTCCTCCTGCAGTACAAGCAGTGGTGTTCGGCCATGGATCAGGGCAAGATTCCATCAGAGATTAAAGCTCTGCTCACCGGAGACGAGCAGAAAATGCCTCCAAGCAGTGGCAACAAGACGTCCAAGAACAGCAAGAACAACATCAGTAGCAGCAATGGGCAGAGTTAGACGTTTTTCCACCTCCTTCACCTGCTCCTCTCCTGCATTTCATCACTCACACAGGACTCATGAGACCTTTAAACCTCCAGAGAATAAACCTCCCTCTGTTCTCAGCACGGAGGTTCACCTCCTCGTACAGTGCATGTAGTAACCCTCACAGCCAGCAGGGGGGGACAAAAGCTCCTGGCTGCAGGTCAGATCCGACATCTTCACACAGAAGCAGCAGAAAGTTGTTTGTGGAGCTGAAGCTTAATCACCATTCCAGTGAATAAAGATGTTAAACTTGAGAACACAAATACATGCTCTGAACTGAGGATCAATGTCTTTCTGTGGTGGTTTGCAGGTCACATGACTTACTCCTGTTTCTAAACTCTTATAGTGACACGTGTGTGTGTGCTGCTGTTGGACAGCTGCTGTGTTATTGTTGTCTGGTCATCGGGTCAAGCCGGGCTTTCCTCTTTTTTGATCCTGATAACATTTGTGAGCTGAAGGACTGACTAAACCAGCAGCGAGCAGGTCGGCGCCCGCGGCTTCTTTTCACGCACTAAAATCTGAAATCTTGTTTCTGAACAGCTTGTAAGCTCTTTTTTTTTTGTGCACCTTTGTAAACATAGCTGAAGCACTTTGTTTTAAGATTGTAGAAAATGTGTGTTTAAAATGTCTAAGAGCAAATAAATAAATAAACTGTTTGATCCTCAGTGAAGCTCAGAGTATCTTCTGTTCATGCATGAATCTGAGGACGGGATAGTTAGATTCATGCATGGATCCTAAGCATTTGTACTTACAGCAGGTAATGAGTGTCCCGTAAACAATGTGCAGATTAATGCAGACTCGCAGGAAGTGCTGTGACTGTCTGCAGGAAGGAAGAGAGGGACTTTGGATGAAACACAGTCTCAAGACTATGGGATCTGATTGCACTGATGTTAGTGCAGCAACTGCACAGATGGAGCCACCGTGTTCATTCTGCAGGGACTGTGGAACATTTAAAGTGCAAGTTGGTACACACATTTACCTTCTATGAAAAACAAGGTCCACACAATAAAAACTCAGGTGAGGCTCAGCAAGTCACAGAATCAGGTAAACATAACCTGAGACTAAGAGAAGCATGTGATGTTTCCCATTGTGTCATCATTTATTACACACTGAGCAGTCTGCAGAGGCACTGTGTGAAAACCTCAGTGCATTGTTAATGCATCCATATCAGTTAATCAATGGACTTGATTATCTGACCATAAGCAAACAAGAGCACCTCTATCAAGCTGCTGCTGTAACACAGGTGAGCGACACCTGTAGATCACTGCAGGTCACTGCTGCTGAAAGAGATCCAACCAAATCCTAGAGTTTCTCAGTGTTTTTGAGCTTTAGTCAAATACACGATGACGCAGTGGATTATGTGGTGCACTGACCTAATGTTAGGACCAACTAATGCTCGTAACTTTGCAGCAATGTTGCAGCTCACCCCTGATCTGTAATGTATATGCAGACTTCAGATATCCACACTTTAGCGTGCACAAGTCTCAGATTTACTAATGCCTTAAAAACAGAAAGAGGTGATTGTGCAGCAATGACTTTACTGACTTCATTAAATTTCACTCTCTAAAAGCTTGCTTCTGTTTCTCTGTCTTTTGTCTTCTGGAACATTTTCCTGGATATTCCCACAAAAACTCATAAATTTCCTTCATATAACAAATCATCTTTAATCACACTGATCAAACTTCATGAGAACTGATCACAGCTACAAACATCCATTTGATCTCAAGTCTGGATATTTCAGCACACTGGAAGGAGGACAAATATTCAGGTTCTATCCTTGTCGAGCATTTCCACACAGCAGTGCTGAGGATGATGTTGAGGAACCCATCTCAATCAGAAATTACAGGACTTAAGTCCCTCTGCAATCGCACTTTAAGATTTAAGCTACCGATCCACACCAAACGAGTTCTGCCTTGATGCTTTTTAAGAACTAAGCACCATTCTGAAAGTGAACCGAATCAAACAGTGTCTGCATGTTGTCATGTTTAGCTATGACCACTCAGCTAAGTTTGAACCCGAATGGGTCTTGCTGACATGGTTGTTAAAGTCATAATTGATCCTGATTGTATTCCAATGATTCAGCCCAGTTTATTTGAACAAGCTTGGATCCCGGGCTTTGGTATATAACCAGCTCACAGCTCACCGTTACTCAGTCATTGTGACAAAGCAGATAATGTCATTGTTAACATTTTAGCCTTTACTAACATTAGCATCTACCACGTACATTACTGTAGCAAACCAGATGCAGTTACAAGACTTTTATGATCGATGACCACACAGAAAGTTAGCTAGCTAACAAGTTGACATCAAAACACAAAATGGAATTTATCCATGGAGAATGATCCATCAAAACACAGCACGAAAACAAATTCTGATTGAAATCTGAAGTATAAAAATCACCAATATGGCTGCTATAGGGTTTCTCACATCACAAAAAGCCCTTTATACAATCTGAACACATTCAGTAAACGTTTTACTTAAATACAGTGCTAGCATGTTAGCCTCCAGCTAATTCACCTGCCACCACTGGCACTGCTATGTTAGACAAGTTTATGTTCGTGAGTTCAGTAAGCTGTCCAAGCTCATTCACACAAAGGTATTTGGAGGGTTCGCATTAGTGGGCCAAGCTACCTTCTTTTCTTTAGCTTCTCGGTCAAATGTATCGTAGACCGAGTCTTTAGTCACCATCTTTGCTTGCACTGGGATGTCCACCACCCCAACATAATTCTTTTTGGCCATGCGGGAGCTCGCGGTGATGGTGTAGGCATTACTGCGGTAGCATTTCATGGATGACATGCAGAATGTCTCCCGCATGCCACGTCTGAAGTTTGCATTGTAGACAGAATACAGGGTGGGTTTGGATGCTGTGGAGCTGAAGGAGATCCAGGAGATGGCTGTGAAGAAAAGCAGTCCCTGCCTGCTGGGCCCATCAGACTCCCTCGGATGCCACAGTTGGGCAAGATAGAAGGGTGTCCAGGTGAGGAAGAAAACAGAATTAAGCATAAGGAACATTTTGATGGTCTTGACTTTAGTCCGCGGGACAATGTTCATTGTCCGCCGCACAGTGTGGCCATCAGCACTGATCCTCCAGATGTACCTGACCACCCTCTGGTAGAATGATATGATCAATCCAGCAGGGACCAGAAAACCAATGAGAAGGTGAACTGCTGCGTAGACTATGCTGCCCCAGCTCTCAGGAAGGAAAAAGTCACAATGACTGTCTGTAGATGTAGATCCATAGAAGAAGAGGCAGGGGGAGACGAAGGCTGCATCAAATAACCACGAAGCCAGAATCATCTTCTTTGCCTTTTCTCTGGACACTTTGAAGCTGAGGGGATAGACGATTGTGTAGAAGCGGTCTATTGAGATCGAAAGCAGGACGTAGACCTGCACACCTGGACAAAGGTGCTGTAGATAGCGCACAGCCTTGCAAGCTGCTGTGCTCATTGGCCAACGTCCAGAGGCAACCTGCAAGAGGACGAATGGGGCACAACCGAGGCTCATGAGCAGGTCCGCGCAGGCCATAGACACCACAAAGTAGTTGGTTGTGGACTGAGTCCGTCGGCTTCGGTGGATGACCAGGCATACGAGGGCATTTCCCAAGATGGAGACCAGCCATAGAACCCCAAATACCAAGCCTAGGACGGTAACCTCACCTGAAGTCAGCTCATCAGGGACAGAGGTAGTATTCAACTGGCCGGTGGACGTGCCCTCGAGGTTGAAGAGGGGAGTTGTGGGTAAGGCTGCCAGGACAGTTGAGTTTTCTCTCTTGGAGTAGTTAAATGACATCTGATACATGAATGATGGCAAGTAGATGGAGGGATTGACACCGACTGTGTTTGATGTCTGGGCATACACCATTGCTGTACTGCTGGGTCAGAGAGCAGCTGTGGAGACACAGACATTTGGCATTAGAAAAACCACAACCAAATTAATGTTTGGGAAATATTTTTCAACATAAACTGCTTATTTATCCCAACAATACTCCTGATTACCAGATACAATCGACAGCTCCTCACAATCCCTACACCAAGTTATTACTCAACAATAAATAGTTCAGACATGCAAAATAAAAAGGTTTGTTGGTTGTTTGGTGGTTAGATAGACTACTGCTGGTCATCTTTCAGAAAGGTGTGAGGCTCAAGAAGTAATGAGATTTGTTTTATTGGCGAGATACGTAGGTTAATGGCAAATTTTTTGATAGATACAAAGGTAGGTAGTTAGGAGAATGGGTCGTTGGTGTGTGAACAGATAGTCAAGTTAGTTGACAGGTACGTAGATTGGTATTCTGGTAGGTAGATGAGGTCATTGGGTAGAATAGCTGGTTTGTGAAAGCACCATAGGTTATTAGATTGGCAAGTCAAGTGGTTAGGAAAATTGATTGATTAATAGTTGGCTGAGTGCTAGGTTGGCAGGTGTGCTAACAAAAGATAGAAACTGCTTTATCTCATGAGGCCCACCTGTCTCAATGTTGTAGCCAACATCAGGTGAAAATTAGTGACAGGCTAGTCATTCTTCGTTTAGATTTGAAAATCAAAATCGACTGTGCCTAATATTAGTTAATGCTAACTTGCATGCTAATGTTGATAGATTACTAGCTATCGATGTGTCCTGAATAGATAAGGTCAGCCGTACTACCCAAATGCCACAGTTGGGTTGCTAACTTAGCATCATCAACTAATGTGACAAAATAACCTCGTAATATTATTGCTAGTAAAATACAATCTCAGTACCAAATTACTTCACCAATGAAATGTTTATTACTGTTTTCTGGAGCACTACCAGGATGCAGGGGTGGATAGCCAGCTAGCTTTAATTTAGCTACACTAGCAGTTTCATTGCATTCAAACTCTGAATGTAGTTCAGTTAAAGGCCAAAGAAGTCATTAATAAGAGTTTGTTGATGTTGCACAGGGAGCTTAAATAGATTGCAGGGTTAGTCAGAATTAGCGTCATTGATACACAGCTCCAGAAGCTTGTTTGTAGATTGGCATTGAGATAAAGAGTGAAGGATATGGTCGGTTGGTAAGTTGGTAGGAAGTTTGAAAGTTTGGTTTGTTGTTTGGATATCAGATAGTTAGCAGTAAGTAAGTTAGCTGAGAGTCATAGTGGTGAGTTTAAATAAGATCAGATCAGATCAGATAAGATAAGATAAGATAAGACTATTGATCCCACAACGAGGAAATTTTTGCGTTACCTCAACTTAGGTCAGAAGGAAAATACAAAAAATACAAATAAAATACAAACAAATAAAAAGATACGAAAGATAATACACTATATACAATGGTAGCATACACAGTAAGTGATTATGGTTTGTTCATGTCACAGCCATGCTCATCTCTGAGTTCTAATTAAAACATTTACAGAGGGTGATCTTTGCTCAGTAGGAATTCTACTTGGGACTTGAAATCATGGACAGGAGCGTTAATGAAGCCGTAGTTCTACTTCAGAAGTCACGTCTGGGGAAATGTAGAATCTCCAGATATTAAAAAAGTGAGGAAGCTGTTTATGTTTTCTTAAAATCCAGGAAATGTCAGAGGCAGCAGTGCTCAGGACTGTTTTATGGAAACACAGCTGCATGTTTTCCTCTCAGGTACAAGACAAACTCCACCACATGGAACTATTCATCATCACCGTCCTCATCTCCACCTCAGGACTTAATTCCCAGTCAGTGCTGCAGCTGATTTGATTAATCCTCCATAGAGAGCCGGCTCTCCTCTGAGGTCGCTCTTTAAGGATGTGAAGAAGCTCTCAGAGGAGATTCTGTTTATGACTGCCATTGTGTTTACTCTTCTGGATTTAACCTTAGCAACCACATCCATCTTGACTGATGGTGGGTAGGTAAACGAGGGAAGCAGGACAACGCAGTTTAAACTAAAGCGTCACCAAAAGAGAGTAAACATAAATCACTCTGAATTATTTAGGTTTTTGGTGTGTTTAGCTTTCTGACATTTCACGCCCCAAATGATTTAGTATAAGGTGTAACTGATAATTAATGCAGACCTGTGCTTTTCCTTATTAACCATCACACACTAAATATTCCTAAAGATATTATTTTTAACTCTCAATCATGCAAAGCTACTCTAGAAGAGTCCAGGAATAAGAGTATGAAGCTGGAAATGAACAGAATAAGGTTACCTTTAATAATTACTTAAATAAGTCTCCAGCTGTAATTTAACCCTGCTGTAAATCTTTCATATTATAAACAACACATGCAGACATTTGAAAACAAAAAGTGTAAATGTAAATGTACATTTAAATTATTGATCTGGATTAATTCCACTCTGATATAAACACAAAGGACTCAAAGCGAACAGTTTACTTCATCCATAACCAGGATACTAATAATTAATAATGAACACAAAGCACTTTTTACTGAATGACTAATTAATTATTGTTATAATGTCATATTACAAATGTTCATCATCATGCTCTCACACTACCAGAAACTTTCTCAGTTTTTGTTCAAAATGTTCAGCAACTAAAATCTGATATGTTGATTTACATGAGTTTATTAGAGAATTACTTTTCATACATAATGTAATTAAAAAAAAAAAATCAGTAACGTTTTTATCCAATAACTGATAATCAGCCGGTTAGGTGTCTGTTTGCCCTGAACATTAGAGTCAAAAAAGAAGTGATCGATTAATCGATGCATGGAAATAAATGAGCAGCTATGTTTTGTTTGTTTTTGTTTTGTTTGGGTTTTTTTTTTTTTTTTTTTACATCAAAGTCCTGATTAAAACAGATCTGTGCAGATGCCGATCTGCTGTACATGGCCAAATGTTTGTGGACAGTTCGATGAAGGCTCTCTAACTGAAATGATTACCTCCTCCATTAAAATACGAATGTGTCTCAGAGGAGGCTGATGATGGTGCTGTAAACCCCGCAGTGACTGATTCCGGCCTGAAGCCCATCATGTCTACCTGCTCACCGCTCACACCAGCACAGTTTGATGAGCTGAGCAGCTGAGAGTCCAGCCTGACCGCTCATGGAAAAACACCGAGCAGGCACACCTGCTGCAGCTGTCCGCCGCGTGCAGCACGTCATGTCCTCTGAATAACGAGCTCAGGCTCAGGCCATGTTCTGAATAAATACGGATTAAAAACCAAGATAAGGAAACAAAAGCCTCCATCTTACGTGCCGAGCGTCATTCTAGCCGCTCCTTCCATCCATCAGCAGTCAGCGCGGCGTCACGGATCCTGCCTAAACAACATGTCTGCTGATGAAGAGGAGGATGATGAAGGATGGACGAGGCCGACAAAACCTGCAGGTGATCAAGTGTCCCGGAGTCCGCAGGTGAGGCAGATACGCGCTCAGAGGATGGAGAGACGCTTCATGATGGTGTCTGATTCACAGGAGGAGGTCCGAGCAGCCAGCAGACATCACGGCAGCTGGAGGATGAAGCTGCAGCTGAGGAAGAGGAGGGTGGATGTTTTCTTCTCTGTCAGCAGGGGCGGACCGAGGCTACATGAGGGAATGATGAGCCTCAGCTGAAGACTGCTGTACAGAAGACTGTTTATGCCAATTATATAAAAAACTGAATTGATAATAAATTTAAAAAATACATGAATTTAACAGAAGTGCAGACTGGTTCCAAGTAGAGCTTCAACATGCAACAAGAAGAAACGGGAGTGAGACAAAACATTTTTTTGAACATGCAATTTATTAAAACCAACATTTGAACTGAAACAGGCTTTTTTTTTTTTTTTTTTTTTTTTTTTTTACAGCTGATCAAACGTTTAAGACTAAAACAAAAAAATAAAAGCAAAAACCCTAACCCTAATGGGGCTGCAGTCTATACCAGTAACGGCCTTAATTTGGATCGAGGATTGTCCAGTGTCTTGTCACCAATTGGCTCCTCCGGCTCAGTGCTTGAAAAATTTTGGGGGGTTTTCCACTTGATGTTTTTGTTCCATAACCCACAGGATCATTTAGGAAATTCCAAATGACTGTCTTACTGCGTCCAACCTCAGCAGTGATGGTGTGCTGCAAGAGACCCTGCTTATGCAGTTCAACAACCCAACAACATTCAAAAAGGGAAGTTTTTTTGCCTTTGCCATCAGAAGGTCATGACAGTGTGAGCACCTGACAGAAAATGACAATGAATCCATATTTTTGCACAGATTTGGCCTTTTAAAGGCACGTGGTCCTAAACTTTTGATCAGCTGTAAAACAGCCTATTTCAGTTTAAGCGTTGTTTTCAATAAATTGCATGCTCAAATGAATATGTCTTGTCTTCCTCTCATTTATTGCATGTTGAAGCTCTACTTGGAACCTTGTTAAGATCCAACCATGCAAAATATGATTTTTTTTGTGCCATTTTTCAAATGTCTACAACTTTTGATATGGACTGTATAATCTCAGATCCCATAAACAACACTGGAGATCTCTGTCCAGAAGAGTGCAGTCCTAGGAACGGCTGTTAGAGGACCCAGGCTTCAACGAAGAGAGACAAAAATATAGACATTAACAAAAACAATTTTATGATTAAAATGATATAAATAAAATAATCCAAAGTATGACGTCCCTCGGCCACCTTGGGTGGGTCTTTCACTCTTGTCCTAATAAAGCCAAAAGTTTTGTTTTGTAAGGGTTTAAAGCAGTGTGGATGAGCGAGGACGCTGGCTAACAACCTGTCCATCACAGCTCCAGAGTTTGCAACTGGGTTGCACTACAAAAACATCATATAAGTATCATTTATTAGTTCATGTTCATGGATACAAGCTGATGTATTTCAGTATTTTTCATGTCTGTCCCAAGAAGTTGCAACACTTTTATTTGAATCCAAACCCCCATCGTTATCCATGTCTCACAGATTCATCTTTAGTGCCTGAAAGTGAGACGTTTTTAAAGATCACTAAAACATTTTAAATGAGTAACTAGAGCTTGACCTATTTTTTAAGACAGATATTTAAAAAGTAAGCACTCATTTTTTAAATTGTTCACGTTCTGCCTGTTTGTTCCAAAAATGTTGCCAACAGGTAAGTTGCAGAGTTCCCTCTGGTGGACAAACAATGCAACATTAACTGTCATAACATGACTGGAAGGTGTTGCTCTGACCTCTTCTTTACTTTTGTCATTTTTATATATTGGCTGCTACAGTTGCTGGTAGAGATAGATAGGCCTATTCACTGATCCTTATGTTGAGAGATGATCAGGCATCATGAAGGCGAACTTTTCCTTTCCCATTCATTCATTGACACCCTAACCCCCTTCTTCTGGTCCCTTTTAATCAGTCAGTGACTCAAAATGGCCAATGAATCCCCCCTTCTGGTGGGATGGGGGCCTGAGCTCACACAGGGCAGGGCTGGTTCAGTGTTTGCTGTTTGTTGTTGTTTACAGCGTCCTGCAGCCTCGGTGTTTCCCATCGACCGTCCTCACTGTCAGCCCGCTATCTCTGTCTCCCAGGCCTTCAACATGTTGGCCCTATAAAAGGAAATGATGTCGTCCATCTGTGGTTATTGGTCCAATGCTGATGGGGGTTGCTTGCGCAGCATATCACCATGACAACCACTGTGCTGAGAAGACCAACAGGCCAGTTGCTATGGGAAACCAACGATGGTGCTAATATGAGAGAGGAGAAGGAATAATCATAACAGACAGTAAAAATGGTAGTAAGAAAATATTTCAGACACTCGTTCATGTAACCAGGTGAAGACGCTTCAAACTGGTGTTTCATGAATTAAAATGGTATCCAATTACTGCCAACAATAGAATTTAAATATTTATTATTTATTTATTTATGTGAGATACAAATAAAAAATTAATAAAAGTCATTATTTGTTATTATTGGCCTATGAAAAAGCTTTAACTATTACTTTAATTTAAAATATTTGGAATTAAAGTAACAGATTTGACCTGGTAAGTAACATTTACATTTAATAATCAAACATGTTGATGTGCTCTTGTATTTGGCAATATTAATCATTATTAATATTAATCAGCTGATGAAGTTTTTAAAATATTTAGTTTGAGTTTGGGTCTTATTTGTACTGAAATATGTAAAAGGTTTCTGAAAGTACGGAAGGTAAATAATACCAAGAAAATCTATCAGGGGAAATTTCTCAGAATCTAACGTAATGTGTAACTTAGCCAAAAATCACACTTTTAATTATTATTTAATAGTTGAATTATTTTTAAAGCATTTTTATTTGATGTCCTAAAATGAAAAATGTTCCATGATTTATCCTTCTACAGATTAACGTTTTATTTCTATAATTTTTGTTTTTGGTGTTTCCCTTTTTTCTTACCTTTTATGACCTTTGAGAATTTTACCCAACTTCCTACATATTGTGATAGAAATAAGACTAAAAATCATGTTGCACATAGATAAAAAAACAAACAAAACATTAGTAATGTTAATATGACAGTTTTAATACAGTGAATGTATTTTTGATTAGGATAACTGATGTTGGCCTAGTAGGAATTGGATTATACGAATCAGAGTAGTGTTGACACAATAATGGCAATAACAAACACTGTCTCTATCTTGGCTGCTAACATTGAAAGAAAATATTTGTTATGTATCTTACTGATGAATAAAATCAACTTCTTTTATATTATACACAAGCAATGTTCCCTCTAATTTTTCATGTGTCTGAGCGAACACACAAACTCCCTGAGCGGTCCCTTGAAGCACTGTGAGCAACATCAGACGTGTGCACTGTGGTCACGCCAGCATCGAATCCATCCAAGTTACATGGTTTATTAAAATAATCAAATTACAGCGTTTACATTTATGTTACACTACTTTTAATTAACTGCTTTAGCCCACTTACAATGAAAATGTAAAAGAAATCTTGTTCATGACCTGCGTAGTATGTTAACACTATTGGAAGTAAAAATAACTTGAACTCCAATTTTGAAAACACAACTTTCTTTTTTTTTTAATTTTTATAAAGCTCTGACTTGTATTATGAGTCTGTGGTCTGGGAGAGAGTCCTGTAACTCTCTGTCTGCAAAATACAGTAAATAATGACCAATGTCGGGCAATAATTATATAGTTACTTCTTCAAAAAAGTAACTGAGTTATGCAAACAAAGTTTTTTGCAGCTGTTTACCTAAAAATGCAGCCAAGGCATTTTTTAAAATAAACGTCTCAAACTATTTACAGAACAATCAGCTGTTCTGCATCAAATTTGAAATTATTTGTGCCACTCCAAAAAGTAATTTCTGTCCACTATGAGATAAAGGAGAACAACAGCCTGATACCTGCAGGCCTGACAACAGGAGATGTATCACTGCTGTAACACCTGTAACATTCAGTAGTCGCCTCATTGTTCTGACACACACAACAGAACTATTGACTACACTACACACTAACACAAGATTTGCGCTAAACGTTGCAAATCTCTCACATCTCAAAACACTGCTGTCACTCCTAAAACTTCCCCCCTCCCTAAACAACTAAATGCCATGTTGCCATATCATTTTTTGATTGGTCGACATGGTACATTTTTCCACCAATAGGAAAGGGTGGGTTCATTTGGTTTTGTTTTTCCACACAGGCAGAGAGAGCTTTCGAGCGTTTTCCTTATAAAAAGCCGTTTTTACTGTTTCTTTGCAGTAAATATAAACAACAATAGTGCTCAGGAAGAAAACCAAACATTGCATATTTTTTTTTATCATAACTCTGGTTTTACCTGGCCTATAAACACAATTTAAAAACTGGTATAAAGTCCACACTTTTTCCGCCAATTGTTCCGTCTGTCCTGCTCACATCTCCAAAGGTTGTCCACGTTGTCATTAACGTGGCTTCTCTCCACATCAGCCACGCAGCTTTGCTAGCTAAAACACCAGTGTCGGCACATAAGGACGCTGTCATAGCCTGTCAGCGACGTTGATTAGCTGCGTATATACGAATGTGAATCGCATTATTGGCTCAACCATCGGATAAGGTGGCATCTTTCTAATCCCATACGGGAGCAGCCAGTCACTTACTGACTAACACTGCAAATCAGAATTGTTAAAGTATTCTGAAACCAGAATATTAGTAGGGCAACAGAAAGGGGTTGTCATTGTAGGGTAAGAATGTAACGAAAAAAAATCTAAATCTGTAACAAACAAACACACAGAGCGATCGATCTATTTACAAGGGAGGCCCCGGTCACTGTCTCAGAAAGCACTCTGAATCCTACCGCAAAATGACCCCGACTCAGACCTCCCTACTCATTCCCTACTCATAAGCAAATGTGTCAATGGCTGTCCCTCCAGCATTGTTTTAAACATAGAAGTAGTAAAAAAAAAAGCTC